TTGATTCCTTTTCTTTTATTTTCTCAATAACAATTTCAGTAAATTTTTCCTGCTAAATTGGTTGATAACTGTTAGAATTTCAATTCCCAATTGAGATTATTAATGATTTAGTCTAAACCAATGACAATGTCAATGAATATTGTTTGATTGTTAGACTACGACAATGATTATGATTATCTCACTTTGATTGTTGACCTTTTTAATCCTCCAATGGATTAAGCTATCAAACTCAACTGACCAGTTGACCGACTGTCTCTTTAATCAACACATGATAAAGATGAATATGATTGGCAATATGATGATACAAAAAGATGAAGATGAAAATAATAATTAAGCTTCGCGATAACTGAATGATAACTTTAATCTTGTGATTATGTTGATTGTCCGTTTTTCTAATCATCACAAACTCACATATTCTTGACCATTATCATTATCATCTTGAACCTGTAAGTTAATGATAACAGTTGAAAATGATTCGATTAAAAATCAAATTAATGTAAATAATAAATACTTAGAACTGGTCATCCTTTGAGATGACCATTAAGTTGTGTTACTTTGTTGCCTGATTGTTGATCTTGTTACCAATTAACTAACTTTACCAAGGTAATTGCAATTATCATCATGAAAAGGTAAACACAACAAACAACAAACAGAGATATAAAGTTTTTATCTTCCAATGGATATAAACTCATGGGGATTATTTCCTGAACTTCATCCTATTGGAACAGATATAACCAATAGAATCTGAAAATGTATCGAAAAAAAAAATTCGAAGAACTTTTTTCTTCTTTCAACCTTTAATTCGTCATTTTTGCGGCCATTTTTATATATATTTTCCCTTTTATTCACATGGGAACATTCATCCTCATCATCTCTCTGGGTTCTTGTTTAGTTTGATTCCTTTTGCTTAATCATCATCATCTTCATCTTCATCTTCATCTTGATCCTCTTCCTGTTTTTAGCTGATTTAGTTAAACTGATCACGTCCATATGATAACAATTAATTGGTTCAACTTTCTTAGTCCATTGGTACAAATCATAATGATAATACAAACCTTAAATACGTTTCAATCAACATCATCTTCATCGACTAATCATCCTCATCTTTTTTTATTATAACCAACATCATCATCTTGTCGTAACAATCAACTCAAATATAATCAGTCAATACAATTACATTGCAATTGTTACAATGCACAGAAAGTAAATCAATTAACAAACAATATATAGTTAGTAGCCTTTAGGCTAAGAGCTGAAGATGATTAAGGTTGAGAGGAGGTTGATGATGGTGATGATGATGATGATGATGATGATGTAGTTTGATTAACTAACTAGCTAATCAAGTCACATTGGGACCTGACATTGAATTTGGATTGAATAACCTTGGATGATGAAAGTAAATTAATCCATCTCAATAAGTGATTACTGTCCATTGATTACTGTTCATTGTTGATGATTAAAACCAAATGGTTACAATTGTTTGTTGAATTGATTAGATTAACATTTTGGGAGTAAGATTAACACAATCAGTTAAATTGTTAAAACCGTTAATGAGCTTAATCATGTTGTATCATCATTAGTTTTCATTAGCTAATCAACAACAGTAACAACAATCAATTCACTAATCAAGACAATCAAGACAAATGTAAATATTTGAATTTAAACTTTTTTTTCTTCTCCTTTTGTTTTGATTCATTAACTTTTATTTACAATCAAATTGTTTATAATTCATAACAATCAGTGTTAATCAAACTGCTTCATCATCAACATGGTTTCATCTACATGATTCAATTGAACATTAATTGTCACTCTGAATGTTGATTACTCATGAATTTCATGATTGCTTATGATTTTCAATGTGATTCATGAAAACTGTTTTTATCCAGCTTGATATTTGTTTCTCACTCTCTCCATCTTCCCAATCTTTATCTTCCTCCTCTCCATCATCTCCTATTGAATAACTGTCAATCTTTGTACCACATGATTGAAGGTGGAGACTGGAACTGGGAGTGGGAATGGAAGGTAGAAAACACCGAACTGGAGATTGAAATTTATTCCCTGTTGTGGAAAAATTTTATCGACTAATAATCTAATAGTAAAGGGTGAATATTAACGAGGTGTATCTTTCCCACTTCCACCTTATCCACCCTCTTGATGGACACACTTTGTAGTAGCAAAACAATATTATCATTCACCTCATCATCTTAAAGCTACTTTAGACTTTGAGATTTGAACAAAGTTCTGAAAATACACACTTGAGATTCACGAACCAAATTCAGTGAAAAAGATATATACTCAATTGGAAACTACATTTTCTGCCCATTAGGATGATAATTTCATCTCTCTCTCTCTCTCTCTACTATTTCTTTGCATTATTTTATCTTTCAAGAAGACAAACTTTATCTTCTTAGCAATAGTATCATCTAATGGATGCTCATTTTTATTCAATATCAAGAAACATGATGATACAATAACTTTCATCATCATGAGAAAATAAAAAGGTAACATTTATGAAGAAGTAAAAAACTCAATGATCCTTACGACTGACCACTGGTCATCATCAAAGTTAATCTTCAACTGTCCCCTCACTATTTTCTCTCTCTCTCTCTCTTATTTTATCTCTGTGAAATTATTATTACTGCTGATTGATTGTAAACAATAATAATCATTGAAATGAAACAATTGGAAACGCATTCAGAATGTGATTAAATTACTTGCCTACAATTTATTAACAATTGTAATCAGTTTTAGTTACTGCAATTTAATAACAATTGAAGTGTGTTAGTGAGTGTGTGTGTTGATTATTAACTATTTTTAATTTAATTGCAAATTTCATCTTAATTATCATCATCTTTTTGCAAGTTGTTACCTAACAGTTTGATTAAGACTCTTAATTAATATATATAACAATAATATGACGATGAAAACTTTTGAATCAATTAATTTAAAATTAACTTTCCAGTTGAATGGGAATTCATTTCTTATCATTTGAAGAGGGATAAAGAGGAAGAGGATGAGGATGAGGAGTGGGGTGGGTATGGAAAGTGGGAGGTGGGAAAATGATGTGAAGGTGGGATTTAGCTTTAAGCTTGGATCAGATGGAGGAAGAGGATAAAGTTAAGGGGTGGAAAAGGAGGAAAAGGAAAATTTTTACTCTTCTTTTGATAAGAGTGGGAGTTAAATTGCTATTGGGAGTTTAATTTGGATACAGTTGATGGTGATAATGAAGATGAGGATGAAGATGAAGATGATAACTATATATGAAGTGGTATTAAGTGACAAACAAAATTAGTTATAAGATGAATTTAGAAAATATAAATGATGAGGATGGAGGTTGATGGTTGGATGAAATTATCATTAGGATTTTTGGTGAATCAAGATTATTATTTTGATATGAATATAATCATGATGATAATGATGATGATTATCAGGATCAACCTATGAATTTATGGTGATCATGATCATGATGAAACTTTTATCATTATTAGTTATCTTGATATTACATTTTGATGGTAAATTTTTGAAACTTTTCAACTTTTTATCAATGGTTCATGATGATTATTATCATGATGATGATGATTTTCATTTGTTTCAATGTCTCATATTTTCAGTGTTTTCTGATTGGAATTTGAAATTAAACTCGATTGTGGTAAAAAAAAGCCCTCAAGGTATTCTCGTTTCTCTAGTTAATACATAGATATACCTCAAGAATACTGATCATGTGAATGAATCAATTCTCATCATTTCCTTTTCCTATTATAATCCAGATCTTTTATCATGATCATAAAACTCAACTGTTTCTGTTCAATCATAAAATATATAATCAAATATTTTTGTTCCCCATGTTTACTTCATGTTATTCATGTTTACCCCTGAGACTTTCATATGAATCAAACCAATAGATAATCATAATCAATGGTAATTGTAAAGATAATCAAAATCAAGAATCGTGATCAAATGGTAACAATTTGATTTGATGAAAAGTATCGTATAAAAATGATAATAATAATAATTGTGAGTACAATTATTTATGATAACAAGTTTTGTGGATAATTTGAATTAGCAATTGAAATTTAATCTCAAATCATCTGGTCAGCTGATTGATGGTCAAGTTTCAATTGTCAACAACGATGTAGTTTAAATCATTTCATTCATGATAAATATCAACATGTTCAAAACTGTAACATGAACAAAAAGATATATTATATATCCATCATTTTCCACTCCCAGTGACACTTTGCAACCTCCTCTTTGCCTCTTCCCACCTCATCCAAGTCACTCAGGGGATTGAGAAATAAGGAGAGAGAGAGAGATGAAGATATTTCATCTTCTTTGGATGATGATGAAGATAAAGAAATGATCATCTCTTAATGTTGTTACTTTTTGCTTCTGAAGAGAGAGAGAGATCAACTTTTCGTATATATAAAACACTCAGGTTGAAAATTGAACTTTTCATGGTGAAAAAAACTCATCATTGTTGGACAATAAACACATGATGATCAGAATGGTGATAAAGATGATGAAAAATTGTGTTGAAGAAAAAAAAGTTCTGAGTTCATTTTGATGATTTTGGTTTATGAGGAAAACACAATTTGAAAAGTTATCATGAAAACTTTTCAACATCATTATCTCAAAGATGAGAAGCTCATGAGATTCATGAGTTTTCATCGTTGATCATAAACTTTGTTTTTCTTTTGTCATCATCATCATCTTGTATTTCATCATCTGAATATCAATGAAAAGTTCAATATATATGAAGATAAGTTTAATCAAATTTTGTTCGTGGTTTTGGGGGCGGGAAAAATCTCGATTCAAATTTTTTTCATTTCTTTTCTCCAATAATCATTTTTAATTTTTCGATTTTCTCTTATTTCTTCTGATAATCAACTGATTGTTGTGGTTAATCTTTCTATTGTTTTTCTCTACTCACAGATTATCATCATTATGGGTCTACCAATGAATTTATTGGTTGGTTTAATTGTTACAATTGAATCGATCAGTTTTCTCTGTCATCAGTTCCCTGTGATTTTAATCAACTCTGCTCATGTAGTAACACAATTAACCCAATTCGTGAGGTTAATTGTTTGGGTCTTCCAATCACTAAATTACCACAATTACCTTCAAATTTGACAATCTACCGATTCACTATAATCAATTCACCTGATCTTGAACATTTACAACCAAATGCCCTCGGGTCAAGTGAAGGTATCTCATCATTGGTAATTAAACGTTGCCGTATATCAAGTATTGCCTTTAATGCCTTTAATGGTTCACAATTAACTTTAACTACTCTTGATTTAAGTTATAATGAGTTAACTGAGGTTCCATTGTTACCTGGTTTACAATCGTTACAATGGTTAAGCTTCCGGTCAAATCGATTGACCCAATTAAAGGTAAAAGATTGGAGGTCACTTTTCATTGATTCAAATGTAACAACAACAATTAACTACTCTGATAGTGAACTTAGAAGTCTAATAATTTCTGACAATTTGTTAACTCTAATTCCTGATGGGATATTTAATCAACTGGTCAACCTTCAATCTCTTGACCTGGACAATAATAGGATCTCAAGCCTTGAAGGTAAACCCTTCCCATCAACTTTGACCTCACTTTCATTAGCCAACAATTTACTTGAAAAAATACCAATTGAATCACTTTGGAATCTCAATAGACTCAAATGGTTAACCCTTCGGGGCAATTTGATTGTCCATCTACCTTACTATTGGCCATTACCGGTCATCACAATTGAACTGATTGACCTTTCCCATAATTTATTGACCACATTGTCCGGTAATTTTTTCACTTCCTTGAGCAATAAAATCAAATCAACTAATCAACCTTATTTTCAACCCCAACGAGCAATTAATGGTAAACAATTAAGGATGATGATGGTTAAAAATGATTCCAAAAAGTTTACTGATCAACAATTAACTAATCCTGTTAACGATAATCTATTATTTGGTAACAATCAAAGTGAATTAATTATCCATATACGTGAATTATTATTAGATTACAATTTAATTACAACAATTAGTGATAATACTTTTCAATCACCGATTATAATTGAAAGATTATCTCTTGCCAACAATCAATTGAACAATTTACCTGACAATTTATTTACAAACAGTTTATTAATTAATCGTCTCAGAGTTTTTGACATCTCATTTAATCCAATGATTAACTTTAATTCTGATCAATCAAATCAATTGGTTAGTGGATTAAATCGAGTAACTAATTTACTTTTTAGAGGAATCAAATTAACTTCAATACAATCAACTTCTCTAGCTAATTGTTCAACTGAATTACAAATGATTGATTTATCATCTAATCAATTGCAATCAATACCTTCATCAGCTTTATCATTAACCCGTAAATTGTTACGTTTAAATTTAGCTGACAATCAAATTAAAAGTGTAGATTTTGATTCACTTGGTAAATGGTCAGTTAAATTGTTATCACTTTCATTATCCAAGAATGGATTACAATTTATCTCACCCAAAGCTTTTAGGAACACAATTAACCTCCGAGAGCTTAAATTGGGTCTCAACAATTTACTAACTGTTAACAATCAATTCTTGACTCCATTGGCTTCATCATTAACGATCCTTGAGTTAAGTTACTCAATCATGAGCTCACAGAGTAAATTATTGGAAACAATTAAATCAATGGTTAAATTGGAGCTTCTTGAATTGGATAACAATCGCCTAATTGATTACCAATCAATTAAACTAATTAAAGAAACACCATCGTTGGTCCATATTGATTTAGATGGCAATTCATTGATTAATTTACCTTCCAATACTTTCAATGGTTCTTATCATACTAAATTAAGAAATATTGTTTTATCATCAAATAAATTGTTCACAATTGAAAGTAAAACGTTTAATTCACTTGGACAATTAGTGACCATTGATTTAAGAGGTAATCAATTACAATCAATATCTGATTACGCTTTTAACAATTTACCAATGTTACAAACATTAATCTTGTCTCGTAATCAATTGGGAAAATTAGATTCTAAACCGATAATAGTTAATTGTTCAAATTTGATTAACATTCATTTACAAGAGAATCAATTAACTTCAGTTGATTTAAGTTTCTTAAACAGTGTCCATCTTAATGGTAACAATCAAATTGTTAACAAAAGTTTAATCAACTCATTTGGAATCAATTTAAACCTATCACATAATCAATTAATTGATTTGTTCATCAGTGATGTTGATTTAATTACAACCGATATTTACAATAGTGAAATTATTAACCAAACCAATTTAGTTAGCAATTCATTACAACAATTAGTGTCATCGTCACCTCAAATACCAACAACAACAACAGCAACAGCAACAATTATACCAGGAATTGATTTACTACAATTAACTAATGAGACAATTAACAATTTTACCAATGAAAGTGTAACCACAATGATGACAATTAATAGTGAAAGTGATTCACCTGAGGACAATTTAAGTAACAATTTACCAGCCGCTGATGAACCAAGTAAATCAAGTGAAAAGAAAAGCAAATCAAGCAAACAATTACCAATAAGATCAGTTGATTGTAGTTACAATCAGTTGAACCAATTAAACATTAACCTATCAAAAGCCCTTGGTGGTAACCTTATCAATCTTAACCTTAATCATAATAGATTGAAATATTTTCCACTTGATTCACTTAATCATTTACCTTCATTGATGAGTCTTTCACTGAGCAATAATATTATATCACAATTAACTGAATCACCATCATCATCATCATCTTCATCATCATCACCACCTCAAGTTAACCCATTAACCAACCAGAATCAAACAATATCATCAACACCAACACCAACACCATCAACATCATCACAATTACCTAACGGTTATCATTGTTGTCTAATCTGATTTACCTTGATTTATCTTACAACAATTTAACCTTTAACAATTTATCTGATCAACTATTTTCATCCATGATTAACTTAATGATTCTTGATTTAAGCTTTAATAATATTTACAATTTACCAGCAAATCTATTTAATGGGACAAAGGTGTCAAAGCTTAACCTTAAAGGGAATCATCTTTCATCTTTAACCCTTCAACAATCAACTAATCATCAAAATAATCACCATCATTATCAACAAAACCATCATCATCATCAACACCAATCTTTACCTGACCAATTGATTGTTACTAATTGTCTTGGTATATCATCAACTTTAACCCATCTTGATTTATCATATAATCATTTACAATCAATTCCTGTTGAAATTAATTCTTGTCACAATTTAATTCATCTAAATATGAAATCAAATCATTTACACTCATTTCATGAATCATTAATGTTTGTGTCAACATTTAAACAATTAACTTTCCTTGATATTTCAAGTAATCAAGTTAATCACAATCCTAATTATCATCATAATCATCATCATCATCGCTATATAAATGATTTAACTAAAAGTAAACATCAACAATTAACAACTCAAAGGAAAGGATTAACTAATCAGATTGTTAATTTACCCGATTTAAAATATTTATATTGGTCAAATTGTTCATTAACTAATTTACCAACAATCAAGTCGAACAATTTAATTTTTCTTGATGTTTCTCATAATCAATTAACTAATTTACCATCAAGCTTATTGAATTCAATTCCTAATCTACTTCATTTTGATTTGTCTTCTAATCAATTAACAGTTGTACCTGAAGAGCTTGGGATTAGTAAATTGTTAATCACTTTAATATTATCCTTTAATCCAATATCAAATTTAGATTCTTCATCATTTACTCCATTCAAACAATTAAAATCAATTGATATTCGAGGTCTATCATTACGTTATATTGATATCAGGATGTTCAATAGTCTAAGGTAAATAATAAGTTTAATGTCCAAACCAATTATATAAACAATTTGTCGAAACAATTAAAGTTAATCTTGAACAGTTTTCTAAACAATTTAACAAATACAATTTGAAAATGAATCAAATTATAACAGTACATTGGATAACCTTTCACCTCGATTGTTTTGCTCCTCATCAGCTTTTCAATTTCATCCTCATCCTTATCACCTCTCATTTCCCACTCTCTCATATTATCCTCCCCATCTTCATCCTCATCTTCATCCTCATCTTCATCCTCATCTTCCTCTCAATCGATTATCCCTCCCATCATTATCATCATCATCTTTAACTGTTCCCATAAAATCAATAATCAACTTGATCCCTTTTTGATTTAAAACCCTATTTAGTTGATTGTCTTTGATTGTCAATGATTTTTGAACAACAACTTGACAAAAACAATTTAAAATGCATTTAAAAACAAATTTTCCTCTAAACACTTATCCAATTGATTGTTGTTAAATTGTTAACAATTGACAGGGAGACAAAATGTATATACAATTTAAAAGGTTGCTCTTTAAATAATCTTCAACCTGTTCCCATGTAATCACAATTTACCGTTAGAAATACTCGTTTGAATTGCAAATTGTCACTCATCATTTAGATGATGATGAGATGATGAAAGGATGAAGATAAGGATAAGATGAAGATTGGAAAACTGGGAGTGAGAAAATTACTTTTAAATTGTATCATTGTTTTAACTTTTTTTCCACCAGGATAATTGAAGATAATTGTAACTATTAATCAAATTGGTGACTCTTGAGAGTTGATAGCAATTAGAGATTCTAAATTGTAATTGTTTCATTTTCTTTTAATTTCAGATATTTAACTGATCTAAAAACATCAACTTATCCAAGGGTCAGGTCATTTCGATTAACTGACCTTTTGTCCAAATCGATCGCTCTTCGAAGTGCTTTAATTCAAGTAGACGAAGCGACACTTTCTCATCAAATTCAATACGCTTTCGGGTCAAAGTTACGAGAATTGGTCATCACTGGTCATCAGTTGGTTAAAATACTTCCTGATGCTTTTCTTGGTAAGTTCAACAATTGATTACAATCAAGAAATGGTTACATTTAATTGTTTCCACGTGAAACTGTAACAATCAAAAAGATTAATTTAGTTTCACTTGTCAAATCTAAATTCAATTGACTTGGAACCTTTTTTTTCTCGTATACTATTAATATTATAATAGTAATGGTCAACAATGGTCAAGTATATAAGTTTGACCATTAACCTTGATTATCCTTGATTCCAATTGAATTGATTTGGGATTGATTTTATCCTTCAACTGATTAACTGATTACTTTCATTTCCTATTCAATTTAATATATAAACAGCCAAAGGTTAAAGTTAATGACTCTCAGAGAGATGAAACTTAATGACCTTTTGTTTGATTGATTTAATTTGATTAATTTTACCTTTTTGATTTTCCTTTTCTCATGCACAATTAACTAATCATCGAATCACAATTAACAAGGTCTTCACCATCAGCCCGATATGATTTTACGAATTGTAGATACAAACATTTCATCACTTCCGTCTGGATTATTAAGATACATTAACGATATTCGTCATATAACAATTGATTTACGTCGCAATCAATTGACACAATTTAAATTAAATGTCCTTCAATCGGTTAATCAGGAATCACCAATGGTCAAGGGGTCACTTGAATTTAACGTTTTTCCTTTCTCATCAAATGGATTGACAATTTCAGGTAATTATCTTTACCCCAAACAAATTGATAGTTTTTTAACCTCAACCTGATTAATTGTTACTATTTAACAATTGGACAATTTAATGATTATCATCACCTTTGTTGTTACTAAATTGTGATGATTGGGATATGTAGCTAATGATCAGCATCACGAACTTGATATATCTTGTTAATTGTTGTTTTCTGTTTGTGTTGGTTTGTCATTGGACTCACGACACATTGAATTAACATTTAAATGTCATTAATCACATTACAATCATTTGGAATAATTAACTAATTGTCTCTATTGTTTCTCTCTCTTACCGGTGGGTGGTTTTCGCTTGGTGGGTATTGAAGGTGGTCTTTTGTTGGAAGATAATCCATTAATCTGTTCCTGTGATATTCTTTGGCTTAGTTCGTGGCTTCGAAAATGGTTGAAAGAGTCTCGAAAAATTCATCATCATAATCATGATACTTTCTTGTCAACTGAATCAAAGGCTCGTCTTATGACCTGTAAACAATCAATTGTCCAATTGCGAAAACAACAATCAGCTTTATCATCATCGATCATTTCACAAAATAATTCAATAATTTCAATCAATTTAAGGCCAAAGGCCAAATTAATCAGCGATAAAAAGATTCCTCTCCTTGATATTTACCCTGAAGACATTGGATGTAATTCAGTCTCAACTAATGTCAATTCACCACTGGCTCAATTGTTTTTATTACTATTATCAATTGTTTACCAATTTATATATATAACGGATGCATCTAATTTACTTATATAAGGACAATCAAAATTGATTGTTGATCAACTGAATTCACATTGAAACAAAATTGAAACTCAATAGAAATGCAAAAACAACAAGAAAACAAAATGACCGATAAAATTTTCGGACATTCAAGTAAATCATCATTTCTATCATCCACCCTGCACCTTTTCCACCACCACTCTCTCCATCTTATCATGAATCTTGAAATTGTTCAAGTTTCAGTTCAATTTCTCAGCTCATGTTATCTCCATGGACAAGGGATAAAATTTTCTAAAAAAAGTTGCGTTTTCCAATGAACTTGAATCATGATGAAATCAATTTTTCCCCTGAGGCGATGGAGTAAAAAAATGAATCAAATTTTCTTGTATCTAAATTTACCTTCTTTTTTCATCCATTCTCATCCATAGTTATCCTCATCATCTTCCGTGTATAAAGTGAGAGGGATGGAAAAAATAACAAAACTATAAGCTTATTTATCTGAAAAAAGTTTTTTTGTTCATCATGATACTCATGGTGATGAGGCTCAGATGATGATGAGGATAATGATAAGAAACCAAAGATGATATGAAAAAAAAACTCCAAAGACAGAAGATGATAATGTACATCAGAAATGATGATAGATTCTCATCATCATCATCTTCATCTTCTTTCTCAAGGGAAATCTTTCTTACTAGACTTTCATCAACCTCCAAGCAATTTAATGTCTTACCTTTCATTTGATTTATTGTATTATCTTCATCATCATCATCATCTTCATCTTCATAATATCAACCTTTCTGTGGCCACAAATATCTTACCTTTAGATTAACAATATTACTTTTATTCATGGTAAACCCCCTTAGGCTTTTTATCATCTTCCTTGTCTTCCTTATCATCCTCTCACCTTTACCACTCTGATGGTTAATACACCTTGATGATATTTCCTAGGAAAAAAAACAAATCATTTCCTTGATTAACAATATCAACTTGATGACAATTCAAATCCATCATCAAGATTATCAGATTTATCCTGATTCTCATATTGTATCAGTCACATCAAGTTAATTGTCATCATTTGATTTAATTGTAATTAGTGTAATTTGCTCCTCTTCTTATAATATTTTTGTACAATAATTTATGAAGACTTTGTAATAATTTGGTAAATTATTTTTTACTAGTAATATTTAATAAAAATTAACTATTGGTCTTTAATTTTGGAGCTTAAATTGATTGGAAAAATCAACTTTTCACTTTAATTTAGACAATTTTTTTTTGCCAAAATCATATTAAAATAGTATTTACATTTGGTTAATTGTGATGGTTGTGCTTAAATTGCTTAATAATAATGTTATAATTAGTTTCTTATATGATCAACTTTGTTAATTTCTCAATTGATTAACATTGAGAAACTTTTTCTTTGTTAATTCAGTTGATTGAATCTCTTGGTAATTCATCTTCGGGTGGTAATAGGACAACGATTATCGGAACATCATCTCCGTTTTCATTGTTATTGTTGTTATCATTAGTTAATTGTTTGGAATTTGCTGTTTGATCAATCATAATTTCGGGTTGATTTGAGTCTTGTCTCGTTCCCTTTGAACGGCTCTCTTCAGCTTGAGGTTTATCTGAATTATTGGTGACAATTGAACTATTGTCAAGATCAATTGAATAATCGTTGTCATCATTTCGTTTATCATTTAAATTATCCGATGAAATTAAAATCTCACTTGGTAATCGGGATTTTTGTCTCACTGATGATGAGGAGGGAGGAATAAATTTCGAGGTTTTAACCAACATCTCAACGATATCGCTCACATTTCCCATGGACGCAGGGACAATTGTGATGTTACCATGATGCAGATTAAGAAATGGATCAACTGGTTTATTTGTTGTTGGCATTAGATTAGAAATCAATAAACTTGGTTTAGGTGTTGTAGTTGTTGTTGTTGTTGTAGATGTAGTTGTAGATAATGGGAGTGGTTCAATGATTACTGTGGGAGGACAAGGACTAGATGGTGATGGTAATGGTGGTAATGCTGAGGAAGATGAACTTTTCCTTATATCTTCAAGTGTCTCCTGCATCATTTTGATTAGACGATTTATCGACATTTCATCTTTTGTCACTTCGATTGGACTTTCATCCGGTACTTTACTTATTATTGGCACTTTTCCGGTGACTGATGTTGATTCCGTTGGGATTTTTGAAGTTAATCGGATCTGATAAATTGTTCCGGGTTTCTTTGAGTTAATTGAACCTCCAATTACACCTAATGATGGATCTTCCGCCATTTTCAGGGTGACAATTGTTCCTCCTCCTCTTTCTGGGACTGATGAACTTGTTCCCGGTGAAATTGAGACACTTTCAATTGACCCTTTTCTGGTTTTACTTGATTGACCTTGATTTCCAATATAAACTATTCCATCAGTTGATTTAATTGTTGTTGATTGTTGAGATTCATTAACAGTTGATGAACTTTGTTTACTATTGTTATTTGATTTACGTCTATTTGTGTTTTGTCTTGAACCAGTTTTACGTTTCTTTGATTCAGTTGAACTAATTGTTGGTGTTACTTGAGTTGTTGTTGTGGTTGTTGTTTTACTAATCACTTTCATTTCTTCATCATTGTCTTCATCTTCATTATCTTCATTTGTCTTTATCTTTTCGGAATCTTCTTCATCATCGTCACCATGATCATGTCGATGCTCCTTAATCAATTTCTTATCATCAGATGAAGTTAAATCTTCACGAGGTGTTGATGTTGTCGGTTTGGAGGTTGATTTAGCTTTATTACGATTTGATCGAGTTGTTGATTTACTCGTTGTTGTTGTTGATTGTTGCTGATTCTTTGGTTTTGATGATTTTTTGCGAGTTGATTTAATTGTTGTTGGAATTGATATTGATTTCTCTGTACTTGATTCGATCGTTTCTTCATCATCCGCGTTTTCTGCCACCGATTTACCATCGGCATCTTCTTCGTTATCAACGATCTCTTTTTTGTTTGACTGGTCAGTTTTCTTGTTTCCTTTTCGCCGTTTTTCCGATATCCTTCCGGTTCCTGTTCGAGATGCTGGTGAAACCTCATCTTCGTCTTCGTCTTCCTCGATAACTGTCTCATCTCGTCTTTTATCTCGAGATTTTTTACCACGAATCCGTTCAGTTACCACTGAATCTTCATAATCGTAATCGTTTTTGGTGCTATATGATTCAGTCACGGAAGAGGTAATTATATTGTTATGATTTCGGGTGTTCCCTTGGTAAACTGGTTGCGGTGAGAAATTATCCCCATCTAATTGCCGGTGATTTGATTGTCCTGGAATAAGATTGATTGATGAATCAAGAAGAAAATGAAAAACAAACTAAATTAGTTTAATCAACAATCATCTGAAAGATTATTATATTATTCCATAGTGATAAATAATAATAATAATTTTGGTTCAATTTTCGGCAATCATAAGGATCGGAAAGAGATTAGGAGATTTAAATTGTTACAATTAACACTTTCATCTCAATGAGATGATCAAATTTGATGAGCTAAATGACCTGGAAATGTGTGTAATCATAATAATTGTTAATTGTAGTTCGGGGAAAGAGATTAGATTGTGATTGAATCTCGATTAAGATGAGAAACTAAATCAAAAAGTATATTTAACAAGTGAGATGATAAAAAGACACTAAAAAACCAGTTATGTTTTAATTGCCTTGAAACTAAATTAGCAATTTAATTTTGGAATTGATTATGTAATTGGAGAGAAAAAAAACCAAATTCATCTCAAGATGATTAACTTAATTGTGACTTTTACTATCAACTAATTATCTTCATCATCTTTCCCAATCAACCCACTTTCGCTTAAGCTTAATTTCTTGATGATTGTTAACCTTTTAGATATATTTTTGTTTACAATCAATGATTGAGAGTATTAAGAAGATGATGATAACAATCATATACCCTTAAGAAATTAATCAATTATAATTCACTTTTGTTAACCTAATTACCTTGATTTAGATTGACTTGTTTATCAATTAATGTATCCAGGTTATGATAAGGTTTGTAGCTTTGATAATATCCACTGGCGGAGGTCTTGTAATTAGTTGCATATTTTGGACCATAATCGTCGTCGGTGTAAACGGGACGATCGTCGATATTGACCTTGGAATTTGATTGGTGACGATCATCACGATTAGCTGATGATGATGAGCTTTGATGTCGAGAGGATGAAGACGATGAGGGTACTGAATAAGCGTCGGAATCATTTTCGTCCGGATAATTATGGTGATGAGATCGTTTATTGGTTATTCCTTAAGATAAACAAATATTAGAAGACACAATTAGTATTATTTGCGAGATTTTCATGTTAATTGTGGGTAATAATCAGCTGATTGTGGTCTTTTCGAGTTTACATTTGTAATTTACTTACGTTTTTCACTTGATTTGCTCTCATCGTTTGTTGATCTTTTTGATTCGGTTTCGTGATCTTCAACTGGACCTAAACTTATACTTCCCTTTTTGAAAGTGATCTTTGCTTTGCCCAATCTAATTGCTGTTCCACCACCAGAAGCTGGTCCAATGCTGATTGCTGGTGTTTGATTTGGTTTTTTGGTCGTTGTACTGGTCGATGGTTTACTTTTGGGTCGACTTCTTATCTGAGGCTCCCCGTTGACCTCATCATCATAATAATCATTATAAGGATTCTTGGCCATTGAATATCGTGTATTAGAAGCCATTGGTTGATACATGTCCATTGGAGGTTCAATGATGTAAGGTATTGGTGCACTTTCCGTCTCATATTGAGTACTATCCATTGGATATGATGGTCCCAAAGGGTCATTTGGTGATCCTCGTTGTGGTGGGGAAAGAGGTGAAGGTGGTAACTGTTGCTGGGATTCAATTAGACTTTCACTTGAAGATGGAGATCGAGGTACTTTGAACAGTGGATCCATGAAGACAAATCCTTTCCAACCATTACTAGAAGATGCGGTTCGAGTTGGCTGTAAGAGAGTGTCCAATAGTCCTCGAAGAGCTGGTGTTGCTCGATCAGATCGTTTTTGTACCATTCGTGGTTGAAGTGATAGTATTTGCCCATTGACATTGGGTATCAAAAGGTAACAACTATTGAACAAGAAAACAAAGGTCACCAATCCGGTAAAACAATTCACTTGTGACACTTTACCCTTTCGCTTTGGTGGCATCTTGATAATAACAATTTAAAATTAATCACAGTTAAAATTTCAAATATAATAACAATTAATTATATATACTACTTACCGTTAGTTCAATTTCATCAATATCTTGAAGATCCATCGTATGGTTTTCCAAGGAACGAGAAAATCAGTAATCAAATACTGATGTCGATGATAGAGATTAGTTCATATATATTGGAAATTGATTATAAGCAATTTACAAATCAGATTAACATGAGAAAATAGAAAAGTCAATTGATTTGATTGTCAATAAAGTAGAAAAGTTGAAAAATAAACTTTCGCATCAACGATTTGAATGAAAAATGGACCAACGAAAATGAGATCAAAGTTTTGAAAAACTTTTCGTTCTGTGATTTGGTTATACCGCTGGTTATTGACGACGATGATGATGATTAAAATGAAGACGAAGATGATAATGATGATGATGGCGATGATGGTGGTAGTTAGTTGATTATCCTGTTTGGATAAACATCGGTCAACAATCAGACCAACTTGTAGTTGATTTCTTGAATCTCACTGCAGGGCAGCTTCAAGATGGTTTATAAATTGTTGGTATTATCCAAAACTGAATCATCTTTTCATCATTTAACTTTTGCTGATGATGATGATGATGAGGATGGAGATCACAGTTAGAAAGTAACAGAAAAAAAAACTTGTTCACTTGATGAGCTATTTGGTTTTACTATTAATAATTTCTTATCATCATGAAACTTTTTTTTTCATCTTCTTTTTCATTCCAACTTGACCTAATCACCGAGTTTCAACTTGATCTTTTTTTTTCTTGTTCTTTATCTTCATCACTTAAATATATTCAATTCACTTGGAGATACAAATTGGTCATCAATGTATTGTCCATCTCGAGAGGAGGGTGTGAGTGACCACTACAATACGAATATATAAAGAGTTTGGAAGAAAAGAAAATGGAATCAAATTTTTTTTTTATTCTCATTCGATTCAATTTTCTAAACAATTTAAATATTCAGAGAAAGTGATTTAATCTTTACCACCTTAGGATCGAGTTAATTGTTGCTATTTATCATCAACTAATCGTTACAATCTAAAGTTCAGTGACACTTTAACGTTGAATTTGATTGATTAAATAATCGTACCAACAATTAACCTTCATCATTATCATTTCTGTGGTTTAGATTATTAATTTTCTTTTACCTCTTTGATTAATAATGTTTTCTCTTTGTTGATTTAGTTAATTGTTTCCTTGATTTAAAGGTTTGCTTTGTTGTTCTTGTTTGATTGGTTGGTTCATTTTCTTGATTGTTAATTATTTTTTTCTTTAATGTAAATCACAATCGCCTGAGGGAAGATGAGGAAAAAAAGAGCGAAAATTTTTGATTCCTTAATATCTGAAAGAATTACTAATTAACCTTTCTAATTGTGCTGTTAACTAATAGATAGATAAAAGCAATTAATAGTCTTAATATATTCATCGACAAGTTAACATTAAAACAATTTGATTGTAGACAAAAGTTGTAATTAGTTTCTTCAAGATGATTCTGATAATTGTGATAATATTAATAGAAAAGTTAATAATATATAATTAACATTGTTTTCCACAATTAAGTTATGATTCTTATTAGATATTATCTTACTAAGGTTAACAATTGGTTAATTTAATTGTTACACCAATGGTTTGGTGTTAATTTATCACGAAGCAAATGTTTACAATTAATTGTTGATTAAAGAGATTTTCATTTGCAAATAATTAGTTTCATTTTTTATCAATGTGGTAAAAATTGAATTGGAAAGGGATATTGATGATTCCTTGTTAATCCAATTAAAAGGTTGATTAGTGATTTAAATATTGCTGTTGTCAATTGGAATCAAGAAGATGATTAACATTTATAGGGAGTTGACAATGATTGGTGATAATAATTGTAATAATTATATATATAAATGTAAATAATAGTGGTGATGTTGATGATATAAAGTTAGAGATGATTAAAGATTATGTCGAGAAAGAAATTTAAAAAAAAACAGAATAGAAAACATTTACAATCATGATTACATATTAATTTTCAATCTTCATCACAATGAAAATCAGAATCAATTTTCATTGATCAATTTGTTGATTGAAATCAAATATCAAGCAAATTTTCATTAATAGTCACAAATTAATTTTTTAGTTTGATTTTTCTTTCTATTTGTTGTTACTATTTCTTTGAAGTATCAATTACTTTATAAACAAACAGGTAGGCACTTGGCTTTTGTTTGATGTCCATTCATTTTTGATCTTAATTGTTGATTGTAATCCAATAATGTATTTTACAATTAGAAGAAATTTGTCCAATCAGTTATTGTCCTTATTTTTTGTTTCTTCTTTTGGTTGCTGGGTTATTAACTTTTTCTCTTAATTATTTCACAGAATTATTATTGCAGAAAGTGAGAGAGATAGAGATGCGAGTGAGTGTGCATAAATTGTAATTTCCTTGTTTGTATGTGATTAACTTTGGAGAGACAATGGTGATGATGATTATTATTTTGATTCTAATTCTAACTTTTCGTATTTATGATCATGGAGACGAGACATGAACAATTTAAATTTAGACTTAATCAGCGATTGGATAAAAGGTATTGAAGGTAATGAAGTAAACGAGATGTTTATCCTTTTGTTTCAATCTTTTTTTTTGTTGATATTATTATTGCTGTTCTTTGTGAGCGTTTAATTGTTATTATTGTTATTGTTTTTGCTGTTGTGATTATGCTTGTTGATTGAGTTATTGAATGTTAATTGTTGATGTTATGATTTACACTTCCACCAGATCATCATTCCTATTTAGGAGATACTCTGTCCTTGGATCAACTGTAGATTTATGTTTCAACCAACCATGAAAACATTTGGTGAATTTCCTAGTTTCCTTTCCCTTGAATGTTAACATTAACTTTCTCGGTCTATCTGGTTGTTTAATCCTCATATTTTGTACATAAACGGTGGCACTTTTAAGAGCCAATTTAATTTCAACATCGGAACACCTTGAACCCACCCAAACGAAAACTTGATCACCATTGTCCAATATCATAATATCCTCATCGGCAAGATCATCTTGACAAAAATCGATACATTTCTCGGAGACACAAAAGTAACCTTTATCATTAGAACATCGGAATAGTCGAGTGTATTGCATAAAAGAAGAATCTTTTTCGTAAGCCTTCTTTCCGCCTAAATGATTCCAAAATTCATCGGGTTCTTCACCTTCAGTAATAACCGAGACAATATAATCCTGAGAATCGTACATTTGAGATGCAATCTCTTCAGCAAGATTACCATCATCTTCAGATGCTTGATTTCCTTTCCAAACATATGCTGTTCCGAATGAATCTTCACCAGGAATTGCTAGAATGTAACAGAAACCCGAACATAGAATTGCCGAATCGGGTAAAACTTGAATACATCGAGTTGTAATTTTGTTACTATTCGATCGAAGGTAGAAAAACTCAGAGGCCGGAGTGAATCGTCGATTGTAGGAAGATGATGAGTTACCACTGTTCTTGTGTGATGAACTTTTCGGTGGCCTTTTACCCGTGTGTATCACAAATTTACGCTTAAAATGAGATAAAAATTTATAATTTTCTTGCTGTTGATGGGTTCGAACCACTTCCAGTTTATCACCAAAATGACTTTGATATCTTTTTAAAAGGTCAAAGGTAAAGGTTAACCAGCCCATGTTGGAAGCGTCACGACCCTGCCAAAAGTAGGAGACACATTGATACTCGTCAAGAACATCTTCTTCGTCTTCTTCTTCATCCGATTCAAGGGGTGGTAAATAACGACATAAGAACACATAACAATCTTCTGAGTAAAAGTGACCCAGCTCTTCCTCTGGTAAACGAACAAACTTTTTACCCTCGAGGACAAATGCTTCCATCACTTTAAGCTCATCATTCCAACCTTCCATTAATTTTCCTTCTTCTTCTGGATCCATTGATTTGGCTCTAGGCATGAAAAGTGCTGATGTATCAATTTTAACTTCTTGCTTAGACATCCATTCATGTAAATTAGCACCAGTTCGAGCAACTGAATCAGCAGTTCGAGTAAAATCTACAGCGATCACATCATCCCATCCATTGAATTTTGACTTGAATACTTGAGGTTCATTTCTAGAGTGTAAGAAAAAAGAGTGAATAATTCAAATGATGAGGAAGAGAAAACGTAAAACCAATTATTTAATTGCTAATTTGAAAACGAAAGCAGAAAACTCTGGCATTTAAATGAGACACACGGAAGAAAAAATCTAATCAAATTACAAATTTCCTAAGGAGTTCGTCAATCTCTTGATGATAATCACGATGATCTTGTTGATTTTAAGGAAGTCATTAAGATTGTCAAGTTTTGAAGAGTTAAATTACGCAATAATCAAAATGACAACTATTTTTAAACCAAGAACTGAAATTAGCTATCAGCTCAAAACAACAAAATCATCATCCTAAACCATAAGAATAGTTTGCAAATGCTAGTTAAAAATATTCTAGGAAATATATAGGAATTAAACTGTTATGTAAATGACTTGACAATTTTCAACAGTCAATTATCATAATCATTTATAAGACTAATCATCAACTCTAATTATTATTAATAGATTTATATTAATAACAACCGTTTTTAATAGGGTAAATAGTGAAAAACAATAAATGACAACGTAAAAATAAATAGCTCACATTGTATTGTTATTACATTTGGGAGGATCAAATTGTAATTTTGATTTGTCTGATTAACTTAAAAAGAATCGTAGAGAGAGAAAGAGAAATTAAATTGTGATGAATCAAAACTAATACCATGAAAAGTAAATAAAATGATCATTATGCTAAATCATCATTTCTAATCACGCTTCATTTACAGACTGTATTGTTTGGTTATGTATTCTCAGAGCATTAAACAAAACCTGAAACTAAAATTGTATTCGGAGGAGTTGAACAATTAACTTACCCTTGTAAACATCGAGTGATTAATGCAAGTTCCGGCCTTTTAATCATATCATACAATTCTTGAACCAATTTTATGGCAGCAGCTTTGACTAGACGAGGGGCTTTCCTACCCAACCTAATTCAACGGAAAAATATTAATGTATTGATTAGTAATTGATTGGAATAATTAGCTGATTGAAAAGATTATCCTAAAGGTTTAGTTGAAGTAATGACATTGAAAATGAGGATATAATTACCAAACAAATAAATCTGACGAGCAATCAAGGATATAGACATTTTTAGGTTCAAGTAGCGAAGGAAATAATTTGCCTTCTTTGAAATGAACTTGAGGAAGTTCAAGATAACCCATTCCCAGGCCAACTTTGTACAATATGGGATAACATGGTTTGAAATGGTCAAGATTTACATGGTCTTTAATCACAAGGGTACTAATTGTTGATTCATCTAAACTTAACTCCCGCCAAAATTCATCTGATTCCTCATTTTGTGAGATAAAAATAATCTCGGCTTTATTTTTTCTCTCCTCTTTATTAATCTTTTCCGCTAAAAGACGAGCCTTTTGTTTCATAGTATTTTTTGACCTTGTCCCATTCCAAACGTAAATGGAATAACCAGCATCCAGGACAAAAACAAATCGAGGATCCAACGATTCATAAGAAAGTGATACTGTTTCAAGGTAAAGTTGTCTTTGTTTATCTTGAAGTTCATGGAGTCGATACATACGGTGGACAACTTCTACTTCTTCCACCGTAAAGAATCCGGAAGCTGTTCGACCTCCCTCAATGTACATTATACGATCTGGGAAAAGAGAGAGAAACTCTTCCGATTCATCTCCCTGTTCTTCTCGTATGGTTCGACATTGTGCACCAAGAAAGTTACGAAGGTTGACAGCATGGATTGCGGAACAAGCTCTTTTATCAAGTGGAGCATTGGAACCAATCCAGAAGTAGATTTGCCAGCTTAAGCATTGATTATCATCTTCATCTGTTTTTAAAACAATATAACAATCACCCTCATAAAATTTACCATGAAGAGCCTCATCAACAACATTGGGTAAAAAATTCTCTATCTCCCAGACAGTTAAACCAGAAACTTGGCCAACATCCTCTTCAAAAATGTCACTATAATCCAATGGCGGTTTTTCTAATGCATCTTCCCATCTTTTAGGCTTTAAATTGGCATCACTTGACTCTGAAAGATCATCAACAAGTTGATCTCTTTCTCTTGCTAATTCACTCATTCCTTTAAGAACTTTTGCTTGATTTGTCTCATCATCTTCAGCAGCATTTCGATGGCGTCGACGTAATCTCAATTTACGTGCGATCGGATCTTTACTTGGTGCTATAATAATAATAAAAATTCAAAAAGAAAAACAAAAAATTTAATGTAAATGGTAATGAGAAATCATAATAATCATGTTTAAATGATGTTATGTGACACACACGGAGGTGGTAGGAGGAGGAATTGATGTCAGTAAAAAAGAACAGAAGAAAAAAGGATCAAGGTAAAAAAAAGAAAAGAATGAAAGTTATATGGAAAAAAAGAGTGAGTGGAAATTGTAGAAAAGAGTGAGAGAGAATAAAAGAAAACAAAAAGTCAATTGTGGTAACAATTACAAAAGAGAAGAATAAAAGGAAAAGTAAAAGATCAGTTAGAAAAAGAGAAACAACAATTTAGAAATTTCTTTTTAGGGAAAATTAACTTACATGTGGGCGAAGCGAGGTTTTTAGGCGCAGCAGCTCCTGCCATTCTTAATTGGGTCTTTAATGAGAAGTCGATATTATAATATTCAATTCCACTTCCTTTGGAGTATGAATGATATTCTGGAGGTTTCGGTGGCATAATAAGATCAGGATTATCAGAGAGATCGAGAATTTCTAAATCGTTTAAAAGGTGTATGGCATCGGGTAAAGTTATCAATCGATTATGGGAAAGGCTTAATTTCTTCAGTCTACCACAGCGGACAATTCCTTCGGGTATCATTTCTAGATTGTTATTTGAGGCGACAAAAACTTCTAGATTGGCAAGTTTACCGATACCGGAAGGTATACCATCAAAATCAATTTCATTAAAGCTAATGTACAGTCTTCGGAGTCGAGTTAATTTACATATTGATACTGGTAAAGAGGTAAGTTGATTACGTGATAAGTTAAGTGTATTTAATTGTTTCCATGTATCACCAAAATTTGGATCCAAGTTTGTGATACAATTTCCACTAAGATTAAGCCTTTTAAGGTTTGGTATTGTGTTTAACACGGGTGGCACTGAGTCGAGTTGATTTTCGGATAAATCTAATTCGCTAAGATGAACCAGAGATTCCAGGGATGAAGGTAAATTTTGTACATTACGTTGGGTGTTACGTAGATTTAAGGATCGAAGGGATAACAGAGCTGGTATCTGCCGTAATTGGTTATGTCCAAGGGGATTACAGCTGAGATTTAGAGTTTGTAATTTGACTAATCTTCTAAGTTGAGGAGGTAATGTTTCTAAGGAGAAGAAAAAAGTTGAATTATGTCAAATGTGTAAAAGTTATGATGATGATGATGATGTTGCTTGGAAGAGTAAAAATTGCTATTTGTGTATCGATGATAACTTACCTAGTTGGTTATAACTCAAATCTAAATACATCAATTCTGTTAGATTGACAAATAGTTGATTAGGAATCGAATCAATTTGATTGTGGTTTAAGTTTAGAACTAGAAGACTTTTAGCGTGCTCCAATTCGGTGGGCACTTCTTTCAATTGATTTCGACTTAAATCAAGAACTAAAAGCTCTTTAAGCTCAAATAGGGAAGACGGAAGACCACCATTTTTGATCTTGTTCTCGCGTACATTGAGATACCTTAAACAGTTCATGGCAACAATGTCAGATTGAAGGGAAACTAGATTATTTTTTATCAATGAAAGTGATTCTAATTTGGTTAATTTAGCCAATTCTTCAGGTACCCAATTCATGGCTGTCCGGTTAAGCTTAAGCCACCTTAGATCACTCATTTCAGTAACAATTTTGGTAAAATCCTCCTCCTGTGAAAATAGAAAGAGAGAAAGAAAGAAAGATTCCAGGTGAGAAACAGGAGAGACAACATCAAGAAAAATGAAGAACAGTGAGCGTAGAAATGAAAGAAGATTTGAATCAGAGTGAAAATAGAAAATGAAAAGAAAAAATAGATTTGAGTGTAAAGGTGAAAAAAAGACAGAGAAAGATTAATGTGGAAAATATTGCAAGACCAATAAAAGAGCGCGGTCAATGGGAATAAAATTGACATTGATAAGATGATAAATAACATAGGTAATGGATAGAAAAGATAGAAAGAGAGAAAGAAAGAGAAATAGTAAGATAAATAGATGTAGAGAAAGAGAAGAAAAAGAGAAAAAGATGATGAGAGAGAGAGAGAGAAAAGATGAAGATGAAAAGATTTACCTGGAAATTATTCCTACTGAGGTCAATCCCTCGGACGAAGGGTAGAACACCGGTTGATGACATCCCGGTCGATTGATTAAAGTTCTCCTATCGTTGATTACAATGGTTTAATTACAATCCAGTCAACGAATTCATTAAGAAAAAAACAGTTGATTAATAAATTAAATACAAAATTAACTTCTCTTCAATAAGAGGCCTGATAGAAAACTGAAAGAGTGTTTATTGCGCCTCCTCGTGAGGAGATGGTGACTGAACACCAGGATACAATGAATTGTTGTATTTCCTCTGGTGAGGATTCAGTACTCATGGTACTGGTAAGGGTGGGGTTGAGTTGGAACTTTTCATGTAATTTAAGGATGACAGAGTTATTAATATGTTTATGAGATTGTCTATTTTAGTTGAATCATTTTTTTCTCCTGTTAATATGAAACTGGGTAGGTGAAAGGGAAAAGTGTTAGGACATGAGAACAGGTAGTGTCGAAATGATTTGTTCGTTTTTCCATTGGCTCTTCTGTTTTGGTTTCTGATTCCAATTGTTGAGGTTAACTGTGTGATAATTGTGATGATTTTGTTGAGGGAGTGACCACCATAGTAATATATTTTTTTCTTTGAGGTAGGGAAGACAAGGTTGAGGAGATTGTTTTCTTTTAGGTATTTTTTGAAGACCAGATTATTGATTTCTTTTTCCAATTCTGATTTGTAGGCATTTCTAGACATGAAGTTGTGTTTGATTAGGATAGGTTGATGTACAATGAATCGGCATTTCTCCTGGGCAGCGATATGAATGAAGTGTCGGCCATGGTGGGTGTTTAGGATGTTGCTCAAGTCGAGATAGGTATTAGATGATGAGTATTTCACCAAGTTATCAGGAATTATGTAAATGACATTCTGATTATGAGTCAGTGAGACCATGAGCTGAGTAGCAACTAGTTGCAGTTGTATTAGCGGTAAAGGGTCAGTGAGTAGGTATTGTTTGGTGAACTCGGAAGTGATGATATTGATGAAGCGATTGTTGTAAGTGTTGAACGGACAACAGGCCAGAAAAGTTCGGTGACTGATTGAGGTGGTTTTGCAAAGGTTGAATAAGAGGGTCTCGGCAGTGTATTTAGGATAGGCCAATTGTTATTATTATTTTTTAATCGAATATAACTTTTGTGTAAATCGGTGAGCCAAATGACAACAGGATTGGTGAGTTTTCGGGCTGTTAGGTGAACCCAACCAGAGGTAAACGATTTAGGGTTAATTATTGAGCGAAGTGTGGTGAGAATGATTTTTTGGATTCGATTGATGATCTTTTCCCATTTTTCTTCCTTGTAGAGGATATCAGGACCTAATGAGTATAAGAGATGATTAATATGAGATTGAATATATAAATTACTTATTTGAATGGGAAGTTTTGATATCAATGCTGGTGATCCAATGGAGATTGTAGATTTTTTGATGAGGTTTTTTAATTCATCTAGATTTTTGGGTTTAATGATGTGTTTGCCTGTGAAAAAGGTGTCGACACTTTCAATGGTGATGATTTTGGTTTTATCTCGGTTAATCTTCAATCCAATTTTATGTAGTTCGGCTGCTACAAACGAAAGATGGGATTCAGAATTGATCACATCCGATAGAATGACCATATCGTCGGCGAACGCTTTGGTTGTGATTCCATTGTTATTGATGACTTTAAGAGCTGCATTTAGTCCAATTATAAAAAGGATTGGTCCAAGTGAGGAACCTTGAGGTACACCCTCCGAGTCCTGGCGATATCGAAATTTCCCACCAGTGAAAACACGCAACCATCGATTGACCATAAATTGCTGGACGAGGTTCACAGTTCCTATTGAAAGTGACGACAATAGTTCAGAGATGATGGAATCATGAGTAATTTTGTCGAAGGCTGATTCAGCGTCGATCATCACGAGAGTAGTTAATTGTTTATGAATGTGTTCTACTAGTTCAAAATGAAGGTCAGTGTTACTCGTGTTTCTCTGGTTTGCATATTGAGTGAAAGGCATGATGATTTCAGGTAATTTGGTTTTGAGGCGATTGCTGAGGATGATGTCGAAGGGTTTGAGTAGGTAATTGGATAGTCTAAGTTGTCTTAGTTTTCCATTGGGTTTTGGAATCAAAGTGAGGCCAAATATTTTCACAGTTTGTGGTAGGTAACCGATGTTGAAACAGTGGGAGATTAGATTGATTAGATATTTTTTGTTGTGTTTCCAGAATTTGTTCCATTGCATGTTGGTGAATGAATCAGCTTGACCAGAACCTTTGTTAAATGTGAGGTTATCAAGCATATTTATCTCATGAGGTGTAAGAGGTGAAGGTTGAGTAGCTGCTGACGGGTAGAAAATGGGTTTGTTATGAGTGAAAGTGTTAATTATCGGAGTTCGATGTGGGTTATCAAAGATGATTTGATCAATGTTGTCAGATTTTTTGAATGTTTCGTTTAGTTTTTTCCATAGTATTTTAGGATCTTTGATTTTGGTCCATCTAATGTACATTTTACGTTTTCTAAGTATCAGTTCACGAGTTTTGAGGGCACGAAGGGACGAGATGATGTTAGTGTTACCATTATTTAAGGATCTTTTTTGTCTGTTGATTAACCTTCTCAAGCGGATGATTTGTCTGCAATGTTTTGTAAAGTTTCGTTGTGATTTGATTTGATGGTTGAGGGGAAGTTGATGATGGTGGTAAAGAGTTTATCAATTTCGCTGGTGATTGTAGGTAGATAATTCAGATTTTTCGGGAGATTATAGTTATTAATATGATAGATCGGTGGTGATTGTTGGATTTTGGCGAAGGTTTGATTTGTTTTTAGTTGTATTTGAAATAATCTGTGATCGGCAGGAAAGTCATGATAAATGAGATTTAAATTAGGGATGTTCGATTGGGCAATGATGTCAATCCATGATAAACAGGATCCTCGTTGGAAGGTGTAATTCTGTGGAGTAGGTGTGTTGACAATGGTGAAGTTATTTTCAGTGATGAAAGAGGCGATAAGTTTCCCTCTCATGAGTTTATATGCTACACGGTGAGACCAAAGGGGGTTATCACAGTTGACATCACCTAGTAGTAGAGTGGGATGGTTACAAATTTTTGCTATATTCATGGTGAAGTTGGAGTAGGTGATGTGTGGACTGGTGAGGTTGTGAAGGTATACAAGGTGTAGGAGAAATTGTCCATCGATTGATTCAATAAGTGCGCTGATTATTCCAGGGCAGGAAATGTTTTTTGCTAATACTTTTAGTTGTGGACCAATTGCGATGACGGCGTGATCATTTACAATTAGGTGAATGCCTAGAGATTTAATAATTGTTTTATAATCGGCTTCTAGGAGACAGACTATTGTTTTAGGATTGACGGCTTTGCTTAAAAGGTCGCTGGTGCATTTGGCTGTCTTTGCGACATTAGCGTACCAAATGTTGATCATTAATAGTTGAGGTAAGAGACAAATGATTGGGGTAAAATAATCCAGTCGTAGTCAATGTTGACCTGTTTGATAAGAGAAATTATCTTATTTTTCAACGCTGGGCACGTTTTGCAGTTGAAGAGATGGTCGCGAGAATGTTCACAATTTGGACACCGTGGGGGGTTGATACAATGGTTGTGAACAGGTTGACAACAACGTAGACAAATCTTGGGTTTGTTGCACGAGAATGAATCGTGAGCCAATGATCCACACTTATAACACGTTTTGAAGTCAAGGAAATCCCAGAATTTAACTTGAGTATCGTATACAATGAGGTAACCACCTTTCGAGAGTAGGGTGTTTCGGTTGGCAGCACTTATAGTTAAGGTTATTAGTTGACTTTTGGCAATTTTTTTGATCTCAACAACTCGTGTTTGACGATCTTCTATTAGGTTGTTGGCGGAGATGAGGTGTTGAGAGAGGGAAGATGACGTAAGGTTGGTAGCAGAAACTTTGATGATAAATCGAATTCGTGGATTAACTTTTTTTATCTCACGACAAGTGAGTACATTAGTGGGTTTTACTAAAGAGGCAAAGTCAAGAAGGGAGTCACGATTATAAAATCTTATCAGGATTGAGTCACGTTGTTTTTTAATGAAGGAAATTTTATTATTAGCTCTTGGTAACTGTTTAATAATTAGTTCAACTTGGTAAGATAGTAAGAAGCAACCAGAACGAAGTGGTACAGATTTTTTGTGTTTAACTACAAGAGTATGTTGGGTTGTGGGGTAAAAGATGGGAAGCCAATTATTATTTAGGGCAAATTGTTGTATGAGATTTTGGGTCATTTTAGTAAGTAGAGGAGGAAAAGAGAGAAATGAAGAAAGATGCAAAGGGAAAAGATTTAAATTGGTAGAGTTAAATTGTAAGTTAAGTGGTATCGTTGATGAGTTAAAGAAGAATGTTGTTTTGAGCGAAATGGAGAGTTAATTATTTGAGAGTTGAGTTTGGGTATAATAAGGCAATTAAGTTGTTTATCTGAGGTGTTAGGTTACTAATGGTTGTGAGCTTGTGATGATATGTGAGGAATTAACAAGTTAATGGAAAATGTTAATAGGTTTAAGTGATTAGTTCATAATCCATGTGTATTGAAAGTTTCGTCTTTCAATCTCTGAGATCAATCGGCTTAAGTAGAATTCACATTGACGTGAGAATGCATCGTGTCCATATTTTCTACAATTGGGGCAAAGCCATTTGGATTTATCATTGCTTATTGGGCAAACTGCATTCATATGATTTTCTCCATCATAAGGGCATTTGGTTATTTTTTGGCAAAACTTGGCATTGTGACCAAATTTGGTGCACTTGCGACAAATCTTGATGTCAAAATAATCTTTAGCTTGAATGAGGGCGAAGCCTGAGAAAATGTGACCAAAATTGGATTGTATCATTTCACGTAAAGAGGGGCAAATTTCAGCCACTACATTGTGTTTACCTTCTATGGCTTTCATGAAGTGTAAAACTTTGAATTTGTATTTATCTGCCCATTTGTTTCTCTTCTTTAATTTTTCGATCCAGTTTTCAATGTTGTTTTCATCGAACTTGGTATTAATCAAGATTATCTGTGGGTCCATGAGCGATGGGATTTTAACTGACCATTCAGGTTTGGCAGCGCATAAGAAATTGTAGAATGTGGTTCTATCTGAAATGTCCATGAGTTTAACTTTGGCAGAGTCAAAGCCAGTTTCGATTGAGACTATGCGACCAAATTCACTCTCAGTTGTTTCCAGGAAGTTTTCAAGATTTTGAACAGTTTGGTTGCCTATTGATGAATCTCTTTTGTTTTTTAAAGTAGGAATCTTGACAATGACAGCAGGTCTGATTTGGTAATCATCAATTTTGAACCAACTTGGAGGTCGTGTCTTGTTTTTTTCATATTCGATGCTGAGAGTGTTTCTGATTTGGTTGTTGCTCATAAGATCAAGTTTGATTTCGGCTGGTTTAGCAATTTGATGGACCGTTTCTTCATTCTTGGCTTTGATACACGAGGCAATGAATCTGTCAATCTTAACAATCATTTCAGAAGGGGATTTGGAGATCCAATCATGACTTCTGAGAGCTGATTTGCACCATTTGATGATCGGAAAAGTCTCAATCATTGAGAGTAATTTGGTGTTGTCAATTTTTTCAGGTGAGTAGGCGACAGCAAAGGCGGTGGCAATTTCATGGTTGGTGATGGGTGGACTTTTGGGGTCAAGCTGAAGGTGAGAATAAAGAGGAAGAGCATAAATTGTAATAGTAATTAATTAATTGTGATTGTTCAGTTTGTATTGAGTTATGTCTGGATTGTTTTTTGTCTGTATTAATGTGTGTATGGTTAAAGTGGATCCTATTGTTTGGTACATGTGTATATTGTAACCGGAAGTGGCTATGAAAAACTTACCAAAGAGGTTAATTGATCCGAACAAGGGAATGAGACGGCCATTTTTTTGTTATGATGTATCAAAATGATGCTCAGTTGGTGGTGAAAAGGAAGAGAACGTAATAATTAAATAAATGACACAAGAAAACAATTAATTAGGGGGATGAAGATTATTAGATGCGAAAGAGAATTTTTATTTTCAAAAGAAAGTTTTAAATTCTCTCCACAAGAGATGGAGCCACTTTCGATTCGCTGTCAAATTTTTTGGGCGGAAAAAAATTCATTTGAAAAAGAAGGAAAAATTTCGCAATTGTGATTATCTTAATTAGTTAATTATTCTTCCATTTTACTTTTGAATCAACTGGAACATCATTCATTCCCTGGAACAATGAGTCTGATTCTTGTATTTTGTACACTTTTGTTTTCATTGGTTGGATTGTTTCTTTTTTTTTCGCAAGAAAAACAAATGAAAAGTTGATTAGATTTATTGAGAAAAAGTTATTTGAATTTATTTTGATTCTAATTGTTGTGATTAAATAATTAAAATGAAAGCGCATTTTGATTGAGTTAAAATTGAAATTGTTTAGATAAATTTTAATCAAAGATTCGTCTTGATTATTTTAGTTTTTTTCTGTTGATATTTTGATACAATTTTGCTAATCACAATAGAATGGAAATTGATCAAGTGATCAATTAATTTCTTTTGAAATTGATTTAATTAAACAACAACAATCATAATTACATTGAATTCTTAAACAAAGTGTTTATAAGAATTTATAATCAAGTAAATTATACAATTACAAGATGATTGAATTGATCGAAATGATCAAGTGTTTCTTTTCTCACTTTTCTCATTCTTATTTAGTTTGAACAATCAGTTTAACTATTGTCTCGTTAATTGTTTACCTCGTACATGCATTTCCTCTGATCCCTTGAATGGTTTTCCATTAATTTTCGATTAATTGTTAAAAAGTTTATTATTTTTTATGATTCTTTAATTTAAAAGATATTCTATTTTTTCGGGTTTACTTGGTTCCTTTTTTTGTTTCTTTCCTTCCGGTCAATCTTTCTCTTAGTTTATGTGTTTAGATAATTTCATTTTCTTTTTTTTCTTTAAATCAATTTAATCTTTTATTTAATCAATCTTATTCCCATTCGGTGGTAGCTGGTGGTTTAGGGGTCAAATCGTATAATACACGAGATATACCATTAACTTGTGACACAGAGTCGACAATTTGCTTGATTAGCTAGAAGGTAAAAGAGAAAGAGTTTAATTAATATGATTTTTTTGTGGAAAAAGAGAATAAATTTTTTCATTTAGATTATTAATTACTCACCTCTAGAGGTAAATGTTTATCTGGTACTGCTGGTATACCAGTCATAAAATCTTCAGTGATTAGGGTTCTTAATACAACGGACCTTTGACAAGAGGGTTGTCTTGATGCGACATCACGATCAAAGTGAATCGGGATCAATATTACCGGCATTTGGGCTACACTGTTGTAATATCCTGATGCTGCTAATTTAGTTTGAGCAATATAATCGCATTCTCTTAGAGTGCTCAAAACTTGGGGAGTTAAATAGGTTGGTGTTACATCTTGTACTGGATAGGAGACAACCCCTCCAAAGATAAAACAAACTCTATTAACATTATGACAAATACGAGGAATAATTTTCGCTAAAGTTATCAAATCTTCCCACTCGGTTGGAAGCTCTTCACATGAAAGACCCACCACATGACTATAAGACCTACAGTCTCCCTGAAGATAGCAAAAAGAAGAAAATTAATTAGAGACAAGATCAGAACAATAGACAACTGATTAAACACTTACTTGAACACCAACACTTTTGATAGGAAGTAAAGATGATGTAAGTTTGTATTTTTGCCCTAAATTTGACAGAAATTCTCTTTCGTCTTCAGTGGTAGCATTTTGAACACGATTTAGAAGTGCATGTTTCTAGAAAAGAAAAGGGAAAGATATTGAAGAAAAAGGAGATTATAATAAATAAAAATTGACAATAGAATTTACTGAAAGGAGAAAATAATTGATAAGTTACCTTAATTAAGGCATTACTGTAGTTGACAATAACTTTTACAAGAACGGCAGTTTCGGAGAAATCACGTCCCATGAAAGCTTCAGTAGCGCAAAGGATACGAACTGCAAGACCTGGACCAGGGAAGGGATGTCGTTGAACAAATTCTTCGGGTAAGCCTAATTTTCTTCCAAGCTCACGAACTTCATCTTTGTGGAAATCTTTTAAAGGTTCAACTACACGACCTTGATCTCTCAATTGTCGGACTAATTCGGTATCATTGTGATGCGTTTTAATAGCATCTGCATTGGAACTAGCTAACTTTGAAGCAGACTCTATTAGATCAGGACGCAAAGTACCCTGACCAAGAAACACGTCTTCAGGTTTTAAGTTAAGATCACGGACAATTTCATCTGCAATCTTAACAAAAGTGTCACCGATAATTTGTCTCTTCTCTTCGGGAGCTGTAGTTTGACAAAGGATTTCGGTTGCCTTTTTACGACTTGGATCTTTTCTGTCGACCGGTACAGTAGTTGATGCATTATAAAATTGGTAAGAAGCATTGATAACTAAAACGGAAAAGAAAGTAAAAATTATAACACAAAAATTGCAAAAATTAACACTACTAATATCGTTTAAATTAATTACCTTTAAGATTCAAACCAAGACGTTTAAGTGACTTTTCTACTTGATCACTTTCTTCTTTACGCATAAAACCGTTATCAATGTGAAAAGCTATAACTTGATCGGGTTTTAAAGCTTTGTGAAGGAGAGCAGCACAAACTGTTGAATCAACCCCTCCACTTACGAGCATCTGTATTGACAATTAAGTGAGAGAGAAAGAGACAGGATAAGATAATGAGAAATTGAACAATATGAAGAAGATAGTCTGTTAAATTTGACTAACCAGAACTTTACTGTCACCAACGGTTTTTTTAATAAATTCAACACATTCTAATTCACGACTTTGCATGGTGTAAGAACCAGTACATCCACAGATTTCGTATAAAAAGTTCTTAATCATTTGTTTACCGTTAGGAGTTAAATCTACTTCAGGATGAAATTGAACACCATATAACCTTTTCTGTTCATTAGCAATACCTATTGTGAGAGAATAACAAAAGAAAGACAAAATTTTAAAATAAACAATACAATAAATGAGTAAAAAGCTGTAAAAATACTAAATAATTTACCTGCAATGATATTCTTTGAGTTTGCTATTGCTTTAAAACCTTTAGCGATTTGACTTATGCTATCTCCATGGGTTAGAAGAACCTCTTCTTCTTCATTAAGTCCTCTGTGATTGAAGAAAGAGAGAAAGAAAGAAAGAAAGAAATATATCCAAAAAGGTGAGTATCAATATGTTAAGAAAATGACATTTTCTTGTGCTCACTTAAAAAGAAGACATTTGTTGTCTATATCGATTTTATACTGTCCATCTTCGCGACCTTGGCCTCTATCTACGGTACCTTCGAATTCTTTATTTAACATTTGCAGACCATAACATATTCCAAGAACTGGTTTATTCAAAAGGAAAATCTCAGGATCATATGGTAATGCATCGCCAGCGTAAACGGAGCCGGGACCGCCAGAAATAATGATTCCTCTGGTTAGACGAGAAAATGTAAAAGTTAACAATTGTTTAATTAATAGAGAAAGAAACAAATCAGATTAATTTGATTATCATTGAGATTGAATCATCTATCAAGGGAAAAGATCTCAAGAGCAAGGATGAAAGATTATTGATTTGTTAATGTTACGATAGTAAAAAAAAATAATGAGATGAGATACTCAAAATATGATGATTAGCTAATTGTCATTTGTAATTAAAGTATTGATAATGAGGTCTTAAGAGTTAATATTGTTGGGGAGATATTGATAAATCTTTTAATCAGATGAAAAAAATTGAATGATTTACTTGAGATTATTTGAGATTCAATAAGATTGATTAAATGAGGGATAAAATATTAATAAAGGAAAACATGTTTACGTTAATGGGAAAATATTAATCTATCTGATTGTTTAAAAAGCATTAGAGACAAAGATTAATCTGATGATAATATTGGAATTGGATTGGAAACAATATCACCTTTGATTGTAAGATAGTGAATCAAGTGGTGATAAGTTAATTATATGAAAGAAAGGGAGGTATCACTTACTTGTATCCGTCTGATTCCAATTCTTTGGCTGGTGTATTAAGAGGAAGGATAATTGACTCAACTGCAAGTTCACGAACTCGACGATCGATTATTTTACCATATTGAGCACCAGCATCAAGAATGGCCACTTTTTCGGAAAAACCGATACCGTTGAAACCTTGGGCTGAGGACATGTTGTAATTTTTGCAAATCAACCGCAGAAAATTATATAAAATCTAAGCCGAAAGTGACCAAAAGGTGTTTCCCTCGCTTTAAGGATTGATCAGAGGTAGTATCTGTAATGGTTGAAAGAGAAAGTAAATTAATTAATCAGTGAGTGACTTATTTACAATTAAGTATCATAAGTATAGAAATAAATGTCAAATGTAAGAGATTTAAACCTCAAGTGAGATAGAAAAGGGGAGAAGGGGATAAATGAGCAAGAATTATAGCAAAAGAAACATTTAGATCGCCGAAAATTGGACTATGAATTTAGATCAAGATTACTAATAGAGAATAGAGAATATTCTTATTATTACTGAAGAATAAACATCGAATTCGAACTAATGATAAATAAGCAATATTAAAATAGAAGAGAGAGAGAGTGAGTAGAAAGACAGGTAAGAGAGAGAGAGAGAGAGACACACACACAGATGATGAAGATGAAGATGGAGAAAGTGGCCAAGATCATATCAGATTTTAAAACGAAACAATTAAAACAAGTAAATATGCGACCGGTGATGGATAGAATAGAACAATTGATAAATTAGTAGAAACATGGATTAAATTTAGTTCTAAGTAAACAAAGATTAAATTGTGAAGTAAAATAATGAAATCAGGCAAAGGGAGAGTAAGAAGAGAAAGAGGAGAAAGTAAGAAAAGAAGCAAAGAGAAAATTATTCAATAGAAAGGTAAGGATAGTCATTACCGAATTTCTAAGATCACATTCACAAGTAAATACAATGAAGACACAGTAATATAGTAGCTTGACAATCAATAATTACCTTTTAGGAATTTGAATCAACTCAAGACACTTAATTAATCATAACTATTTAATTAAATATAAAAAATTCAACAAAAGGTTGAAAATATGAAAGCGGAAAATAAAAGAAATGAACAACAGAGGGAGTAACTTTTTTTTCTTTTCTCTTTTTGTGTCTCCATCTGCTGGTAGAATTTAAGGTTAGTTCAAATTCTTTTTCTTTTTCAATGGTCCCTTTTTCGATTTTTCTTCAGCAAAATCGACAAACTGATCTTTAGAAAATATTTTCCTTTGTATTCTTATATTTATCTTTGAATTTAAATGAAAGAAAATTGCTTAAAAATATACGAAGAGAATTTTTGTGGTAGAGGACAAAGTTGATTCTATATCAGTCTTTATTAATAGAGATGATAATCGGATGATCGAGAGAAAGAAGAGGAAAGGTTAAGGTGGACAGAAATAGGAAGAAAGAATTTATGAGAAAAGAAAAAAGGGAGAGTGAGAGAAAGAGAGAAAGAGAGAAAAAAATGATGAATAACATCCATGCCATTTATACAATAGCTGCTTCTCATTAAATCGCAAGAACGTGAAGGATGTTTGATTTTTTAGTTCTTCTTATTTGTTTACCAAATGTGATGCAAGTAAAATGATCTTATCCTTGTTTAGTCAATAAGAAATTGTGAGATTGGGTAGCAGCGAATTCAGCTTGACCATGAACACCCGAAGAAATGTGTTGTAATGGAACATTAGCACCAACTGTTCATTAGTCAATCAATCAATTGAGAAAATAAGATAAAATTGTCATTAGATATCAAAAGAAGATTAATACAAATATGAGTTATTCAACTCACGTTGACCAGCGCTGTGCTCACCAGAGATGTGCTGCTGTTGTCGAGGAAGTTGCAGTTGACTTTTGTTCACATTGACATCGGATAATCCTTTTACTTTCAATGATTCGGCTGATTTAAGAACCGATGCCAATTGTTCTTGAGGTACAAATACTTCACCTCGATAAATGAACTCAACTATAGCTCTAAGATCAGCAAATGGTACGTCCTTCATGATGACAACTGGATATTGATATGGGTTAATGAATTTGCTGAAAATGTTCTTGAAATACGAAGAACAAGCACTCAAAACCATCTTATGAGCTCGAATACTACCATCTTTACAAGAGAGAGTTACATCAACTAATGATTCTTCTTTAAACATTCGTTCAAAGTGCTCAGACATGTCTGAACTATGGTTATTACGTCGGAGACAAAATGCTTGTGCAGAGGACATGGTGAATTAGTGTTATGTAAAATGTTAACCAACAAAAGAAAAATATTCGTAAATTAAGATGATCAAAAGGTGGTTTTCCCTCGCTTTATCGATTAATCAATGGTTGTAATCTGTAAATGAGAAGAGAAGAGAAGAGAAGAGGAAAGAATAAAAGAGAAAGTGGATTAATAAACATCACTCTTGTTGTTTACCATTTCAAAGTGACAATTTCATAATTAATAATGTTACTGCTAATAAACTGATGTCACGCAAATAAGAGATTTACATACTCTTTTGAGACAGAAGAGGTGAAAAATAAAGGAAAATGTGGAAAAAATAATAAAAATTAAAAACAAAATGGAAAAGCAGATTGATTGAGATCGCCGAAAATTCAACCATGAATGTAGAAAAATTTCATCAAACAGGTAACAAAGAGAAACACAGATGATGAAGATTACATGGGCGAAAATGTATCAGATCTTTAAGAAACGAATACCAGAGCAATTAAGAATTTCATTCAATCAATTGAATTTCATTAAATGAAGAAAATCAATTAACATCGAATTAATTTCCGGGTAAAAGAGAAAAATCAAAAAATTGTGGAACAAAACACAAAAGAAAAGATTAAAGAAAGAGGAGAAAGTGAACAGAGAAGCAAAGGAAAAATTTCCATACAAAAGGGTGAACACAAAGACCAAATGTCCAATAAACTAATTCTTATAATTAGACAAATCGACTGACCAAACACATTAATTAGCTTAAACAATTAATAATTACCTTTTAGGAATTTGAATCAACTCAAGACACTTAATTAATCATAACTATTTAATTAAATATAAAAAATTCAACAAAAGGTTGAAAATATGAAAGCGGAAAATAAAAGAAATGAACAACAGAGGGAGTAACTTTTTTTTCTTTTCTCTTTTTGTGTCTCCATCTGCTGGTAGAATTTAAGGTTAGTTCAAATTCTTTTTCTTTTTCAATGGTCCCTTTTTCGAGTTTGTAAATAAAAAAATTCAAATTCTTGGAATTAATTTTCTTTTTTTCTATAGTGACTTTTGTTCATTGGAATTGGTTAATTAGTTTTTCTTTTTATTTGAAATCCATTTGTTTTCTTGGAACTTGTTATGGCGAGACATCATCCTGATCTTATCTTTTGTCGTAAACAATCTGGTGTTGCCATTGGTCGTCTTTGTGAAAAATGTGATGGTAAATGTGTTATATGTGATTCTTATGTTAGACCATCGACTTTGGTTCGTATTTGTGATGAATGTAATTATGGTTCTTATCAAGGGCGATGTGTTATCTGTGGAGGTCCCGGAGTATCTGATGCCTATTATTGTAAACAATGTACTATCCAAGAGAAAGATCGAGATGGCTGTCCAAAGATAGTTAATTTAGGTTCATCGAAAACTGATCTTTTCTATGAGAGGAAAAAATATGGTTTCAAGAAAAGATGATTTTCTCTCATCATTTTAACTGAAGTTTTTTACTTTTTCTTTTCTTAAGTTACCTGTTTATATATTTATGTTTATATTGAATAAAGAAAAAAAAAGATAACTAAGACGATTTAAATGTCTGTGGTAGAGGACAAAATTGATTCTATATCAGTCTTTATTAATAGCGATGATAATTGGATGATAGAGGAAAAGAAGAGAAAAGGTTAAGGTGGACAGAAACATGAAGAAAAAAAGAGAAAAAAAGAGAGTGAGAGAGAAAAAAATGATGAATAACATCCATGCCATTTATACAATAGCTGCTTCTCATTAAATCGCAAGAACGTGAAGGATGTTTGATTTTTTAGTTCTTCTTATTTGTTTACCAAATGTGATGCAAGTAAAATGATCTTATCCTTGTTTAGTCAATAAGAAATTGTGAGATTGGGTAGCAGCGAATTCAGCTTGACCATGAACACCCGAAGAAATGTGTTGTAATGGAACATTAGCACCAACTGTTCATTAGTTAATCAATCAATTGAGAAAATAAGATAAAATTGTCATTAGATATCAAAAGAAGATTAATACAAATATGAGTTATTCAACTCACGTTGACCAGCGCTGTGCTCACCAGAGATGTGCTGCTGTTGTCGAGGAAGTTGCAGTTGACTTTTGTTCACATTGACATCGGATAATCCTTTTACTTTCAATGATTCGGCTGATTTAAGAACCGATGCCAATTGTTCTTGAGGTACAAATACTTCACCTCGATAAATGAACTCAACTATAGCTCTAAGATCAGCAAATGGTACGTCCTTCATGATGACAACTGGATATTGATATGGGTTAATGAATTTGCTGAAAATGTTCTTGAAATACGAAGAACAAGCACTCAAAACCATCTTATGAGCTCGAATACTACCATCTTTACAAGAGAGAGTTACATCAACCAAAGATTCTTCTTTAAACATTCGTTCAAAGTGCTCAGACATGTCTGAACTATGGTTATTACGTCGGAGACAAAAAGCTTGTGCAGAGGACATGGTGAATTAGTGTTATGTAAAATGTTAACCAACAAAAGAAAAATATTCGTAAATTAAGATGATCAAAAGGTAGTTTTCCCTCGCTTTATCGATTAATCAATGGTTGTAATCTGTAAATGAGAAGAGAAGAGAAGAGAAAGTGGATTAATAAACATCACTCTTGTTGTTTACCATTTCAAAGTGACAATCTCATAATTAATAATGTTACTGCTAATAAATGTCACATTAGCAATAGATAATAAAATACTTTACTATAGTAAGAATAGTGAAAGATGAGATAAAAGATAAGCAAAAAATGATACTGAAAGATCAGAATTAATATTTAATTCGAGCTAATAAGTGAGAAATATTGAACAAGATGAGAATAAAGAGAATCTCGCATATGATGGAGAACAGCAAAGATAAATTAAAAGAGAAAAAGAATATTTTCTATTGAGTTGATATTACGTTCGGTGGACACTTATAAAGAACAACGGTAACGATAATATTTAAATCAAGGATTCAGGAGAAAAAATTGAATTCTGAAGTAAATAAAAAAAAGGAGAAAACAAATCAAGAGAAAGAGAAAGACACAGACAGAGAAGAAAGGAGATGAAGAAGAGAAAGTGAGCAAATAGAAAAAGAGAGAAATTTCCAAACAAAAGGGTGAACACAAAGACTAAATGTCCAATAAACTAATTCTTATAATTAGACAAATCGACTGACCAAACACATTAATTAGCTTAAACAATTAATAATTACCTTTTAGGAATTTGAATCAACTCAAGACACTTAATTAATCATAACTATTTAATTAAATATAAAAAATTCAACAAAAGGTTGAAAATATGAAAGCGGAAAATAAAAGAAATGAACAACAGAGGGAGTAACTTTTTTTTCTTTTCTCTTTTTGTGTCTCCATCTGCTGGTAGAATTTAAGGTTAGTTCAAATTCTTTATCGGGAAATAATTCAATTTATTTTCTAATTCTGTTGATTGAATTATTGAATTGATGATCAGTTATTGATTATCAGTGATTTTCAATGAGCTATTTTACTATGATGAAGCGCCTTTCACTTTATCCAAGCAATTTTAGGTAATTACAATAGTTTTGACCGAGATAATGGAAAAATATACATGTAATTGATTCGGTGAGAATAAAAATTGTCTTTATTGTGGTTTTGATAGTTTTTTTTTTGAGATTTTTTAATTGTTTTCTGTTAGGTTAGGGTAGGATTTGGAATTGATTTAGTTTTTGTTGTTCTTCTTGTTCAATAGTGTTTCTTTGCTGTTGTGAGAATGGAATCAACAAAATGTGACTTAATCTTGAGATCGTGTTTTTCTTTGGTTATTATGGTTAAGATGAACATGTTATTCGGATTCGCATAAGGTTTGATTAACTCGGCAGTCGCTGGGTCCAATTGAAGGTCGATATCTAATTCGTCCATGTCATGTGGAATTTTCGAGAATTTGAAAGACTTAAGAAGCTTCTTGGTGGCTGATAAAGGCTTCGCTTTCGGAGTATAATAAGTGAACGCGATTGTTTCAGAAGCCAAGATGATCGGAGTGACGGCCATCGGTTTGGTGAATGGGTCGTGTAAGATGGTCAACATTAGAATGTCCGATTTCTTGAAAGTAATTCGACACTTTTCTTCCCATTCAGTTTTCTTTTCTTTCTTGGTCACTTTAATCATCGGTTTCTCGACAATTGTTTTCACTGGTTCATAAACTGGTGGAGGTTGAGGATAAGGTGATGGAACATTTTTCATTTCCAATTCAGGCTCTTCACTTTCTCCACTAAATGGTAACCAAGCTAATTAATAAAATTAACAAATCCAATCAAAGAACAAGACCAAGAAAAAGAATCAAAACAATCGATTAGTTAATTGTTGACAAAAGAAACGAAAAAAAGTCAATCAATATTAATACTTACAAGAAGCTCCTGAGACAGTTTGGATTAGGAAAATGACCAAGAACAATTGATGAAGAGTATTCATGATGAAAGAATCAAGTTAATCAAGAGTTGGATCCACAAAAGAATAGACAAATTGTTTGAACGAAGAGAAACTTGAAAGTGATCTTTAAACGGAGATTTGTGGCCTTTTTATATTCACTCTGATGAAGAAGACGAAGGAAGAAAATTAAAAAGTTTATCATCTGCAAAATGGATTATCTTCCAAGTTCAAACTAAATTTTTCGATAAAACGATTAACTCAGGTAATTAATTAACTTTTGGAACTTTACAAACCTCGAGGCTTAATCATAGAATCAGCCTAAAGTACAATGATGATGATTCTTCGAAAACCACAGAGTACTAATTGTTTAGATCTTTTCAATCTCTTCATTAGATAAATTGATCAATTGAAGAGAAAGAAAAAGATTAACTAACAATCAATAGTTGAAGAAAAATAGATTATTATCATTTAGAATAATTTTAACCCATTTAGTTGATTATTATGAGAATTCAATCAAATCAAACGTGCCCTTTGAAAATTGTTCACTATCAATGGGATTAAACTGAATAATTTTACCGATAAATACCTGATTAATTAATAGAAATTAGTTTTCGATTAAAATTTCAAGACAATTCTTTATTATCATTGATGATCTTTCTTCAAGTCAATCTCTCATCTTATGATTTACTGATGAGGCTCCAATGTTTGTTTATTTTTCTTTTTGTTTGTTGTGTATGTATTAATGTATGTATGTAGGTGTGTATGTGTAAATTTCCATGTGTGTTAATTAATCATGGAGAGAAAGAAAAAAATTCTTAGTTTTTGGCGCGTAATACTTGATAATAAAAACGACGATGAAATAAATAAAAAAAATTTAAACAAAAGTGAAGCAAAATTGATAGCTTTGAAATCAAGAGCATATCTGAGAAATTTGAACATATCAGAAGTCTAGATGTTTTTAACAGATCAAAATAAATGCCAATTAGAGGTATATAAGATTTCAAATTGATTTCTTTTTCACAGGAAAATTAGAAAATAAGTTTAAAAATTAGTCCTACCCCTGTAGGGTACGTTTGATCGGTGTGGGTATCTTCCACCCCGTACAGGGCCACCGGTATTACTACCACTTCCATAACCTGTGCTGTAGCCGCTGGTGTACCCGCCGCCACTTGGCCATCCGGCGCTAGGACCTGAAGTAAACAAGATGATTATAAAATCGATTAGTAAAAAGTAATTTTAATGGTCGATTTTTTCATTCAATTAGTTGATTGATAAATCTGTAAATGATTTTATTAATCACTAACTATACCCACCGCCTTGATTCCAGCCTTGACTACCATAGCCTTGTCCATAGCCTCCAGCGTATGAGCCACCGTCTAAAAAGGATTACAAAAAGACCATTTTAGTTATTCTAAAAATTATTAAACTTTTTCTAATAAAAATTAAAAAAATGTAGAGTCCGATTTGATCGAGTATGAGAGTCTTAAGGTTGTTACTAATAAAGATTAAATATACTTCAGTTGTAGAGTGAAATAAACAAGAGATGAAATAAAATTATCTTACATCCGCCTTGATTGCCATAGCCGCCACCGAACCCGCTGTTATAAGGTCCAGATTCCCATACTGGAGCGCCACGAGAGTCGGGGCCTGGCCTTTGGCCTGGTTTATGCCTATTGTCACCTTTTCTTTTATGGCTGTCCATTTCTTGTTTAGCTAAAGCTTTTTTAACTTCGGTTTTACGCCCCTTGATGACATGATGCTTTTTTACTGTTGAGATAAGAGATTGAAGGAAAATCAATTATAAAGCTACCCAAGTGAAATAAATTAAACGACTTTTCCACAAAACTCACAGACTATCTTGTCCACTGGATCATAATCATCAAATTCCACAAAAGCGAAACCTCGTTTCTTTCCGGTTTCTTTCTCAGTAACGACATTTACATTGATAATATTTCCAAAGTCTTTGAAATATTCTCTAAGATCTTCTTCTTCGACATCTTCTTTAAGTCCGCCTAAGAAAACTTTTTTCACTGTTGCCTGTGATTCTGGTTTCCCAGACTCCTAAGTGAAACCATGGAGGAAAAGAGATAAGAAAATTCGATTAACCAACTTAATAATGATCTTAAAGAATAAATAGATGAGAGAGTGAATAATGCAAATAAAAAGATTAAAATGATCTACCTCACGAGGGACAGCTCGCTTTGGTTCAACTTCTCGTCCATCCACCTTGTGAGGTCGAGCTGATTGAGCAGCATCAACCATAGTTGATTTACTGAAGGTGATGAATCCAAATCCACGAGATCTTTTGGTTTGTGGATCTCGCATTACGACACAGTCGACAATCTCTCCCCATTGAGCAAAATGCGCTCTGAGTGTGTCTTCAGTAGTTTTATAGTCTAAACCACCGATGAAAAGTTTCCTAAATTGCTCTGGCTCTTCGTTGGTTCTATCGCCATTACCATTATCATGCTGATCACCTTTAATATCAGATGCAGCTGCATTAGAGTTATCAGTTTCAACGCTGGTCATTTCCACATTTTGATCATCAACTTGATGTTGGTCGTTGCTCTGATGATGTAAATAAATAAATGATAAACACAATTAGAAAATAATGACAACTCGTTCTTCAATTTCAATGCTTAAATTCAGAAAACTTGATTTCTCAATTTTCGGTAAGCAAGAAGTCAATTGGAATACAAGAAGAAATAAAAGTGATAAAAGAATAATAATCTCATGAAATCTTAATAAGAAAACAATAAACACACAAACACTAATTCTGGTAATATTGATGATGAAAATTGTAAGATAGATATTCTGTCTGAGTAATTAAGATTCAAATAAGAAAAAAACAAAACCGGTAGATTAAGACACTCATATAATACTTGGCAAAAAAGGGCAATAAACTTGAAAGGAAAATGTTGAGGAAAAAAAAATCATCTCATGAAAAAACACATCTAAACCTTTAGAGAAACTAATTGAATTTAATTATGGAAAATGAAAAAAAAAAAAAATAGCGACTATGAAGAAACATCGATACACATAATTGAGAGATCAATTTAAATGCAAAGTTAATCAAAACCCGCGATTAAAAAGAAGCAAACAATCGAAGAATAAAAAAAGGGCAAACCGACATCAAAACCCTCGCGTTCTCTCTTTCTCTCTCTCTCACACACACACACACTTTCCCACACAGGAACTTCTACAATAAGAATCTCTCTGATTAGAGTCAGAACAGAGTTGTCAGAGTAATATACCAAGTATATTAGTACCTAAAAAGTGAAGCCTATTTTCTAGGAAAGAAGAAGAGAAGAGAAGAGAAGAAAATGACAAAAAAGAGAAAAGGTGAAATATTTAAAGAAATTGAATAATTTCTCTTACCTCAGTAGTTCCAGGCATAATTAGTTGAAATTAAATTACTACGAAACGTATTGACAACGAAGTACAATCAATTTAAAAGAAGCAAGATCACAATTAGTAGATTTGATCACAATAAATTAATAGAAGGCGGTTGAGTTATTAGTTAACTTTCAATCTAAAATGGCTGCAGAGATGATAAACTTCCTTCCGGTAGAAGGGACCGATAAGATATTACAAGAGGGAAACGGTTGTTACCTTTCCGATTCTTACTCATGGTTGTGTTTTTGTTTCGCTTGTCACTTAATTGTCATTAAATTGGTTCTTCTTGTCATTTGTATACAATTAACTCACAATTACAAGTTGATTATGATATTCATCTCATGTTCTATTTGAAAGGTCGTCTGATTGATTGTTTCTTTAATTGATTCTTTTTGGTTTTTTTCTTCTTCTTCGTTTACATTTCAATTTGTTTTTCTCGTTGTTTCTCATTGTGTTGATTTTCTTTTTCTTTTTTTCATTGCTGTTTATTGATCATTTTGTAACAATTTACTTTAAATGTAAATTGTATAAGATAAACAGGGTATGATTAGAATTATTAATTCTCTACTATTGGTTTGAATTGGTGTTTCGTTTGGATGTTTTTTCTATTCTTTGTTTGCTTTCTTCATAAAGCTAAACATTTACATCGAATCTGTTTAATCTGAGCTCACACAATTCACTGATTTATGGTAATTACTATTATTTTAGTGATTGATCAGTGTGATGAATCGATCAAGAACAAAACATTTTCACAATTTCCTATTTCTCTGTTTCAATGATCATCTCAGTATTTAAATTCACATTCGGTGAACCTTATTAACCATATTAATCATATATAAGTTGACCGGCTACAAATTGAAAATATAGTCAACTAGTAAATCTACTCAAGTGGAGACTTTAGCTCGCTGGTTCGTCAACTTTTACCTTTGCGAATTGTTGTTTCGATATCGTTTTCGCTTCGAGATTGTTCATCCAAAGATCTCACTAATTCCCCTTTTAATCGTATTCATTTCTTCATCAAATGGTAACAGTATGATCAATACAATTGATCAATTTGATATCGTACATTTAGTTGGTTGTAATTTCAATAATCTACATGAAGACTTGAGGGTTACTTTAATATAAAAATGTAAGATCAGATCAAAAAATTTTTGATTCTTTCTAATCGTTTATTAAGGTAAACGATTAAAGGTGGAAATTAAATTACAAGATAAATAGATTATATATGATTGATTAAAAGGCAATTGGGTTTTTAATTATACTCTCTCGTTTATATAAACCTAGACTAGTCATATTTTTACGGAAAAAGCCTGGAAGATGAGCTGAGATTGAAATATTACCTCCATTGACTCCGATTCCTGGGATGATATACAATTTGGCGTGAAGATGTAACGGAATATTTCTGACTTTGGCCTGGCGAACGTTTAATTTGGTCAACATATCATCGGGTAATTTTTGTGGTGCAATTTTATCAAGATACGAGTATTTAGCATCACCTAAAATTGGTGTTCGAAGAGCGAAACCAAGATGAACTCGAATTTGATGTTTAATTCCTTGTTCGGGTTTCAATTCGACCATACAAGCGTTTCCATGTTTTCTCAATATTCGATAATGAGTTTGAGCTGGAAATGCTCCTCTAGTTGAGCCCATTTTACGATTAAAGTCAACATCACATTCTGGCATCAGATACATTCGTTCAACTCCATTAACTGTACTTGATTCAATTGGAATATCAATTATTCCCATTGGAGGATCGGGTACACCTCGAACTAAAGCCCAATAGTATTTGCTTATTTTCCTTTCAGCGAATAAATTTTGTAGTGTCTTAACCATCGACAATGATCGAGCTAAAAGTAGAACTCCAGTAGCATCTCTATCTAATCTATGGACAATATAAATTGATTCATTCTCTTTTGGAAAAAGTGCTTTTGAAAGATCGGGTAGAATTGCTTCTAATGATGGGTACTTTGAATTTCCTCTGCACCTTCAACAATTAGACCATTTGGTTTATCAATAGCAATTAAATCTCTTTCATTGAAAATTACTCGATTAGCGAGCAAATCGACCAGTTCATCTCGACGTAGTAGATTTAATTTAGGAACTTGTTCAAGGTAATTTCGCTTCCCTGAAGAATCAAATGATTCTTTGTTCTCATTAACGGTTCGCATCTTAAAGTCACTTCCAAGTTTCTTGTATTTCGCTTCCAAATGAGCTAAATAAGCCTTATCTTCGGGCTGTAATTTTCCCTGTCGAATTTGGGTCACATATTCTAGGGCAGTTCTTGGAATATCTTTCACGTCGACTGCTTCATTATCTTCAATTGGAACATCAGGAGATTCCTTTTTTTCAGTTTTCTCTTCAATTTTTTCCGTTTCTTCAATTTCCTCAGTAGATGATCGACTTTCTTTTAATAACATTAATTCGTGGGCCACTTCTTCGATTGATCTAAGAGGAGAATCACCGGAGAAAGATATTTTGTCCAGATCTTTGATCAAAGCTTCAGGTGAACGACGATAATCATTAACTCCATGAGAATCAAATGAACCAAGTGATTGATTATATTCATCCCATTGTGGTGTGTAGTGAAAATTAATCTGTCCGAATGGTAAATTGTCAGCATTCAATTCAGGAGAATAAACTTCTTTGAAATATTGATAATCTATAAAATTAAGATCATCTTCAGGTGAAGACGAAATCTCCTTTGATTTCATTTCAGATTTTTCAGAATCTGTTATGGTGTTGAAATATTGTTCCTCTATTAAATTGGATCGATTTGGCTTATTGATTTCAGCTTTTTCTTCATCTTCAGCTAACGAAAGTTCCAACAGGTATCGTCTTCGTTTCTCAACCAGAATGTGTTTACTGTCGTTCTCAAATTGTCCCATGTAATCAATCTTATTTTCTGAATCTAATCTCACTTTTCCAAAGGTTGTTGATCGTTGAAATCCTTCTGAAGAGACTTTTAAACTTTCTAATTGTTTAATTTCATTCACTTTCTCGATTAACTTGCTCTTTTTATCTTCGTCTAAACCATCAATTCCTTTAATATCATCGGCAGAAAAATATTTGATTCCAAAAAAATCTCCATCATCATCTTCATTTGATGTAACACTTTTTGAGCTAAATCTTGAACAATTAACTCGTCTAAAGGTGAAATTAAAAGTCTTTCTTTGTATTAAACAACTTGGTTGACAACTTCTTAACACGGAATAATTGATTCTCCAAATTGTTCCAACAATTAATTGATTATTTCCAAGACAAAAAGGCTTAAGTCTATGAGAAAATGAAGAGGAAAAAAAGGTAAACAAACAGATTCAACATACAAGTTAAAAAGAAACAATTAGAGAAACAATCAAGTCGAAATTTAATTCTTACCTGTACAACATCATCATGGAAACAATTGAACAGTAAAAATTAGAAAAATATTAATTGTAAACAATCAAAAGTAACAGAAATTAAATGAAAACAAACATGTTGACTTTCAATTGGAAATTTTTTGTTTTTCTCGTTACTATGGTTACGTAAACATTACCCTCATTGTGCTGATCAACTAATTGTGATTAATTTCAACTGTTGAATTTAATCAAGCGAATTAATTTTCTCTCAAAAGTCACATTAGGTTAGTTGTGATTATTTTCATTAATCACTTGAACTTTGATTAGATCCGAAGCTTAGTTTCAATTTGTGTTTTTCGAGCACCAAAAGGTTTGAATTTGAAACAATTTAAGTTAATTCAGTTGTTAATTGTTTCTCTTTGGGCTTTTTTCACTCAACTTTGGATAAGTTTCGAAGTAGTAATTAGAAACTTTAGTGGTTTTAACTCTTTCATAATCCAATTGACTGATTATTGTCATGATTCCGGGGGAAGTGTTATTATTATGATAACTAGAAAATTGTGATATTCATTTATGAGAATAATTTTCTATATTTGGTCACATAATTAGATAATTACATTAGATAGACATTGAGTATATGCATATTTTAAAAATGAGAAAATAATTGTCATTCGTTGAGTCTCTTTTTCTTAACCTTTGGTTCAGGAGCATTTGGATTTTCTCCCATGTAAAATTGTTTCAGTAAATCAACAGCTCGAGATTTATTTAAGGCTCCTGGATAACAGGTAATGACAGGTTCGGGTATCGAATTGTCATTGTGAACATTCATGACGGAAGAACATCCACCAAATCTTTCATTAGGACAACCATAGAAAACTATGGTTATACCCAATGATCTAAGTGCTCGAGCACACATAATACAAGGTTCAACTGTCACGTAAACCATTAAATTAGACCAAATTTCGTGTAGATTATTTATCTTTTGTTTTCTGGACCAGTTTAGAATACAATCAATACATTCCATTTCTGCATGACGTGTAGGATTTTTAGTTACATTAACTTTATTGCGACCTTGGGCAATTATCTCATAATCATTATCACATTGAATCAATTTGCCTGGTGATTTAATCAATACCATAACACAACCAACAGGAACTTCACCACTTCTAAGAGCCTCTTCAGCTAAATCAAATGCTTTCTCAGTTAATACTTTGTGAATTTCCGGATTAACCAAGTTCGATATCTGCGTAATAAATTGCAAAGAAAATGAAGAGAAAGAGAAAATTAGAAAACAAAGTAAACCAATGAACCAAAATTTCCAATGAACAAAATTAAAATTCTGGTAACTATATTGACTTAAAATAAACACATCATCATACCAAACTTGATTTATCATCGCACGTGAGTCTTTCTTTTGTTACTAGATCGAGAGCCATCACTATTGAAAAATCCAACGAAAATTTCTTGGAAAAATCGAAATTTACTCAAACACAATTTCCAAATTATGAACCAGCCTAAAGAAGGAAAAAGAAGAAAAAATATTCCAAAGAAAAAGCATACAAGCGATGAGAGAAAACAATTTCCATAAAGAAGCCTACATAATAGAGTAGATATAGATGAGTTAATTGTTTATAGAAACACTTACATAAAAAGGTGAAAAATGCAGTTGCGATTATTGCGACAATTAAAGTGATTAAAATCATAAAAAAATTAAAAATAAAAGACGCTTGGACCTCATTAGAAGCGTCATTCAAGTCACTTGAAGCAGTTAAAGTCAAATGAATCAGAGACATAATTAAAGGTCTGATTTATCATTACACACCAAAGTAAGCACCAGAAGAGATGGAGAAAGTATCACAGAATCAGTAAGAGAAACAATTAACACCAAAAATAATTAAATCAGTGAAAAGAAGTCAATGAAAATTCATTGAATTCACTTCAATCAACAATCGAGCTCAAGACTCAAGCCATAAGCCATTTCTTTACTTCCCAACGGCTTGAAAGCAAAAGAAAAGCGCAAATTTCAATAAGACAATTAACTAATTGTTAGAAGGTGAAAACAATATTTTTAATTGAAAATTAGCTTAAATTTAACAGCTCAAAATACTACAAGTAGATCAACAAATTTATAACAACAATCAAATCGGTTAAATTGTAATTAAAAGGGACAAATTTTGTTGGAAAGTTGATCGACTGTTCCAGTTGATTGTTGTCACAATTACTTCATTTCTATTTTGATCAGTGTGATGAACAGGTTATTGCAATAATAAGAGACTAAATCAAGATTAAATTAACATGTTAATCAGTGAATTTGCGAGTTAATTATCAACAATTGATTAACAATTAGTTTCGCTGTTACTATGGTTACATAAACACATGAATTCAAATGTTACCCTCGTGTTGTTGTCAAGTCATTTTCAATCATGTCTTCAGGTCTTAGGCAATTGTTGATTAAATTTAACAATTTAGCTAATCCAGATGGATCAGCTTTATTATGTCAAGGTAATACTATTGTCCAAGCTTATGTTTATGGTCCAGTTGAAGTGTCCAGTTTGAAAGAGAAATCAGAAAAAGCTTCTCTCTTTGTTAATTTTAAACCGAAAAACTCATGTAATAAATGTAAGTAAATTTATTTTTTAATTTCCATTTTTGTTTGTTAATCAATTTATTTTGAATTTATCTATAGAATTTGATTGTTTTCTTCAATTTTATTCTTTTATTAATGTCTCTTTGTTATTGTCTTGAAGTATTGGAATAATTTTCTTTTTTCTTTTCTCTTTTCATGTTGGAATAATTTTCTTTTCGGTTTTGTCTATAGATGAGCTTCGTATGGAATTATATGAAAATTATATCCGCTCCATTTTGGAATCAGTGATTTATCTTGATTTACATCCTCGAACAAGTATTTCAGTTATATTACAAGAGATGCAAGATGATGGTTGTCTATTGTCTACTGCTGTTAATAGTGCTTGTTGTGCCTTAATTGATGCTGGTATTCCTATGAAATGTATGATGGCTTCGGTGACTGGTTATATCAATGGCGATGACATTAATTTGGATCCATGTAAAGAGGAGATTGAGGAAAACCCTGGATCATCAATTGTGTTTACATTTGAAAGTACCGAGAACAGATTAATATCAATCACAAATGATGGTGATTTAACCATTGATCAGATTAAAAACGCGATCAAAGTGTCTTCCATAGCAGCGACAGAGATTAACAATTTCTATCACGATTCAATGAAGAAAAGATTTCTAATGAAACAAGATGATTAAATATCCATTTGGTTAACAAAAAAAAAATTGATATCCAAAAGTGTTGGTATGAAATTGAGAGTAACTAATAGTATTTTTTTTTTCGTTTTCGGAATCAAGTTGAAAGAGAAAACTTTCTTTTAATAATCAAGCACAAAGAGACAACACATTGGATCAAAAATTACAATTACTATTTGGATGGTGATGATTTTATCCCCGCTGGTGGAAAAGAAAACGATTAACCATGGAAACCACCTCCGAAGTGAAGTCCACCGCCATAACCTCCGCCGCCACCGCCTCCGAATCCAGAATGCGCTGGGAATGGATGAATTATCGGAGGTTTAACTGATTCCACTGCGAAAGGCACGGGCACGGGCAAAGGAATCGGAAGAACACCGAATCCTGGTGGAGCAAATAACGAAGCGGCGAAAATTAGTTTCAGAAGTTTTCGAGCCTCTCGGTGGGACAATCTATGAGCGAAAGTATTTGGTGTTGATGTTAAAAGAAGAGTGGTAATCACCAGGATCGTCACAAGAGTAAACATTGAATCAATTTTTGGCATTTTCTTTTTGATGATAATCCTTGATGAAGACAATGATTAAACTATTTGGGGTAACAATCAAGAGGTGAACACAATCTCGTTGAATGGACAACTGACCGAAAAGTGAAAATGATTAACCAGCGAGAGAGTCAAATTGTTTCACTGTAAAAGTTAACGACCCTAAATGAACGGTTTATGAAAATGACCAACAAACTGGACATTGGACACTAATCACCAATAGCGACACCATTTGAACCCCGAAAAATGACCGAAAATCATTGGACCTTACGACGAATCGTTTTCCTCTCTCTCAACTCAAAATTAATCTGAAAATCTTTAATTATCTATCATCAAGATACTGCCCAATTCCGGAACTATTAAGATTAACAATTTACTTTCTCTTGGTCCAAGTTAATTGGTTAGTTGATTAAGGTGCTTACTGGACAGTTGATCTGATTAATTTTTCATTCATAATCCAGAAAATCAAACTAACAATATAACGTTAAAGCTTAAATAACAATGAGAAAAAAAAAGTTTCATGTTAATCAAGATGATAACAATCTCGACCGTATCTTGATTTGATTTGATTCGTAATCAAAATTAATTTCACTTTAAATTTTTAATTTGAAAGTTAATTAACATCTTCTCTTAACCTTAATACCTACCAAACCTTAACGATTAAGATTAAATCTAATCCTAATCATCATCTAATGGTCAAACAATTAATGATCCTCAATGATTTCCTCATGTGTATCAACAATTAACTAAAAGCCCTAAAAAAACACATCTTAACAATTAAGAAAGTATAATATTCGTTGATTTAGTAATCAACAATTTAAAACCATTCCAATTAAAGGGAAAAAATCTCTAATTACAATTTAAGAGATGAAATTATAATCAATTGAAAGGTAAGAATCAAGTTACAGAACAACAATCAACCAATCAATGAGAATTAATAAACTATCCAAATACAATTAAAATCTCCAACAAATTAGTCTATTGCAGAGAATCAATTGTTTCGAATTACAAACGAACGTTCAAATAATCGAGTTAACAATCAATATTTTTCTTCTCTAATTGCGAACAACATGTTAATCGAATCAATCGAAAGTTAATTGTTCCAATGTGAGAATTGAATATAAGGTTAGTTTCATTTTTTTCTTCTTTTCGTCTATTTGACTTTTCATCTTCTTCCTTCCGAATTAATTGATTAATTGACCTTGAGAGTTTTTTGACCTTTTAAACATCTTCTCATCTTCTCTCTCTTTTCTCTCTTCTTTATCTTCCAGTTCTCTTTCTCTTCTCTCTTTTTCCATTTAAAAAATTCTTTCTTTTCCTCTTTCTTTTTTCTTCTTTTCTCTTGCGACTCTGCGCTGCGCATAGAGAATCTCAATGTAAACGTAGACTGAGATTCCAAGTCTGTGTCTTTATTTTAATCTTTCAGTTGAATTGCTGGTTAATTGGTCTTTTATTTTAATAGAATTTGTTAATTGTTACTTCACCATAATGGGTAACAAATTGTCTTCTTATTGGCGTTCGGAAACTGTTAGTGAAGATAAAAGTGGTGGGCAAGAAGATGAGCCTACGTGTGACCCGAAAAGTGTAGTTAATGGTCATTCAAGTGATTCTGGTGATGAAGATACTCAACAAGATCAAGATGGCGGTAATCTAGACGATAGAAATGTAAGTCTTTATCTTTCTTTCTTTTTCTTTCTTTTTTCTTTTCTTTTTATTATATTCTTTTTGTTATTGTGTTGATTTTTCCCTCTATTTTTGAATTGTTTAAAGATTGATTCGGTTTAATGTGCCTCTCTATTTGCAAAGGTTCATTTTTTGTGGGGTCACAATTGTTGCAGAGAACAAAAAACCGCCATGTGCATATATTAATCTTGTTGCCAGTTTTTAAAAGACTTTTACTTTGCCTTGGTGATGGGTTTTTGTTTTCTTTCCAATGTGTACCTCCTCTTTCTCTCTTTCTTTTTCTCTTTCTTTCATCCATTATTCCCCCTTTCCTTACTTTATCCACCTATTCATGATATTCATGCTTTCATCTCACCTTTTTTTTTGTCTTTGTCTTTCTTTCTGTCTCTTTCTCTGTTCTTTGTCTCTTTTTTTTAGGATAATGAATCAGACGATATTGAACCATCTTCTGGACTTTCTAGCACCAAAGATAATTATGACCATGAGAAATGTGTCAATACAGCTAATGGCGGGGAAGATGATGAAGAAGAAATAAAATCAAAAGAGCCGGAGGCAAATTACAAACATGGTTCAAATAATGGTGTTGATAATGAGAGCTGTAATGAGGCAATGGAGAATGGTACAAATGGCGGGGATGCAGTTATCCCTATTATCTTGCTCAATGATATATTCAGTCAGGAACACTCATCATCATCTTCACAATTAGCTGATTCAAGGAATGATTTTACCACAACTAATCCAGCCGAACAAGCCAGGATTACTTATGCCGCTGTATCACGAAATCACAATAAAGTCTTAATGGGTACCCATCAAAGACAAAGTCAATTGACCCTGGAAAGCAGGAAACGGGAACACTCAGCTGATTCTGATAGGTCCACACCAAATTATCAACATGCTTATTTAAATGAGCTACCAGTGGCTAATCGTAGTAAGAAAGCTAAATCATCAGAAACAGATTCAGTCTCTTCTTCACGAAGTGATCGGGCATCAACAGAAATTGAACAAATTACACCTAAAGTTGCCAAAAGTAGGAAACGACGGGCTAAACCAGCGAAAAAATATCTATCTTAATTAAGATATTATTTAACTATTGGTCATCTCTTTTAACTCTTTTTCTTCATCCAAACCTGTTTGAAATTTTTAGTTTCTTTTAAATTCTCTCTTTCTTTCAATTTTTACAAATCCTATCCTCAATCTACTTTAAAAAAACATGACGGACAAACCCCACTCTTTAACTTTTCTCCTATTTTTATCCATATCAATTTCTATGGATTAATAAGGAATTAAAACCTTGATTAACGTAACACAAGGTTAATCTTTTTGAGCACATCATCCCAATCACTCTGATTTAACTCAAAATTTCAACCAATTTTCAATACTTTAGATCCTCTACCATCTTCTATGTACAAATTTGATCTTCTCTGTGTTTTTAGAGATTCACAAATCTTTGATTAACTCTCATCATCTCTCCTTCTCTGTCTCACCGAAAACTGTATCATAATTTCAAATCCTTTCCAATTCCAATTCTTGAATCTCATACTCTTTCTAAATTTTCCTTCAGTAGTTAATTTCTCACCTTTTAATTTTCTAGCGCGTTTCCTATCATTTCCTTCTTTTAATTTAAAACCTACAATTTGTCCTTTTTCATGTAACAATCAGTTGTTTTAATTTTTGCGATTTCTATTCTATAGCAATTGCAATTATCATTTTCTCTGTCTTTTTCTGTCTTTCCATCTCCTTTTTTTTGTATTATTTTAAGGTGTCGACAAAAAATAAACCTCAAAATACCAAAAAAAAAAATACTCATGATAAACTCTTATAATCATGTTTGATTAAATGTAATAACTTGTAATAAGAACATACAATTTAGTAATGATCTTTTTTTCTCACTTAATTGTTTACCTAATAGAAGATTAGAAATTCAGGACTTTGATTCGGTTCCAATGATTAAATGTTATCTCTTAATTTTTATGTTGATTAACTTGATCTTCGTTAGATTGATTGTTACTTTTACCAATACCAAAGGTAATGATTGAATTTTACTAATTGTTCAATTTGAAAAATGGTTCATTTGGCTCAGCAAAATTGATTATTTACTCCAACGTAATAATTTAACTTAAACATATGATCAATAATTATGAATGAAAAGTGTTTGTGATTAAATTTGATCCAATTTTTTGTCCAAAAAATCAAACAAAGGTTCAATTGTTTCCCCTGGTTCTAATGTTTTAACGTAATCATCAAATTGTCCAAGATAATCGTACAATTGACTGACGTTGATTTCCTTTGAATGCAATTTATCAATTAAAGTGGTTAATCCAGTTAACGTTTGATACTTATTTGTATTACAATAAAGTACATCTCGTTGAGCAGTTGAAGCAGCAATTAACATAATGAGCGATTTTAATTGTGGTCTACCTCGATTACAACCACAGCCCCAATTGTTGGTATAAATTGCACATCTATTAATTGCTGGTGATCCTTTACGATCCATGATACCACAATAAACTTTGTTTAAATCACGATTAATAAAACTTAATTGATATTGTTTATCAATCTTTTCAGCGGGAAAATATTTTGCGTCAATGGAAATCACTTTGGTATATCGTCGACCCCAAACGTCAAATGGCCTTTTGTCTTTGTAATTATGTTCAGAAACATCGTAATCTTGATTAAATTTTGGTGGAATATTAAATTTCTCAATTCCAGTGATAACAAGCGCTTCATTATTCACAAGAGCTTCAGTGAAAAGACCAATGGTCAATATTTCTGGACACGAGGCGAAACGATAAGAGTCTAATGATGTACGATAATTCATATAATCGGCGGAAACTAATTTATGAGTAGAGTTAATTTGTAGCATTCCTTTTCCTTTTTTGTCAAATTCTTCCGATGATTTGACGATCATTTTTGATAATTTAATATTTAATTTCTTCCAATTGGGAATCTCTTTGGGTAACATGTAACGTCGCTCAAATGAAACGATTCCTTTTGGTTTCTTATGTACTACTCGTCGAAAGTAGTTCAATAAACAGGCCAATTTTTCCGTTTTTCGACCGTAAGTTGGATCCGAAAATAACCTAAATGAGACAAAGAGAATGACAGAATAATAAGTTTCGCAAATTCTGAGAAAATTATTTAGCTCACTTGATGAAATTTATGTCGAGCATTATACTGTTTGGTGTTCGTCGTCTCTCTCGATAGGTACAGAAAAAACCATTGGCCAGAATTGAAGCTAATTGTTGTTGACTGAAGAAAAGTGTATGATTAGTTTTCCTCTTGAGAATTGGAATTGGTTGAGTGATTAGTTTCGGTAATTTGATAGCTAATTTGATCATCTTTGGTAAAGTTTTTGCAAAGAAATGTATTTCCTCATCTTCGGATAACTCATGTTTAAAGTAGTGATTTAAAATATTGAAGTTTCGTTTTTCAAATCGTTGATTATAAGATTTTATAACTGCGATCAATTCCTTGATTGTTGTAATATTTGCTGTGGTTAATTTGTCAACAATCTCAGGCCATGGACTAGCTCTTTGTCTTCCTGGTCGTTGATCATCAGCTGATTCATCATTCAATTCAAAAGGCATTTCAACATATTCAATATTTTCCTTTGATCTAATGGTTGACATGTAATCAGTTGATTGTTCTGGATAAGGTTCTGGTGGATTATCATCCAATACTAATGGTAGTTTATAGAAAATTGTTAAATCAGTTGATGGTTTTAATTCACCAAGGGAAGCACAACAATCGGGTTCACGGTTTAATTTAACCACAGGTTCAATGTCATTCTCCATTCTTATCAATTAGTAATTCAAGTCTTAAATTAGACTGAAAATTAAATTATGGTTAATATGAAAATTTGAGGAAGAAGCAACAGAATCAAGTGAATCATAATCATTTGATTGATGATTAATTTAAACCTCCAATTGTAAACAAATGATGCTGCCATCTAATGGAAACATTATTCTGAGTAGCTGATTAGGTTAATTGTCATAATTAAGGGTTGAATTGATTTCGAAAGATCAAAGGTCATGATTACTAGTTGAATGTTTTGTCAATTCTTTCAATTGATAACAAGAATATTTACTTGGTGAATTAGTTTCATTTGGAATAAGAATCGAAAGATACTTTGCCTCGAGGTCTTTCGAGATTTTAACTCTGAATAGAAATAATAATGATTTTAATTACCTGAGTTAATCGTTTTATCGAAAAATTTAGTTTGAATTTGGAAGATAATCCATTTTGCAGATGATAAACTTTTTAATTTTCTTCCTTCGTCTTCTTCATCAGAGTGAATATAAAAAGGCCACAAATCTCCGTTTAAAGATCACTTTCAAGTTTCTCTTCGTTCAAACAATTTGTCTATTCTTTTGTGGATCCAACTCTTGATTAACTTGATTCTTTCATCATGAATACTCTTCATCAATTGTTCTTGGTCATTTTCCTAATCCAAACTGTCTCAGGAGCTTCTTGTAAGTATTAATATTGATTGACTTTTTTTCGTTTCTTTTGTCAACAATTAACTAATCGATTGTTTTTGATTCTTTTTCTTGGTCTTGTTCTTTTTCTTTTTCTTTGATTGTTAATTTTATTAATTAGCTTGGTTACCATTTAGTGGAGAAAGTGAAGAGCCTGAATTGGAAATGAAAAACGTTCCATCACCTTATCCTCAACCTCCACCAGTTTATGAACCAGTGAAAACAATTGTCGAGAAACCGATGATTAAAGTGACCAAGAAAGAAAAGAAAACTGAATGGGAAGAAAAGTGTCGAATTACTTTCAAGAAATCGGACATTCTAATGTTGACCATCTTACACGACCCATTCACCAAACCGATGGCCGTCACTCCGATCATCTTGGCTTCTGAAACAATCGCGTTCACTTATTATACTCCGAAAGCGAAGCCTTTATCAGCCACCAAGAAGCTTCTTAAGTCTTTCAAATTCTCGAAAATTCCACATGACATGGACGAATTAGATATCGACCTTCAATTGGACCCAGCGACTGCCGAGTTAATCAAACCTTATGCGAATCCGAATAACATGTTCATCTTAACCATAATAACCAAAGAAAAACACGATCTCAAGATTAAGTCACATTTTGTTGATTCCATTCTTACAACAGCAAAGAAACACTATTGAACAAGAAGAACAACAAAAAACTAAATCAATTCCAAATCCTACCCTAACCTAAAAGAAAACAATTAAAAAATCTCAAAAAAATTATCAAAACCACAAATAAAGAATAAATTAAAATGAAGAACATCTCAATTTTTCCTTTCAATATCTAATCAAGACGCCAAACTTATACCCACCAATAGCACAATTATCTATCATAATTTAAATTTTCATACGCTAAATCATTTAGCTCTAACAATTTAAAACGAATAAGTAATTCAACTAAATCAACTCCAACAATCAACAGGTAACAAGTTGAAAGTTTGTGATCCTGAAATGGCTCTTTGTCTACCTTCCTAAACTCATAGAATTTGTACCAGAATCACCTCATAAATCCATTTACACCTTTAATTAAATTCTCAAACAATTTAGTGAGATATTGAGAACAATTTAATTTCCAATTCAAAATCAATTCGAGGTTCACACCATCTAGTGGAACGAAAAAGAACTAGTCACTTTTGGCGATTTTTTTGAAAAAATGACAGAAGGAAAAAGAAAAAGAAATTAACTGAAACAAATTGTTCTCTAATTATTTAATTGTTTTTCTACTCTCACCTGAAGTTGTTTAAAACGATTACTTAAACTTTGATTCTTAATTGGAAAATAAAATTGGTTTTTTCGTAAATTCTGTTGGTTTAAGAAGGAAAATCTTCCAAAAGGAAGGAAATTTATTGACATGGAATTACAATGGTAAGTAAACTGTTGACTTTATCTTTTCTTTATTCATTCAATGAACTTGAATTTCTCTCTCTCTTTATCTCTATTGTCTCTGATTAGTTGATTGTTCTAATCAGTAACATTTAATCATCGCCAGAATTAAAATTAATCTTCATTCTTTCTATTTTACAGATGGCGATAGAATAGAGGAAAAAATAATAGAAGGAGAAAAGAGCAAAAAAATGGACAGACTTTTCATTAGAAGAGAATAAAAATATTCTAAATTATCAAAAGGTGAGTTTATTTTCTGTTTATTTTCTGTCTATTTTACTGTCTTCATTTTAACTTCCCCAATGTATCTTCCTCTCTTCCCCAGCTCATTTTCACCATCAAAACCAACACCAACAACAACAACAGAAACAACATCTCTCCTCTCTCTCTCTCTCTTTCTGCGTTTCTTTTTCTCCATTTCTTTTTACCTTAAAATTGCAAACTTGAGTTTCTCCCTCTCTTCATTTCTGCTTGTGTGTCTTTTTTATTTATCTTCTCTTTCTCTCCCTTTAAATCTCTTTCCATTTCTCTCTCTATTTCTCTTTCTTTTGTCATCTCACTCATTTCTCTCTTTCTCTCTATCTATCTGTATTTCTCTTCTCTTTCAGCTCTCTTTATTATTTTCGTTCTCTCTCTCTCTCTTTCTTCTTCTTCTTCTTCTGTCACTCTTTCTCCTGCTTTTTTTCCTTCTTGTTGTGTTGATTTGTGTTGTTTATAGTTAATCAACTACATTTAATTGTGACCTAGTTTTCTTCAACTATAATCTGGCTCTTGTCATTCTCTTCTTCTTCTTCATCATCATTACTTCTTTTTTTTAACCAGCCTCTAATTTCGTTCTTAATTTATCTCCACAGTGTCTTAGGTACAAAAATATTTTCTCTCAACTTCACCAATGTATTTGGTACTACTATTTGTTTCTCCTACTGTTTCCATTGAACCGCCATTGTGCTTCACCATTGGTTAATGACCTTTATATTATCAATTTTTGGTGCAACTCTGTCCCTTTAAAACTAACTACATCATCATCATTACCATCATACTCTCATCACCAACTTCATTTAACTCCATCATTTTTTTTTCTTATGTTCAAACAATCACCCAAACATAAAAACAAAGAGTCAACACATAAAAACAAAAGGAGAAAAAGGAACAACCAAAATATCTACAAGTGTTTTAATCTTCTCGAGATAAAGACCAAGCATCTTAACTACTTCAATTGTTGGTACAACCATTTTAAACTCTTTCTTTTCTTCATCTTATTTTTTTTCTCAATTTCATATCTAAGGAAAAGTCTCTTATAATCCTAGAGATACCAAATCAGTCCAAATGAACCTACAGCTACATTACAAGCTACCGATTCAGCCTTTACTGACCACTGCTTCAACAACCACTGCACAAACAAACAACTCACCATCAGCCATGATAGAAGAGATTTATTCACATGAATTGGAAAGTTATTTTCCTACCAGGACCGAGGAGAAAAGTGAACAACTTAAAAAATCCTGCTCCTTTTCAAATTTCCAAAGTTTACTTAGCCAAGAAGAGACCAATAAGAATAAATTTCTCGTAGATTTGACGCAAAAAAAGCTTAAAATTTTCGCCTTTCTCAGTGAATCCTCGTCCAGTGCTTTTCGTAACAAAATTTTACTCCAAAATACACTTAAAAAACATAACAAAGACGATGAAAACGGTGGAACCCTAACCGAGCCAATCAAGATCACCGATGAAGATTATAATTCCTTTATGAGCACAGAATCGTATAATGTGCCTACAGTTAATGTTAAATTTACCGCAAGAAAACGAGAATTAAGAGAAATCAACGAATCAACATGTACGGAAAGTGGGGAGGAATGGAGGACAGATTTCAAGAAATTAAAAGTATCCTGTCCCTCGGAAGAGGATGAAATGAAGGTGACCAGTAGTGATAAAGATGATGACTTTTTGCCCGATGATCTGGCCTCTGTTTTACTAGCCTTAAGAACATTAGAGTGAACAATCAATCAAATTAATCTACAATTTATACATAACAAAACAAAAGTTAATTATATATATAGACACACACACACATACATATATATTTGCATAAATACAAAGATATGTTTGGTGATTTATTTGTTTTATATTGTTGCAAGGAAAACAACAAAAGTCTCACATCATCCTCATATTCATCTTTCTCATCTTGCTCATCATCATCATCATCATCATAATCGTAATCATCATCACCAATATCATGATAAAGAAGGAAGATGATTTTTTTTTCTCCTGAAGCATCAAAGTTTCACCAAAAAGTAAATCAACAGGACGATTGAAACAAATTCAACGAACAATTCAAAGAAGCAAAGATTATTTAACCAATGTTAATAACAATGGGAACATGTTATTATACTTAAGAGCTTTAATTTTATATATTGCATCATCTTTCTCCCTCTCATCAACCTCATCTTTTGTCTATGATCACTCTTTCTAAGGATATTCATTTCTATTGTCATATTTTATATTTTAATCGAAATTTTATCGAGATTGGATTTATGATTTTAAGATATATTTAATGCATCAACAGCGAGATGATCGGAAGTTCAACCAACACTACATCATCACCAACCAAAACATCATCGATATAATCATCTGGAAAAGGATAACGTCATTTAAATTAACATTCAACTTTCTCTCTCCCTCTATCCCAACTCACTCATTCACTCTCTCTGTTAGCTAAGTCACCAACCTTTTGATAGCAATCAAAGACTGCTGGAAGATTGTATCACCTCAGATCCAAACAATTCAATGAAAAATGATCACAAATTTTTTAAAATTCAAGTCACTTTATTTTGACAACAAGGAGGAGCAAACAACAATTTCGTAACAATTCAACTATCGACGTGCTGAATCAAGAATTGTTCCTCTGTTTACTAGCCATGTTAATGAGCTTCAAATCAATGGTTCAAATCACTTTTCTCTCGACCTTCGTTTTCCATTGCAAAGTTGTCCAAAATTATCCAGTTCCAATTTTCTGTGCGCCATCAAATTTTCTTTGCTATGGTTCCTCCATCAATTTCGCTTCTTTTCGTCCATCATCATCTACTTTCTCTCTCCTCTCTCCTTTTACGATAATCTTACAAATTCTGAGGAATACTCAACCATTTTCAACATACATGCACACGTACGTGCTTTTTTATACACATTTTACACAAACAATTGAGAGCAAAAGCCAATCAACAAATTATCAGATTATTTGAAAGATTATCCAACATTTTCTCTATGGCCAAGAATCAAAATCACGAAAGAGGAAGAGATTGTTCATTATTTTGTTAGATCTTGTATACTGCCTTATAAAGTCATCATCATAATTATCTTCCAACTCTTCTTCCCGCTTCCTTCTCGATGGAGAGAGAGAAATAGAAAAAAAATCGGGAGAGAGAGAGAGAGATGATTACCCTGACCAGTTTTTTATTCAGTTTCAATCAGAAGCAAATACATGGAAAAGAAATGAAAAGATGCCTTCAGGATCAACCGTTACCATTACCAAGGTCACAATTTTCTCGTTGTTATATATTTACACTGCTGATAAAGTGTGAAGATTGAGCCTTGTCAATTTGTCTTCATCATCATCATAATCATCTAGTATCTTTTTCTCCTCCTATTTTTAAGCTCTCTCTCTCTCTCTCTCTCTCTTTCCCCTGGTTACTTCCAATTGCCTTCAACAGCCTGCTAATTACTTATCTGGTAACTGCTGACTAATGGATACCTCACTAACCCGAACAATAATAATATCAACCATCTAATCAACAATTAATCACCATACGAATCCTCGCTACTAGAATTGAAAAAAGGCAGAAAACCACTAATAACTCAAGAAAAAAAGCTCCATCTTGAATTCAACACTCCCACCACCAACACGTACACCACCACCACACCACCACCCCCGCCGCTTCCGCTGCTACTGCTACCAAAATCATCAAATTCTTTTTTATTCTTCATCATCTTCCTCATCTTCATCTTCATCATCAAGAATCATGTTACATGCTCAAAGATTTTCCTCTCACTTCTGCATCTATGTTTTTTTTGTTAACATTTTATTTTGACATTTAAATGCATCAAGTCCATCCAATTAACATCACCAAGAATAATCGCAATTTCGTCAAAACAACAAAACCATCCGTAATCATCATAATCATCCTTTATAATTAAAATCATAATCAACGTCATAATCATCTCAATTGTTGAACAAGAGGCACAAATACAACAACAAACAAACAACATCACAAAAACGTCTTAATATTGACCAAATCGGCCTTATTTAAATACACATAACACTAACGAAACCGAAAAAACAACTATTAGTTAATTACAATTTACCTCTTCTAATCATTGTTATTATAAATACACCTTATTATACATATACCACATTATAATATATCTTAAAACTGAATTGACAAACAAAAAGTTGTGAATCAAATACAATATATTATATAATAATAATGAGAAAAAGTAAAAAAATTTTCAAAAAAACGAAATCATATCAATTAAAAACTCGCGACAATTAACTAATCGATTGCCACGTTGATTAAAAGTCGAGAAATTAAAAAAAGAAGCCATTGTAAGCTTATTTTTCTCATTTAATCAACAATCAATTTATTTGCTTAGTCTTTTTAATTTGCTCCTTGATAATCAAATGAATGAGAGACACAATCATAGTAACTATTATCATCATTGATAATTATTATTAGTATATTATTATCATTATTACAATTAAGCTTTGTTGTCTTCTCCAATGTTGGATTACAATTAGTTTTTTTTTGTTGATGATTTAAGTGGAAACAAAATAAATAATATTTTAAAATACAATCTACAATTTAAATTGATAATACAATAATATATATAAGTGAAATTAATTGTTCATTGAACAAAATTAGTTTCCTCTCCTTTTGCTTTTGTTTTCAAATTATATTTGGTGTGATCATTGTTTAGGATGATAATCATTGTGTCTTATGATGATGATAACTATGATGAAGATGATAATAATGAAAATATTAATAATAAACTACTAATGATGTTGTTGTTGTTGATTAGTGGTCATAACATTGAAAGTTATGTTTGAAAGTTCAATTCTCAAGTGTTTTTAGTTTGATTGTTGCCGATCAATTAAAGTTGTGAAATGATTTTAAGCAAAAGTTGTTGATGATAATTTGTATCTGATTATCTGTTGATTGAATTTGGAGAAATTATTTTGATTGTTGTTTCCTTCTTTTCGTTGCTTTTTTCTTGTTTTATGAGCAAAAACTTTTATTTCCATTGATTGTTGATGATTATTTACGTAGAATGTCATGTAAATCTTGAGGTAAACAATTAATCACACCATCTAATTGAATCTCAACCTTTTCGACAATACCTTTGTCAACAGGTAAACTTTCGTTGTCAACGGTTTTCAGTTTTTCCTTCATGGTTAATATTAGATCAACTATTTCAATTTCTGCTTTATCTTCAATCCATGAGACAAGATTTGCCTTTGAAATTGATTCAATGTGAAGAGCTTTCAACTTTGAACTGACCTCACCAACTCGAGATTCATACCAGGCAGAGAAATTGGGAGTTCGAAAAAATTTACGATACAATGAGTTCCAATCACCTTTGATACCGGTTGTCAATTGGGGACCAGAAGTTTCCAGGGTTTTTAGGAAATCATCAGGATTAAAGGGTTGAATCATTGGGGTTGATTTAAAGGGAGAAATATCTTTTTGTAATGGCATCAGAGAGGCTAAATAACGTTCTAGAGGAATTAGAAAGCTCGATGTTAATTCAATGAAATATCGTCTCATCAAAGTACTTTGAACTTCATGGGGACGACGAGATTCTAATCCTTTGAGTAGTTTCTTTAAAATCACTTGATCCTGCTGAAGAAAAGGCTTATATCGAGTGTATAAACCTGGTTTACATTCAAGAGTTTTAATTGTCTTTCCTTTCCAAATCTTGGCAGCGGGAGTTTTTTTCGGAGCTAAATCATACCAAAGAAAAGACAATTAGAAAACAAAACGTAAATGACCATTATAAAAGCTTACAAGGAGGAGTATATTCACAAATTCTGATTATATGAGGCCAATGTTGTAAAGTTTTCGCAAAAAATGGATTCGTAACTCCAAGTATCACAGGAGGTCTGAAAATCAAGAAAAGGTCTCAATTGGTTTAATGTATTTCGAAGATTTTTTCTATTTTTTGTAATACTTACGGTGATTGACTTTTCTGGGTATACTCTTTGAACTCGGTGTCATGAATCGTAAAGAAAGGCCGAAAATCGGAAGAGTATTTTAAAGGCCAAATCATCGAGACCAGAGATTGGACCATTTCACAGCAAATATCGGGTGTTGGTGCCATGACGATTATTGGTTCACAGGTAAGAACAAGTTCCCACATAAGTTGAATGTGAGATATTATGGAAAGGAAACATTTAAAAATGTTAAACTCATAAAGAGAGGGTATTATGATGGCGGGTAGTGCTAAAGTGGAACCATTGAGTAGATTGTTACTTGAAGGTGATGAAGGAAATTTAGCCGCCGATTCACTTGTTGGAGAACAACTGAAATCATCATTTTTATGAGGAATATGAATTTGTAAATGAAAACCTAATAGAGGGAGATTCAGAGTACATCCTGGACTCGGTGAGGGCCATAAATCAATATTATTAATGGCTAAAGAAAAGTAAAGGTATTAAAAATTAAAAATTGCACTTAAAGTGAACAATTTGAACAGAAAAGAAAATTCAAAAATACCTTCTAATAAAACTTCTTCTCCATTATCAAAATATTGTGGAGCTATCACAGATATTATTTGAGAAAATAGATTCACAAACGGAAGCCTTGTTAGTATTACAAGAGACTTTTGAAAGTAGCCTCGACGAGCAGTTCGATCTTTAACTTGGCGAAAATAAACATAACCGTAAATGTAACAAGCATCGGCCTGGAAAGAGAGACGGAAAATTAGAGGTAAATACAAGTATATTTATGAATTGTTTCGTGCATAATAATTAGAGAGTTTATAAAATCAAGTGAAGCGATAAAGAGATTTAAAAACCAACCTGAAGAGCACTTAAACATTCATTATTGTAATCACGATAAATGGTGAACGATTTACGTGCCATTGGACCTAATCGAGTTCGAAAATGAAATTTGGTATCACCCATACAGCCCGAGTTACTATCTGGAAACGACAAGTAGCATATATTTGTTTTCTATGGGGAAAAGTAATAAACAAAAATCGAAAAAGAAAAAAAGAAAAATTATTTCCCATTTTTTGGGTGGAGATAAATTTTTAAGGCCTTCGATTTGATCTATTGTGTTTGTTAACCATAACAAAAAAAGAACCAGAAAAACGTGTTAACAGTTAACTGATTGTTCGGTGTCAATGTGAAGCTGGAATTTTGATTGCAATCGATTCATTTTTTTTCTCTTTCTTCTTTCATTTCTACTGGTTCCTTCTAAAAATGTTATTCCGGGTTCGCTTGAGGATTTTGTTGGTGGTGTTAATTGTGATGACGTCAAGTTGGGGTATCATGAGAAAAGAAAGAAAAACTTGTCAGTACTAACCTCTCTTTCGCTCAGTTTAACATGAGAGGGATAAACTTTCTGCATGAATATTGGGGAGAAAAAGAGAAGGAGAGAAAGAGGGCAACATTAGAAATATATATACAGGTAAATAACAGTAAATCGGGTCAACATTTGAATTATTTTTCTCTTCTATCATCATCTTTCAATAATATCGATGATGGTGATAGGAGGATATTCATCAAATACCTCAATCGCTTGTCCTAATTCAATGTCAAAAGTAACCAATGCAACACAATGAATCCAATTACGAAATCTATCATATGGCAAGAGAATAAATTTGTCTGAATGATTGGAATCACCATTAGTTTCAAATTGAGTTGGAGAATCATTCCAATGATTGTTATCCATGATTTTTAATCTGAATTTTTGGTAAAAAAAGAAGAGAAAATAATTAATCATTAGAAAATAGAGAGCTGATTGGTTAACCAGTTGATTCTCTTATTTTTTTCTGGAATCAAATATTAATACTTACAACAGTAAAAGGTTGATAAAATGTAATAAATTTCTGAGAACCGGGAATTAACTGTGGTTAAATTGAGATAACCTTTGGATGATCATTGATGATGATTGTTGTCAGCATTATTTAGATGGTATTAGAAATTTTCATCAGTCAATAGTATTTTCAACAGAAACAATTTAAAAGATGAAGGATAATCATCGTAATCATGTAGTTTCAAGAAAAATAGAGTAAATTTTTTAGGGCTCACAAAATAAATAGACACAAACACACAGAATGGAAAGTGAGGTTTACTTTGATTCTAATTGAATAGGAAAAAGAGGCAAGGTTAACTGGAGAATAGAAGCAAGAAAAAACGTCAACAGGTAACCGTTAATTGTTCAAATTGTAAATACAATTAGTGTTGATAGTAGAGAGAAAAAAATCAACCAAAATCACAGTTTGTTCATGTCACTTTTTTAACTGCAACTGTTAAGTGTTAGGGTTTTTAGTTCAATCACAGCAAAAATAATAAATTCTGTTGAGAAATCACTGAGGTCAGAATAAAATTTGATAATGTTGTTAGTGTATTCACACAAGTGATTGAAAGGATGGAACGAGGCGAGGAAATTAATAAATTGATTATCTAATAATAGAAAGAATAATCAAGAAAACAGCAAGAGGAAAATCTAATCAAAGGTATGGACACATTGTTAGTTTGTTGAATGTTGAATTTTTCTGAAAAAAAATCAGGTAATTAAAAGGTTAAGATGAATCACAATAAAGATACTCTCATGAAGATCGGGGTAAGAGGAAATTGTTGTTGATTATCAATAAACATAATCAACCAGAAATACAACCAATCTTGATGAGAAAATTATTGTTGATCTTGTTGTTTGATGTTGATGATGTTGGTTGTTGATACTAATCAATGTTGACTCTCTTGTTGTACTCTCTCCTTTCCAAGGACATGTAAAGATGATAAACTGATGAAATTAGATCAACTGATGATAATGGTAATAGAATAGAAAATAATAATTAATTAGTAATTTCAACTAAAGAATAAAAAAGAAAGAGAATTAACCAAATGTAAGTAAACAAGAAGAAAGAGCAAAACTGGAATGGAGATCAGATGTTTTTCTCTCTTTCTCTCCTTCTCTTTCTAATAGAAAAGAATTTTTTTATTCTCTTTGTTCTGTTTTCTTTTTTTTTCCTTCCTTTCTCAGGTTATGGTTTCTGTCTATTTTCTAATTAATTGTGTTTTGGTCTTTCATCGATAATCTTTATTTCCATTTGGTCAACAATTAATCTTCTTAACAATTAGATTGAAGTCTAATTCTATTAGCATCTTAATCGGTCATTTTTTTGCTTCTGCTGATTGTTGAAAGGTAAGTGGAACTCAAGGATTTTCGCTTTGAATCTCAGGTAAGTTTAGTAATTATTTTGTTATTAAATCTCAATATTGTGGTGACATTTATTTCTGACGTTTGGTGACTGACCCCTTTGGTCAGTATTCGTGAGTAGGTGGTGAGAAAAAAATAATTGTCTCATGAAATGTTGAATTTGTTGCGTCTAAATTTTTTTGACCTTCTTTGTTTTCTTTGTTTTCTCATTTTTTACCTTCTCTTTCCGTTGCTATAAATGTTTCTCATTGGAGATTTTATCTTCTTGCCGATTTCGTTGAGTGCCAGTCAATAGATTTTAAATCTTAGATGAAATAGTTGCATTTTCATCTAAGTTGAATCTATCATTTTAATTATTACCAAACAAATTTAATCAATCGAGGCGAAAATGGATAAGAATGGAAAAGAACAAAAAAATCAAAGACCAGGTAAGATTTTCAATCTTTCTCTTAACTGAGAGAAGATTAAACTGAGCAAAATTATGATTGATTAACTTCTAACTTCGTTGTCGAGAGTAAACATTTGAGCTACTTGATTAATAGAAACATCTGAAGGACGCAAATTCGGTCATTTATCAACATGTCCAACCTCAAGAATTACAAACGAAACAAGAACTCGAGATGAATATCGGAATACAGGATCAGATTGGTTCGATAAACAGAGATCAATGAATCGATGGTAAAAATGGAACATGTTATAATTAACTGACCACCTTTTAACCCTCCAACAATTAAGGAATTTTCATCCTTTTGAAAAGGGAAAACCAATTTTAAATTATTTCCAATGTATCGAATTTTTTTTATAAACTCTTTTTCTCTTGTGACCACAACGAATTAGTTGAGTTAAATTATGAATAAATAAACTGCTCGAATGTAGGATTGATTTCTAACAAAACGAAGGACCAAAAGTCATTTTGAAAGATTCACAATTAATTTGTAAGTTTGGGAATTAAAGTTCATCATGAGGTGTAGTTGGTCCGAACAATTGTTCCTCTGGATAATATTTGTTCCAAAATTTGGGCGGAATTAAAGTGAAAAAGTTATTATATGCTTCCATCAATTCATCATGAGATAATAGTTGATCTTTATTGGCATCGGCTGAGGCCACAAGACGAGCGGCTTCTTCGTTATGCCTTTCCGTTTGAACGGTTAACCAATATTCAAGTTCCTTGGGATTCAGGTGACCATCATTATCTTTATCAAGATGAGTAACGAAATGATTTTTTTGAACCTACAAATAGATAATCAAAAAATCAAAGGTTAATTGGAATAAGAGAGAAATTAATTTACATTCAGTTGAATCATTTACTTACTTCACTCCATTCTGGTTCAGATCGATCTCCTTCTGGTGTGATTGAGATCAAATGTTTCATGTATTCGTCCATTGAGATTTTGGAATCGCCATCAGTGTCCATGTCTTCGAGACCCTCTTCGGCTAATCGTTGCTTGACAACCTCTGATTTAGACTCTTCAGGCCACATGAAATCTTTAAATTCCTCTTTGGTTAGAATGGTATCATTGTTGGAATCGGCGACTTCCCATCGTCTCTGAGCTCGATTTAACATTGTCTCCCAAACTAATTTATCCGCAGGATCAGAACCCGATTCGGCCTTCATTTCCTCGGTGAAGGTTTTATTCTTATACTTTTCCCAATCAATAACTTCCAATTCGGTTGGTTTATATTCATGCCAACTATGTACTTCTTGAAGAACTGGTTCATAGAAAGCCCATTGACGGTCAAGATTTTCTTTGGTTATTTCAAAGTGCATCGCGTCTAACCAATTTTTCACTTCTTCTATGGTCAATTGTCCATCTCCATTTTCATCATATTTCTGATAAAGACCAGATAATTCAGTTTGAATATCTTCTGGTGTTGGTTGTTGTGAATAACCATCATTTTCACCATCAAATACTGGCGCAGGTATTTGACTCTCATGTAAACTCTCATCGTCCCCTGGTTTACTGGAACCATAAACATAACCATTAATTGTGAACAATAACAACAATATACAAGATGAATTGATGACCAGTGACATTAAATTACTTTCCATGGTGACAAAGGGTGTGGGATGATGTTAATTAGTTAACAGGGTTTGAGAGAAAACAACAGGTAAATACAAAACGGAAACAATTGATTCTCTCTTTTGCTGCTTTCAATTGTTGATTGGAAGATTTTCACAAGTTAATTAGATCTTTCTCAAGCCAATTTATCACCTTGATGTAACCAATTGAAATTACTGTTGATTAAATAGAAAATTAGAAAAGTAAACAAAGAGTAAGGTGAAAATGAAGGAATAGAAAAATTAACCTACGTCAACAATGTGATGGGAAGGAGAGAGTCTCTTGTGAGGAGACTTGTTTAACTAGATTTTGGTGGATGGGGAGAATCAACTTTCCAATTTAATTGTTGGGGCTTATTGTTAACCCATGTTAACATATTCTATTCCACAGGATTCGAACATTACCTTTTTTCTTGAATTCTAAACTTGATCCAATAATTTGATTCCATTGTAATTTTTGTTCGTTCAATGGTTTGATAGTCTATACTAATTAGTTACTGTTCCTGGTAATTTAATTGTCACCATTTGAAGAGATGACGATTTGAACATCTTACAGTTAAAGTTTCACAGGGACTTTTAAACACAATTGTTTAATTGTTGAAAGTAATTGATGATTTACATTGTGAGTTTAATGAGGATATTGAATGGAAAATATTTCCTATAAAAACCAAACTAATTGAGAAGATAAATTGTCTCAAATCTAATTAACGATCATCAATAATTGTCCCAGGACAGAACTGACAATCAGCAAATTACCGACTTAATCACTCAGGAGATTTCATTCCAGAATAGGTAAGTTTCATGTTACAATCAGCTAATTGCCATGACAATTAAGTGTAACAATGGACAATAAATAAATATTATTGATTCAATTGTAATATTATTACTTTGAGTCGGAAGATGAACACGAACACAATTAACAACGTAATAGATTGAAATACATTAAACGATAAAATGTAATTGAAGTGATTAACATGATAATTATATTTTCGTTGTAACAATTAACAATCGTCTTGAAAATCTGGTTAAGGACTGAACCAGATATTTCCAGATACCAAAGAACAACTGGTAAGCATGGATTCGATATTGGATCAGCCAAATCAGGATTCGAATATTTTGTTGATCTTTTGGGTTTTGTTGTGATGAAAATTTCATTTCAATGTTTAGTTAATTTGATTAGTTTGATTTAAATAGTTGAGAATGTCAACTAAATCTAATAAAAGATTAAAATTTGGATTATTGTTGATCCTTGTTCTTCAAACAACGGGATGTGTTCTTCTATTAAGATATTCAAGACACCGGACAAAAGATTCATCCAAAAATTACCTTGTATCAACAACCGTTGTCTCATCTGAGATAATTAAAGTGTTAACAAGTTTAATTGTTTTATTAGCTCAAACAGGTAAGTTAAATTTCTAATTAATTGTTACCCTTTAAATTGGTCTTAATCATAGAATGACCATCAACACATTTACTGAGTTAATTTTTCGGTGATTCTAATTATTAATTGATATTCTTTTTGTCTTCACCATGTTTGTTGAGAATCTTTTTTTTCTATTCTTTTCTCCATGAGTTTGATTTTCTTTTGTAAATTCTATTCTATTCTATTATTTTATTTTTATTCTTTTCTTTTGTAACTTCTTAGGAAGCCTGATGTCATGTATGAGATTGCTTTACAAAGAAATGATTCTTAATCGCCAGGAATCCTTAAAATCTGCTGTACCGGCTTTATCTTACACAGTACAAAATAATTTACTCTTCGTGGCATTGTCTCACCTTGATTCAGTTACTTATCAAGTAAGTATCAATAATTTCAGTTTCTCTGGTAATTAACTATTGTTATTGCTTCTTTTACCTTTTATCAGTTAAAATAAACATTACAGTTGATTGGAAGGCTGTCTCATGTCTTTTGACAGATTTGATACTCGATTGTCTAATCATCTGTTTACTTTCCTGTCTCTCTCTGTCTCTCTCTTTTTCTCCTCATTTAGGTAACTTATCAGCTGAAAATTCTGGTGACAGCAATTTTCTCAGTTTTGATGTTGAACAAACGTCTCTCTTTACTCCAATGGGTGTCACTGATCATGTTAATGGCTGGAGTTGTGGCAATACAGTTACACGATCCATCAGCACAAACGAAATCATCTGAACGTCAAAATGATCTTATCGGGTTAATCTGTGTTCTAATTTCGTGTTTTCTAAGTGGATTTACTGGTGTTTATTTTGAGAAAATTTTAAAAAAAGGAGATCAAAGTTTATGGATTCGAAATTTCCAGTTATCTTTTATCAGTTCAATTATCGCCTTGATTAACGCACTTGTTCAAGATCATTCAACAATTAGTTCACTTGGTTTCTTTCATGGTTATGATTATCTCACTTGGACTGTTATCTCAATTCATGCATTCGGTGGTTTTATCGTTGCATTTGTAATGAAATACGCGGACAATATTCTCAAAGGTTTTGCCACTTCCATTTCAATTGTCATTTCGACATTGATTTCGTTTTATTTATTAGACGATTTCACACCTCAACCTTATTTCATCTATGGTGCACCCATGGTATTAGCCGCTGTTATCCTTTATGGTTATAAATGATTCGTTGTTAACAATTTGATCAATTCTGAAACTTCTAAACCAATTCCAACGTAATTCCAGCAACAACAAAAAATGATCAACCACTTCCCTGATTCTGTGTAACTTTTACAATTGATTAATTTATTTATTTATTTTGTCAAGAAATTTCATTTTTTCAAATTGGACTTTGATCATGTATACAAATGAAAACAACAATCAACTGATTGATTGACATTCGTGATCAGAAAGGCAGCTCAAAATACCCAACAACTTAATGGTAATTTTTAAAATGTTTCTAGTCTCATTGAGTAAATACAAACTTCAGATAATCATTTAAACAAAAAAAATTTTTTCGCTACAATAAAGTGATACGAGTTAATTGTAAATATATAATTACTGACAGAAATCCCAATCAAATACAAAGATGCCAATGTGACCAAATTAAACAACATCAATATTTGTATCAACAAATAAACTAATGATCAAATTTTTGCACAACCAAACATTTTGAGCCTCAATCATTTCCAAAATATTTAATCATCCAAATGAAAAGTAAATGATTAAACTTTATCAAATGTTATTCTAAACAATTAATAAGTTATCTACCTTTGAGGCCCCGAATCAGGTACAAGTTTTCATGGAAATTGAGGAGAAATTGATTTTTTCTATTGATGCAAATGATCAGTTGATTGAGAACTTGAAATCAAGTCGATAACCGTTAAAGAGACCAAGATGATAATCAAGGTGAGAGGCAGAGGGAGAGTGAGAGGACAGAAAGAGGGAGTTAGCATCTGGCACGCGCCAAAAGCTAAATCGACGGTTGAACGCGTGTTGAGGATCAACAACATGTAAGTTTTGTTAGCACATCGAAATGGTGAACAGATGTTGATGTTCATCTACAACAACATGACCTTTAACCTTGATAACCTTTACTACCATTCACCTTTTCCCTTCATTCAAGTTTCTTGTGTCTCCTTATGGGTTTTCAATTGAATCGCTCAGCTGATTTACTAATTCCCATAAAAAACTTTTCGCTATGGGTAATGATTAATTCCCATAGAAATAAATTAATTCAAATCTTTCACTTAACGATGATAATTATTCATTTATTGTAAAGATAAAAACAGAAATAAGTTAATTATACTTTCCATAAGTTGATTATATCTTCAACTTTATGGGTCAAAGTTTTTATAATTACAGTGATTACATTTAATTTATATATACAATTATGTAAATATCGAAATCGGTTAATCAAGTTGGTGACAGTTTAGGAAAAGTTAATTGTTGAACAATTGATGTTGATTTTTTTTGTTTCACGGGGAAATTGATGAAAATGATTTAAAGTTTGTTAAACGTAACTTTCTGTCATTTTGTTACATTGACTAAAAGCTTGTTCAAGGTTTAGTGTAACTAAATCAACGGCATTGATCAACTTAATTGTTTCAGGTTTTAACATTGAACAAAGTCTTCGAAGAGCAATTAACGAAGCAATTAGCACAGTCTCACTGTAATTACGTTCCCTTGGCTCCTTACAGATTTGTACTAATCTTTGGCAGCCTTTTAACTCGTAAATTAATCCGGCGACGTTTTGATTAGACGCTAATCTGGTTAACGCTGTGGCCACTTTCTGTTGAATCCGTTCAATGGCCGCGAGTTCAACTTCATCACCTTCAACGGTGATCGGTCTCATTTGAAGGGCACTAATTAGATAAACTAATGCACCACATTTAACAATTTCATTAGTATCAATGGAAGACACATTTGCCATAATTGTGATGATTTGATCCTTAATTGCGGTATCATTAGAGAACCGGGACTTTGATCGAGTCGCAGTCATTAGGATTGAAAGAGTTCGAGTTCGAATGATTAACTCAGGCTCGTAGAAAGAGATATTTGCAATGGAAGCAGTGATTAGAAGGAAAATCTCATGAGAATCTGTTTCGGTGGCAACAGCAATTAACGAAGTAATTAACTCATCCAAAGGTGATCCATTGATGAAAGAGGCAAGACAAGTGTCTTTCTGAGTTGACCGTTTATAATCAATGAATGGAGTTGTAATTTGTACTAGAAATCCAGTTATCTCTCTGATCACAATTTCTGATGTTTCCCTTTGCAAAGGGATGATTATATGTTTGTCCATATCAAGACGATTATAAATTGTCCTAATTGCGTCCGGATTAATACAAAGGTGAGTTAATGTCCTAAAAGCAGCGGCTCGAATTTGATCTTGACCAACAAAAGGTTTACCAAGAATATTTGATGAAACGATTTTAATCAGTCGATTGATTATTCCATTGTCTTGGACGAAAATGCGACAAATGTAAGCATCGTTTTTGGTCAATTGCCAGAGGGCAAAAAGTGACCATTTAAGGGTCAAACTTTCAATGTGACGATTAAGTCCTGATGAGATTATCTGAATGAATAAATAGATAATTTGAAAACAAAAAGAAGAGGAAACAAATTTGTTAATTACAGAGTTTGAGATGAATGGTTACATTGATGGATCGGAGAATGAGAGTTAATCAAAAGAGATCAATTTAGTGTCTAAGTTAACATTGTAATCCAACCGGATAAACTACAAGAGGATTAGCATAAAAAATGATTCTATCTACTTTTCTGGATCATCTGAGTCTCCTCTTATTACGAACCCACTTTGACCTCCGTCTCCTTTAAATAACAAGCGACTTCAACTTCCGTCACATTGTTAATTCCCATATGTACATAAGGGAGATCTCTATGGTTCGAGATGTACATTCGAGCCATAGACCGGATGTAACTTCCTCTTCCTTTCATCTTTCATCTTTCTTTTTGCTTTTTGTTAATTTTCTGTCTCGTGTCAACATTTAAATTGCTCTTTGATTTTTATGACATTTCTGATTGTCATTTGTTTTTATAACAAAAATTTGACATTTTCCAATACAAGTTTCATCTAGTTCTTAGTTTTTTTTTTCTCTAGAAATTAATGTTAATAATTACCTGACATTCCCATCTGATTGTTGAATCGACTAGTTCACCGAGTCTCTCCTTTAATTTACGGAGGTAGGCCTCAAGTTGGGCATTGTTAACCTTGTTTTTCCGTAGAAAATCAGTCATAAATAAGTTCAATGTACCACAAATTGATCGAACCTCGTCCGCGATTTTGTATAAAATGGCCAATTCACTTTCGGGTCTTTTACGAGCACAAGTATCGACAAGATTAACAATGTTACTGTAGATTATGTTGAAATCGTGTTGACAATCTCGAAGTCGTCCACAAGTTACTGGTAAAGTGTCGATGAGAATATCAATATCATCGATAATTTGAACGGAAGCAAATCGAACCTTTCGAACTGAAACTTGGGCACATCGAACCGATAGAGCACGAACAGAGTCTTGTTCTAGAGCGACTGATTTAGCCTGAAGAGCACTCAGACTTTCCATTTCAGTTCGACGACGAATTTCAACCAACCATTGGCCGACACAAGTTCCTGGTCCTGGTAAATCACTTCGAGCAACAACAACTCGAGCAGGAGGATGAGGAGGAGATGATGAAGGTGATGAAACAATTAAATTATTTCGATGAACAATTTGATTACTTTTAGAGGGTTGAATCATTTGCTTCATAATTGATGAGAAAATAGAGAATTAAAAGAGTCACAATTTAATAAATACAATTTTCACAAATCTAATAAAATGAGATGTTGATTCTATCAATGTTCATGTTTAAATGGTTCAAATTGTCGTTTACTTTCAAATCTGAAACAGATAAAGAGGAGAGAGAGAGAGAGAGAGTGATAACCGTTAAAAGAGACTAAGGATGATAATGATGAGAGGGGAGAGAGAGAGAGAGAGAAGATGTTAATATCTAAGGAGAGGGAGACACATAGAGAGAGTGAGAGAGAGCATCTGGCACGCGCCAAAAACTATAAACGGTTGGACGCGTGCCAAGGATCAGCAACATATAACATGCTCATAGGCAGATGTTGATATTACATACAACATGCATCCTCACATTATCATCATCATTATCATCTGATCATCATCTTCATCTTTAATATCAACAATTACCTTCTTGCACCTTTACCTTTTCCTGTGTGTGTGTCTAACTCTCTCTCTCTCTCACCTTTGGTACTTTGATGTAAATTTTGTCATCTTATGTTAAATGTCAGCTGATGAGCAACCATGTTAATTGTATTGATTAGTCTAATTTGCTCTACCTTAAAGATTGATGGTAAGGGTAATTAATTAGTTATAATGTGACACACATTTCAAGTTGATTGGGGAGTAATAATTTCATGTAAGAATATCAACTTTATTTGTACAAGAAAAATTGAATCTAATCAACAATTGATTCAGTTTTGTCCTTTTAATTTTGGGTCACTAAATTTTTTGTTTTTGTTTACGATTTTTTCAAATCTCTAAAATTAAACTAACAATTGATTGAAAAGAATTAAATAAAGGTACAATTATTTATGTTCCTCTTCTTCAACGAGTCTTTCATAATAATGAATTATCTCGAAGACAACCTGTAGATGGAAAATAAAAATGGAGGAAAAGAAAGAGAGAGAATAACATTAGTAAAATGAACTGGAATGAGAAAAACAATTAATTAATTACCTCACACATGATGAGAATAATAACCATCCATTCTAAGCGAACGTGATGTTTATCACTTAGATGACTTTCCAATAGATTCATTAATTCTAAACAGTGATTTAACTTATCGTTCATCACTTTGGTTCGCTTGAGAGTATTTAGATAACTACAAGTTTGAATAAACAAATTCTCTAATTCTTGCCGATCCCAATAGAAATCCGGTGTATCCAATAGATCGGAGCTTAAATTGATCTGATGTCGAAGACTAAATAGTTCACCAGTTTTACGAAAAACTTCATCTTGGGTTAATTTGATTTTCTTTCCATCACGAATGTCGGACGATATAAATTTAATACTATCAACATAATAATCTAATGAAGATTCCCATATGGATAATTTAACTGAATTAAGAAAAAAGAGGAACAAAATTCAAAATTAAATTAGTAAAATTAGTTGAATAAGAAGATTAAAAGTAATTGGTTCTACCTGATAAAGCTAATGCATTGGAAAAAGTGTATTGACATAAAGGTGGATCTTCATTATCAATTAATTGGATAGTATTTCGACTAATCTTTGATTTAACACTGTGAGAAAAAGATTACAAGTAGAAAAGTTAATTAGTGAAATATTTAACAGCAAAATGATGCAAATAATTTACTCAGTGTATGCAAATTGCATCTGCTCATTTTCCTCGTGAACCAAATCATCCGGGTAAGATTTTATTTCAAAGGCACGTAGTAGTTGGAGAGTATTTTTTATCTTTGATGGAGAAATGAGATTATGACAAACAGATAATTAGATTTTGAAATCATGTAGAAAAATTTGTGTATCAAATATACCAGACAAAACTAACTTCAGTTGGATCAAAATTCCAGAAAACGGTTGCTCCATCTCTGCATAATTAGATGAAAATAGAAAAGAATTAAAATTAACTCATCTGATTTGATGATTTCTTTCGTATTTACCTGAAGATATACATTGTAGAAGGTTTTGCAACATCATTGCCTTTATTCAGTTTGAAAGAAATTACATCATCCGCTAAATCATCACTTATCTTCACTTCAACGAGATCAGTTTTTTTAGAGAGGACATCATATAGATCGGAGAATCGATACTCCTCAGCGGTACTAAAGGCTTCAACCATAAGTAAATTCTAGGCGCAATTATGATGAAAACAGGAGAAGAAAAAAAAACAAAAATCAACAAATTATTCAATAAAATCAAGAGTTTGAGGATAAACTTAAACGCATTTCAATTTAAATCACTTACCTTATTGTTAAGACTGGGAGATGATTTTTTCTTAGGTGATCTGACAAGAGTTGCTGCTTTCAATTGAAATAATTGAGCCTTTGATTCCTGAAGAAAGAAAAGACAATCAGAGTTAATAAAACAAAGTGACAATTTAACCAAACTAATTACCTGACTTTTGAACCGGTAACATGTGAGGTTTTCAACTTTACCATACAAACATGTTAACGATTTAACTTTGGAATTAAATTCAACTGGACCACAAGGTGTTCTAGAAAGTGTAGATAAACATCTCACTGATTGTCTGAAGAATATAAAACCAGTAACAGATAACATTTTAATTGGAATCAATAATTAAACACAATTAAAAGTGAGGATTAAAAAAAGAAATGATTTTAACAAAACATCACAATGTTTTCTATAAATGAGCTGCCATCTAACGGCAGTGGAGAAAAAGAAAAAAAAATTTTCTTCACATGTTTTTGTTTTTGTTTTCCTTTGATTGATAATTTAAATTGTTATTCTATTGATTCTATTTATAATCATGTCTCTTTGTAAACAAATTGGTAAAGATCGAATCATCTTGGTGACACCGGAAGAATTATCTCAAGAGAGTAACATTCAATTACCTGAGATTAAACCAGAAGATCGTGAACCAGGATTAATATTACCCAATGGTGAGATTAATTGGAATTGTCCTTGTATTGGTGGAATGGCCTCTGGTCCATGTGCTTATCAATTTCGTGAAGCTTTCTCATGTTATCGTGCCTCATCCACCGATGAAACAGATAATAGAGGCTTTGAATGTGTAGAAAAATTTGCTCAATTACAAGAGTGTATGTCCAGTTATCCCAATTTATATCCTAAAAGAGATGATGAAGACGATGATTTAGTTGGTGATTTGACAAACACTGACGATGATATTAAAGGTACCAGTGGATCTCACAGTAAAATCCAAGATGAAAACATCACTGCAACTGGAAGTGGTAAAAAAAACTCTTAGCTGATATCAAACAATCAACAATTTAACAATTAACATGAGCACAAACTAATATCAATCAACTGTTTCTCACATAAAACAACAAACAAGGCCAAAATTAGAATTAATCATTCATGTAGTTTGTACTTTATCTCAATTTATTGTTAGACAAAACAAAAAAAGAAAACTCTATTTACATTTAATATAAAATTAGTTTCGAAATAAATTAAATTCTAAATTTAAAAAAAAATTTAAATGTCTCGAAATTGAATTTGCTGTGAAAATAGCAAATTCTCAGGTTTTCCTTGATTGGCTATTCTCACGAACCGCTGGTTCTCATTTTCGGTAAACAAACCAAGAGACAAATCAATCAGGTCTTTCATTTGATTATTTAAAATTCCTATTTAATTCCTAATTATTATATTTAATTTGTTGTTTTATTTTTCTTCCTTTCTTCCTAATTTTGTTATTTTAATCTTCTACTTTCAATTCACACGATGTCTTATCAACTTTATCGTAATACAACCTTGGGTCACACTCTTCAAGAAAGCCTTGATGAGTTTGTTCAATGCTCTCAAATTACTCCACAATTAGCACTTAAGGTTCTTCTTCATTTTGACAAAACAATCAACATCGCACTGGCCAGTAAAGTTAAAACTCGATTAACGTTCAAGGTAATTAATAATTTCCTTCCATCAATTCCCATACCTTTTCACCCTTTACCTTGTAAATTCTATTCTCTTAAATTTTTTCTTCTCTCCTTACACTTTATAGTTTATTTTTTTCTTCTCTTCTTTTTTGTCATTTTTTGTTCTTCTCTCTTTTGAAAGCTTCTTTTCCACTCTAATCACAACATTTACCAAACAACATCATCATTTTTACCTGCTTTCCTTTCGTGTCCTTTTTTTGACTAATGGCTTCTTGGTTTACATTTTTTTTCTATTCTCTTTTTCTTCCTCTCTTTCTCTCTCCTTTTTCCCTTGTTCCTCTTTTTAGGCTGGTCATCTTAGAACATACCGATTTTGTGACAATGTTTGGACTCTAGTGCTTAAAGACGTTGAATTTAGGGAAGCTCAAGAATTGGTTAAAGTGGATAATGTTAAAATAGTCGCTTGTGATGGTAAAAGTCCCAATATAAGAGATGAAAGAGATTGAAACTCTTCTGTAACATACTAATAGACACAAAAATCAAGTTGAAAATGTTACAAAAAAAAGTATAAATATGTATTTGGGTCACCTGTGTATTATTTGAAAAAAAAGTCAATCTATTTGGAGAATTGAAACCAAAAAGAAAAGCTAAAGTTATATCAACACAGCGGAGAAACAAAAGGAAAAAAAATCAAATCAACCATCGGACACTTTCCCTTTCAAAGACAAACAACAAAACGAATGTCCAATTGTGTCTTTCTTCCAATCACAAATCTCTTATACATTCAGAAAGTTTCTTTAGTCATCAATTAATTGTCTTAATAATGACTAACTCGAACCTATCATTATTTCTTCCTATATCTTACTATTTCTCTTCTTACCTTGATGTTTCTTTCGCTGTGAATTTCTATCCATGTCAATTTTGGATAAAAGAAAATCAGTTATCTTTGTGTTAACCCACCACCATTACCACCCACCCACCTACTCAACATTTGAATTTTTTTCCCTAAAATCATTGAATAAAAATGCTGAGAAGATGCAAATTGTTCCAGACCTAAGTACATGTATGAACAGTAAACTTCATTTACCGATAATAATAATAAGTGATCAATCAATCCCTAGATGAGTGACACATTAATTTAATTAAAATTTTTCTCTCCAATTTAGTTGATTGTTGTGGGAGAAAGAGAGGGAGAGTGTATGTGTTTAAAGTAGATTGTTAGCAAATTTCTTCCCATCAGTAGCTATCTTTAGCTACTGGGAAACTGTTCCATCTCCAGAACAAGGTACAAATTATGAACGAGGATTGAGTATGAGGATGAAGTAGATAAAGAGAGAGAGAAAAATAGAAAAGAAAAAAAGAATCATTAGCGTGAAAAGAAGGAGAAAGTGAGGGAGAGATAATAGATAGTGAAAGAAGAGATTAGAGAGAGAGAGAGAGAAAGCGACAAAGAAAGACGCAGAAAACGAGGAGTGAAGAGGGAAAAGAAAATGGAAGTCATGGAGAGAAAGAGAGAGAGAGAGAGAGAGACAGACAGAGTAGATATGATTTAGATGAAAATTTTGCCATCACATATTGTAGTTAACACTTGAGTCGATTGTCCTTTTCAACTTGTTGGCCTTTACCCTTAACTCTCGCCATTCTTCAACGAGTACCAACATACTGTCACTTGGAATGGTTTTTTGGGTAATCGCTTCAATTTGTCTTTCTAGATCAAAATTTGAATTGGTCAACACTTCGATGACACTGTCTTTACAAGCGGATACATCTGATTGAACAGATACTCCTGCATAGTCATCACCACTCAGATCTGTATTGATTCCAATTGATTGCTTATCAGGTCCATTTGCGATCAAGGTCTGATTTATCCGACTTAAATGCTCTCTCATAGTTGTTGAACAGTTGACCATTTCTTTTAATTTGACCATCACCTCATTTGCAGAATCAGTTAATTCTTGACAGGAGCCACTGCAAACTTCACGGAGTGATTTATTATCATTGATAACTTTCTCCAATTCTTCTTGTACTTTGATCTTCTCTGCTTCTAGATTTTCAACTTCTTCGAATATATCCTTGAATTGTACTTTCTCATCTTCCTGTTTTCTTTTCTCTTTTTTCAATTCATCTTCTAGCCTTTTGATGGACTCTTTTGAGTTTTTGTTCTCATTTTGCAATTTTAATACTGATGTGACCAGTGAAGTGTATACAGGATCCTCAGGTTCATCTGTTTGGTGTTCAGCTATAGAAAAAAAAACAGAAAGAAAGTAAAAGAAAAAAAATAAGAGTCAGTAAAACTTCATAGACCAAAATTAAATTGTAACGATGATGAAAAACAAAACGGAAGAATCAAAAATGGTCCAAACACTTTGAATATTAATGAAACATGATTGAGAAACTTTAAATTAAAGGCATTTCATTAAATTTACCTAAACTCTTAGGATCATCGAAAAACAAAACGAAGGTAAGATAAGAGGATAAACAAAGTAAATATAATACTAACCATACATTGATGATTAACTCAATCGATGGACACAAATGAATCAGGAAAAATAAATTAGATTAACGATTGATATTAAAGATTGAAAGCAGAATGGAATCAGTTCAAGGTATGTGGTTGGAGAAAATTCTGGTTAATCACATTTATACAATTGTACTTGCAATGGAAAAGAGAAATTTGATGACAGGTAATGAATGGAGAAGGAGAAATTAATTTACAAATTCCAATCAACGGTTAATCAAGTGCAATTATAATTAAAAAGAGAAACAATTAAATTAAAGAAATGAACACACAGAAACAGAAAAGAAAGTGAATCTTTTCAATTAGATTTTCTTTTTTTCAAAAGAAAAGAAAAAATCGATAATCGACAATCGATGTATCGAAAAATGAGAAGCATTTGTTTTCTTTCAACAGGCTAACATGTTTTCTAATTAAACTTAATCATCTGATTGATTTAATTGTTTCTTTTTTTGTTTTTGATTTTTCAATTTACGATTTTATTGATTACAAGATTTGTGTTAAATGTGAAAGTCTAGAGAACCAATTGGTATGTGATTAGTTTCGCATTGATTTTTATCTTTTGTTTCATTCTAATATTTGTTGAGTTATTTTTTCTTCTTCTTTTCCCTTTTTTTAGTTAATCAGTTAATTGTGACCTTTAAGATTTGTTTTTCTTTTCTTTAGTGAATAATGTTGGCAAATCGATGGACTAAATCGGTCTCTTGTTTCTTTCAACCTAATGTTTCATGTCTGAGATTTTCTAGCTCTTCATCTTCATCTGGTTATGCTGAATATGAGAGAAAAAAATTTGCTCGGAGATTCGGTAATATAACTCGTCATCATGATAAAGGTAAATTATTTTTCTTATCTCTCTTGTTGTTGATTGTACTTTCTTTCTAATCATTTCGTTGTTATCTTATAAATTTTTGTTTCGATATATTCTTCCAGGTTTACTTCCCAGGTTGAGTAGACAAGAAGCTGGATTAAAATCAATTCCGGTGAAAGCTACTACTAACCCATGGCATCCAAGAAATGCTTTACTTGGACAAAATGATTACATTGATATTCTTGGGACTGGTAATACTCACCCAGCAACTTTATTAAAACACATCCCATGGTATTTAAGAGGTTGGAGAGGCCATGAAATGGAAATGCTACAAAGACAAGCTGCAGTTGATACATCAATGGAAACCTCTCGTCCCGAAAAATGGCATTACCTACAAAAGCGTATCAGTTATTTATACCATTTTAGAAATCGAAGAAGTAAACCACCAGCAAAGTGCCCTAAATATATCTAAAAATTCAACACTAATCATCCTCCAAAAAAATCTTCAATTTCCAGAAAAACAAAAATCTAGTTCATTGTAACGATATTGATGAAAATAATTTCTCAGCCCAACTCATGTCACTTATTAGATAGTGACCATGATTTACAACTAATCAAATCTTGTATCAATCCCCTCCAATACATGAAATCAATGTAGATAAATTAAATAAAAAAATCGAAAAACAATTAGAATGATAAACAATTAGAAAAACCAAAAAACGCCCAAATTAAAGTTCAACACGTTTAGTAACATTCGAACTCGTTAGATGTCAGTTCGATCGTTTTCTTTCTTTCTTGTTTGTTGTTTTGAGATTCAATTAAACGTCAAACATTTAGTTTATTTAGTATTTTTTAATTACTCGTTTTCCTAATTAATTGGAATCTTGTTTTTCCTTAAATTTACTCTTAATTGTATTAACTAAGGTTCTTTGTTATTGTTACTTTTTATTCTATCATATTGCCTTAACTATAGTAGAGTTTTGTCTTGTTGTCTCTCTATCATCTTAACCTTTTCTTTTTTCCCTTTCTCCTCATTTTTGTTTTCTACTCTTTCCTTTATTACAATTTGATTCTTTTTTCTCTACCAACAACCTGATTCCTTTCTGATTCACCTTTATAAACCATCATCATCATCATAATCATCAGCGTCTTCTTGTTCTTCGCTATCAATAATATTCAAAAACATCTTCTTTATCATTAAATTTTCTGTTCATTTCTGTTGGTGTGGTTACAAAATTTCCGGATACAAGGTTTCACAACTCAAGCCAATAACATATACACACACCTTGGTATAGACTGTGGAGGAGGTATAAAAGCTCAAAGAGAAAGAGAATATAATCAAAGAGCAATCAAATCTTGGTTAAATTAAGCAATTATGAGTAAGACACCTGCTGCAACTACTAATGGCGAAGGTCCAACACAAGAATCTACCCGACGATTGACCGTTAAAAAGCAAACCTTGGATGATGCTTATGCTGCTCCAGCTAATTTTCTTGAAATCGATGTTGTCAATCCAATTACTCATGGAGTGGCGAGAAATCGTTACACAGATTATGAGGTTCGCTTAAGGGTAAGTTGTCATTATTCAGAAAGGGGAGTGGATTCTATTAAATACCATAGTGTAGTTAATTTTCTCCCTCCCTCTCTCTCTCCCTTTCTTCTTCTCCTATCTTCCCAGTGAGAGAGAGAGATTTATTGACATTGTAATGTCATGCTGCTTCACGCTGAGGCATTTACACGATTTCACTTGTAGGTGTTATTCTGATCACAATGAATCGTCTTTCACTTTTAACTAGTAATTTACCTTTCTACAGTTATCTTATTTTCACAATAATCAATCAATGATTTCTTTTTCTGTCAATTGATTTTGACCTTAACTCTTTGATTACTCTTGTCAAATTGATTTAACCTTCTATTGTCTAATATCTAATGGATTAATTTATTTTTTTTCTTTTCTTAAATACTGAAAATCTAGACCAACTTACCGATCTTCAAGTTAAAGGAATCAAGTGTACGACGACGTTACAGTGATTTTGAATGGTTACGCAATGAATTGGAACGTGACAGTAAAATTATGGTTCCACCGTTACCTGGTAAAGCATGGAAACGATTAATGCCCTTCCGTGGTGATGATGGTATTTACGAGGAAGATTTCATTGAGGAAAGGAGAAAGGGATTAGAATCGTTTGTTAACAAGGTTGCTGGACATCCTTTGGCTCAGAATGAGAAATGTTTACACATGTTCCTCCAAGAATCAAACCTGGATAGAAACTATGTACCTGGTAAAATAAGAAACTCTTAATTAGCGATAGTAAAAAGCCAACAGCAACTAAATTAACTCCAATAACAACAACAATTAACTTTCTACTATTCACTAAAACGACAACACAACCACAACCATACACACAACCATATAAAATAATACAAAACACTCACAGAGTAAATTACAAGCCAACAATAAATCATTAAATACCAATCAACAATCAGGAAGATGAAATAACAATCTAATTAACAAAGAAGCTTCTCCATCAGCATATTCCCATTTTAAATCCTGCTAATTTAAAAAATCTAAACACCAACAAACAAACAAAATGGATGAATGTAAATTAATTACGTATGATTATGATAACAATACCTATTATATAATATTTACTACTATATATTTGAGTGAAGTTTCACCAATCAGTTAATCATCATATTGTAAACGTTACTATTGATGAGCAAACCACAAAAAATACAAATATAATTAATTTTATTAGATGATCAAGTTACATCTTTGATTGAATGAGCTTAACAATTATGGGAAAATTTAACTAATTGTTATTCTTTTTCTCTAGTATTTTCTTTCTCACTAATTGTGATTAATCAACAAGTGTAAGTATTTAGATTATCGCGATTGTCCTAATGTAATTGGACCGTTTGAACGAAGTGTCTCCAATGTTGTACAATTTTCGGAAACTAAACGGTAACAATTAAAATATTATGGTAACTGATTTAGCGAAATATAATCAGTAAATAAGGCATTTTCTTTTCGTTTATCAGAACAATTAACTCACACAATTTCTATGTCAATTCTTGGGTAAAATTTATCGAAAGGATTAATTTTCGACCTTAAATCTCTCGTTTTAACCAAGTGGCCGATTCTTAATCTTTTTAAGGAAAAATATTAATTAGTCGTTTTTTCTTTTGCTCAAATATAATTAACCCTCGGGCTTGTCCATTTTAGGATCTAATTGACTTCCTCCACCTGCTGGAACTTTGATTATTTCAATTAATTAACTAAGACCTTTGATTAAGATGACCAATCAAATCAGACCGAGATTATGACTGCCACTTTCCGTTGACGATTGATTTCATACATTATGTATAATTGACTTTTCTAGAACTTATATGATGATGATGAACTTGTAACCAGAAATAAAAAAGAGAAAGAAAATATCAAGAGACAAATGAATCTAATCCACATGATGATCAACAATTAGACTGAATTGACCTTTTTATATTGAAAATTATTTCTTTTGGACAATTAAACAAATCAAATCATGGTAAATATACAATTGATTCATGGAAAGCAAGAAATCAATGTTAATGAAAGGAAACAAGTTTTTAAACTAATGAAGAATCATCTTGATTATGTTCACAGTTAATTGATAATATTTGAGAAAATTAAACCAATTTAAACGATTAGCCGACGATTGGACTGGTTCAAAACGGGAATTGGTAATCAGAATGAATATTTATTAATCACATTTTCCATTGAGTGGACCAGTTAACCATCTCTCATCAACGTTGGAACAATCAAATAATGGTTTACTTAATTTCTTATTCACTTTATTATCAAGATTACACATCCAAAGAGAAAAGGATTTCCTAGAATCGACCACCGGTGGATCGAGTTTAATATCATCTCTCATATCTTTTGCACAATGACTGCATGGATAAAATTTAGAAAATAAATTTAATATCGGAATCCGATTTCTTTGATTCTGAATCATTAACTGAAGCCTGATGAGCTTTCATGAAGGATTTGAAGCTTTTACAGGCCCGACAAGACTCAGTGTAATCAGGCATAATTGTCACACATGAGAAAAGAATAAAAGAAAAAACAATAATTAATATTAGTCAATTAGAAAACAGCAAATTAATTGAAAGAAAATAAATCCCAATTAGGTAACACAATCAAGAAAATAGGATCGTATTGTTGTTGATTGATGTTCACATCAAATGATGACTGAATAGATGACGACTCTCCATTTGTGGACATTGTACTTTTAATTTCTTTTAACCGTAACTCCAACAGAGGAAGATCAAGTAAATTAGCTAAACATGGTTACCGGTTAAAGGGTAAAAGCGTTTCAATGAATAGCTTACAAAATCATATTGCTGATCATATGAATACTCTTGCTGTTGTAGTGGTTGTTGGAGTTGTTGGAGTTGTTGAGAATTGTTATCGTGATCGTGATGATCAAATGATGGTAAAATTATCCTAAAATACAGGGTGTAGAAAGTAACGCACAGTGCACCGCATTAGCGGTTGATTTGATTCCAATTTGATTTGATTTGATAACTCCAACAGAGGAAGATTAGGTAAATTAGCTAAACATGGTTACCGGTTAAAGGGTAAAAGCGTTTCAATGAATAGCTTACAAAATCGGACAGTTGTTGGATTAGCTGATGGATTAACAGTTTAGAAAAAATTCAATCCCATTTGTGAGAGTGAAAATTGAAAGAAAATTTAACTTAAATCAATTGAAATTAAGAGAGAAAATCAACTAATAATTTATTTTCTAAATTGTATCGATGCAGTCACCGTGCTAAAGATATGAGAGATGATATTGAAGCCGATCCACCGGTGGTCGATTCAATCTTCGCGTTAAATGAAATGAGAAATTGTATAAACTGTTATTTGATCACAGGTAAATTTATTGATTGATCAGAAAGATGATCATTATAATTCATGACTTGATTGGAATTTAATAAATTGACAATTGTTGATTCTGTTGGTAAGGTTGGTAAGGTTGGGGTTCATAATAAGATGTATTTTGTTGGTAAAATTGGTGAGATTCTGTTTGTTGGTAATAACCAGAGTAATATTGTTCATCAGGTACAAAATCATATTGTTGATCATATGAATACTCTTGCTGTTGCAGTGGTTGTAGTGGTTGTTGGAGTTGTTGATCGTATTGTTGATCGTATTGTTGATCGTGTTGTTGATCGTATTGTTGATCGTGTTGTTGATCGTGTTGTTGATCGTGTTGTTGATTGATGTTCACATCAAATGATGACTGAATAGCAAGAGGAATGTGATTGAGGTTAGATGATGATGACGACTCTCCATTTGTGGACATTGTACTTTTAATTTCTTTTAACCACAATTCCAACTGAGGAAGATCAGGTTCCGGGAGGCTCTTTCTTTTTTTGTAGGCATCTCGTCCTCTTGCAAAATATGAAAGAACATGCGAACGGGTAAGCCCCAAATATTCGACGATTATATCAATTGATCTGCCATTCATCTTTGGGTCTAATTTGAAAGCGTATTTCAATATTTTCTTTTGATGTTTGCTGAAAGTTATTCGTTTTCGAGCACTCAAAGTTGGCCTTTTCTCTTTTATCTGTTCTTTGTTTACACACAAACTTCGATGATTTTTAAAAAAGTCACCCACTTGTTTTTCGGTGATTTTCAATTGATTGGCGAGTTGTTCTCGAAGTGGAGCATCACAATAAATGTATTGATTGAAGGCTTCTAACAGTACCTTCTGTTGATGAGATGTGTAAACGATTCGCCCAGAACGTTTGATGACTTTTTTAGGAACTGGCATAGTGAAAAGTTGCAACGGACACTTGTTGATCGAATCAGACTAGAAATAATGAATAACGATCTATGGTCGTCCTTTTATTTATCGCCCTCTGACCTGTTTCCGCCTCCCTGTTGCTCCCTCAGAGAAATTTTCTATATATCAATTCATGGGTAAATTTTATCGAAAGGATTAATTTTCGGCCTTTAATCCCTCGTTTTAACCAAGTGGCCGATTCTTAATCCTAAAGCCAATCCTGAAGTAAAATATTAATTAGTAATTTTTTCTTTCGTTCAAATGTAACTAACCCTCGGGCTTGTCCATTTTAGGATCTAATTTACTATCTCTAGAACTTTAATGATGAAGATGAAGATGAACTTGTAACCAGAAACAAACAAGAAAAAGAAAATACCAAGAGACAAATGAATCTAATCCACATGATGATCAACAATTAGATTGAATTGAACTTTTTATATTGAAAATTATTTCCTTTAGACAATTAAACAAATCAAATCATAGTAAATATACAATTGATTCATGGAAAGCAAGAAATCAATGTTAATGAAAGGAAACAAGTTGTTAAACTAATGAACAATCATCTTGATTATATTCACAGTTAATTCATAATATATGAGAAAATTAAACCAATTTAAACGATTAGCCGACGATTGGACTGGTTCAAAACGGGAATTGGTAATCAGAATGAATATTTATTAGTCACATTTTCCATTGAATGGACCAGTTAACCATCTCTCATCAACGTTGGAACAATCAAATAATGGTTTACTTAATTTCTTATTCACTTTATTGCGAAGATTACACATCCAAAGAGAAAAGGATTTCCTAGAATCGACCACCGGTGGATCGGCTTCAATATCATCTCTCATATCTTTAGCAGGGTGAATGCATCGATAAAATTTAGAAAACAAATTATTAGTTGAATTTCTCTCTTAATTCCAATTGATTTAAGTTTAATTTTCTTTCAATTTTCACTCTCACAAATGGGATTAAGTTATTTCTAAACTGTTAATCCATCAGCTAATCCAACAAGTGTCCGATTTTGTAAGCTATTCATTGAAACGCTTTTACCCTTTAACCGGTAACCATGTTTAGCTAATTTACCTGATCTTCCTCTGTTGGAATTATGGTTAAAAGAAATTAAAAGTACAATGTCCACAAATGGAGAGTCGTCATCATCATCTAACCTCAATCACCTTCCTCTTGCTATTCAGTCATCATTTGATGTGAACATCAATCAACAACACGATCAACAATACGATCCTATTTTCTTGATTGTGTTACCTAATTGCGATTTATTTTCTTTCAATTAATTTGCTGTTTTCTAATTGACTAATATTAATTATTGTTTTTTCTTCTATTCTTTTCTCGTGTGTGACAATTATGCCTGATTACACTGAATCTTGTCGGGCCTGTACAAGCTTCAAATCCTTCATGAAAGCTCATCAAGCTTCAGTTAATGATTCAGAATCAAAGAAATCGGATTCCGATTCTGGTGGTAAATCTAAAAGCCATGGAAAGACAATTCAAACTCCATCAATTCAATGGATCATGTTGATTGTCCTGTTGATAAAGATGATCTTGGTCGGGCCAGTTGGACGTTTTTACACACAATGGCTGCTTATTATCCCGATAAACCAACGGATTATCAAAGATCAGAGATGAAACAATTTATTGATTTATTTTCTAAATTTTATCCATGCAGTCATTGTGCTAAAGATATGAGAGATGATATTAAGGTCGATTCTAGGAAATCCTTTTCTCTTTGGATGTGTAATCTTCACAATAAAGTGAATAAGAAATTAAGTAAACCATTATTTGATTGTTCCAACGTTGATGAGAGATGGTTAACTGGTCCACCCAATGGAAAATGTGATTAAATTAACCTGATGCGATCTATTAGTTGAGTAGATTGTTCAAAATATAGACATTCAATTGTAATTGAGATTCTCTTTTAATAAAATGTTTCTTTTAATTGTCTAAAATTGAATAATCCATCAATCTAGTAAATATCATTGTTTAGAATTCTTAATAATAAAGTTCTATGATATAATGACCTGGGATATTCTCTGGATTTTGGAATTAATCTCGATTCGTCTCTTCGATCTCAGTTAGGGATTAATTTTCGGCCTTTAATCCCTCGTTTTAACCAAGTGGCCGATTCTTAATCTTTTTAAGGTAAAATATTAATTAGTCATTTTTTCTTTCATTCAAATATAATTAACCCTCGGGCTTGTCCATTTTAGGATCTAATTGACTCCAACCACCTGCTAGAACTTTGATTATTTCAATTAGCTAAGACCTTTGATTAAGATGACCAATCAAATCAGACCGAGATTATGACAATCACTTTCCGTTGACGATTGATTTCATATTTTTCCGCGATTAATGGTTTGAGATTAAATTGTATAATAAAACAAATCAAGTTCAATATCGTTGTGTGTTTCTTGTTGATGTTGATTGTGAACTATCAAAGGGTAAATACATTTGATTATTGAATTTTTTTCATCTTTTTTCCAGTTAATCGGTTTTTCGCCGCTTTCATGATATTTGAAAATGGCCATTCAACGATCGCAGGGAGTATCAAAGTGGCCACAAGAAGAGAAATACAAACTCCAGTCAAAGATATATACTAGTGAATAAAAAGAAATGAGTTAGTATTGCAATATAAAAATATTCTAAGATGGACACTGGTCAATACACTTACCAATGGATATTGTCCTTTTGAGAAATGAGTTCGATAAGAACCAAAAAAGATGAAAAAAGCTAAAGGATGAAAGAGGAAAAATTGATAGGAAGCATTGGACAGAACTTCCCATACATGCCATTTAGCGATAGTGGTCAACAAGGGGAAGTCATTTGCATAAGAAGAGAAAAATATCCAGCCCAAGCAAAGTGACCATATCGCTCTGTGTAAAGCACCATAAAGGGCGATACCCAATGAGCCTGAATAAGAGTCAACATCATGATAATGAATGGGAACCTTAAGGACAAACAACATGGCTCCAATGACTAGTGAGTGAATGGCTATTTTGGTCACTCGGTTAAGCTTTAAGGTTTGACCACCTCGAGTGAAATAACCAAAAAGAAGTCCAATAATGTAAGGGTCAGCTCGGAACCAGGGTTTCGTGTAGATTTGACTAAAGTAAAGGTATTCACGATCTCGATTACCAAACAATACTGTTGGTGGATAATTGAAATAATAGGTTGCTACACCTTTGGCCAAGATTGATCCAGTTAAACATAATAAATTCAGGTAAATTGCTAATTTGGGTTTACTAATCAAAGAAAAATCAACGAAACAATTAGAAATGAATCCAAACAAATCAATCCAATCAATAGACTTACATTGCTCCCAAGATGATGAAAAAGACAAGACTGAAGATAAACAATTGCATGTCCAGTCCAAGGTACCAGGAATGGAAAGCACACTGACCAATGGAAAATATTTCAATTAGAATTTGCAATTACAGTGGACTACACACTTATCGCATGCACACTTATCGCAAGCTCAGTGTGTTATTTAGACTAAGAGCTTAATGTTGACCCTTTACTCATTTCTAATTATCACACCAACTGTAAGGGTTCAAGATGCTTAAATAATTAAGAAACACTAGATGGCGACTATCTAACAAAAATTGCGATAAGTGTGTAGTCTACTGTAGATTGATTTAAAAATAAAATGCTTACATTGGGTTCTTCAGGATTCCAAGGAAGGACATTGGTCAACATTAAGATATTGGGAAGCCATTGGTCTCTGCATGGACTCAGGTATTTTTGAACATACTCAGCCCATAATGGACCAGAGTTCGCATTTTCTGACCAAACATGCATCATCATCAGGAAAATCAATGCAGGTACGATTCTGATAATTATAAAAATGACAATTAATTTCTCGAAAACAATTCAAATCGAACCACTCAAACTGACCTCATGTAACGATAGCCTAAAACTAAAGCGATATTTGATAAATAGCTTGAGAGATTAGCTCGTCGTTCAAACAGCTCCTTGAATCGAGGGAAAACAACTTTAACTGATATGAATGCACTGCAATTAAAAGTCAAACAATTAGTTTAATTATGATTTGAAAGTATTAACTGTTACCTTGTGAATAGGAAAAAATCAACTGATAGGAAACCAGCATTGATTACAGTTTGAAAGGGTCCAGCTAACATGTAGTAAAGATTTGATATTGAATCTGAAATGATCAACATTTAAATTAGTTCATTTTTGTTGATTGTCTTGATTATCTCATTTGATTAGTTATACTCACTTAACGATACGAATCGTATTGTTAAAGGTCCGTGGCCGTGAAGTACGAGTAACATACAAATCGCTTTGAGTACATTAATGAATCTCGATCGCTCCGGTGTCGCATTTTCAACCAAAATTGATCTTAAATTACGAGGCAATGAAAAGGAAATCAACACTTCCATCCAGAAAGGTTTAATTACTTCATCTCCTTCGTTATTGTTATCGGCAATTTCATTGCTATTTACTAATCGATCTAAAATTGTTCCAGCAATTAAGAGGATAACCAAGACTGCAAAGGTGATTCTGCGGAATTTTGAAAAGATGAATGAAATTTTCTTTTCTCATTACAATCAAATTGTAATCATTTAATTGGCTCAAGTCAACCTATGCAATTAACTTGTTAATTAGTTCTAGTTAGTTGTCTTGTTAATATCATTACCTAATTATTGAAGGTGTTGATGCTAATTGCCACTCCTCGGGTCCAGCACAACCTGTTACTTGTAATCCTACTTGATCATCTGTTAATTATTCAACAATCAAGATAATTAGTTAGATCTTATCATGATTAGTTAATCTCTTGATATTTTTTACAATTAATAATTTATTCGCGACCTTGAAATGATTAACTTATCAATCATGTTTTCCAAATCTTATCAATAGTTTGATTCTTAGCTAAATTGTTATCTAGTTTATCATCAAACTTATATTATTAATCTTTGATAAATCGTCTCTAATTTACTGATTTAACCTTGAAAATTCATCATGAACCGAGTGCTAATCAACTGAAATTATTAAAGAGTTACAATTAAATTCCCAACGATTGTATTTTCTGGTTAAATTGTTTGGACTTTTTCTCTGGGAAAAATTGATAAATAGTAATTAAAGAGACAATTAGAAAAGGGGAAAAGTGATTAATGTGAATATTAATTACAAAAGTTAAATTATTGCTCTAAATGATTAGTAAATTGTTACTTGGATAATTTACTTGTATTAAGTAATAATTAACTCTAAGAGTCTTTGGGTCACGTTTTCACCGCTAACGAATTCACAATTAAAATTAATTGTCGAGAATATATCATTTTCAATTCGTACAATTAGTTAATCAACTTACCTTCGAATGAAGTTTTAATCAATTTATTTAAATCATCTTTTGAACAGGCAGTTAATGAACAGAATCCAAGTCGACCAATTTTTCCGCTTTAAAACCTTTCAGTTTATTCTGAGAAAACAATTAGCAAAACAATTAGTAAATTTAGTTAATCAAAATGATTGAAAGTTATCATTAATTAATCAATCGTTTTCTAATTTCATCAATGTCAACAAATCAATTTAGTTAATAACCTTTTCATCAGACTCAATCAATAAGTATAATCACTTATGTTAATTGTAACCTGACAATTTATATTATAACAGTAATCTACTAAATCAATAGCAATTTAAATTGAGGCCAAGATCAATGACATTTAATTGCAATTAAAATGTTTATTAAAAAACACGGAAAAACAAATTAATTCAGATCAAACATCCTTAATCCTTAAGATGGTCAGTTAATTAAGATTAAATTGTTGTTATTGTTTCATGGTGGATATGGTTTAATTTAGCTAAACACAATTAACAGAAATCAATCAACTTACAATTCAAAATCATGTCTCACAATCAACGTCCCCCTTTTAATCATGTTAAATACGAAGCAACAATCAAACACCTAATTAACTAAATTAAAGGCTGATAATTTAACCCTGAGTTGAAAAAAAACATTTAGTTGCAACAATTAAAAAAGAATTTTAGAATTAAGCAAAACCTGATTAAATTGTTAACCTTGATTAGCATAATCATTAAGATATTAGTTAATTTTTTTAAAAAGTAATTAACTAATATTTATTGTGTTAATTGTTGCAGTTAACAAATTTCCGGGCGACTCCAAACCTTGACATTAATTTGTTAATTTTGATGACGATCATCATGATTAAATGATCAATGTATTTTGTAACAATTAACTATAAACAATTCAGGAAATTAACTCAATCCAACAACTTAAATGAAGGCTGAGCTCAAATTTTGATACTAATATCATAAAGTTAATCAGATAATCAAATCAGTTAACTTTACTTGCTTTTGATTTAAAGTTTTTGATTCCTGAATGAATTGATTAAATTGATTATTTCTCATCAATGTTAACCAAGGGCAATGTTAATCTAAGAGATATAAATAATCGTTAAGTATTGATTACATTGGTCAGTGAGTAAATGACAACAATTTCAAGGTAAATTATCACTGGAAATCAAGTAATTACCTGGTCGTTGTCAGTTGATTGTTTGAGTGATAAAACAATTGTACAGTAGCGACCGGTGAAAACGTGATTACCATCACCATTAGAGTCGATCCATGGATTAGATTCAGTTCCGACTTTAAGATTAACACATTCATCAAAATCGCCGAGAAATTCAGTGTTTCCCTTCATAACACCATAGATTATTTTACCTTGAGCATCTTCGACTATTAAATTGTGATAATAATCAGTGAAAGAGAAGAAAAAAATTAGTTAATCAGAACAAGAAACTTTTAATCATTTGAATGAGATTGTTAAACTTACGTTCATGAGCCCAAGTCGATTCCAATGAATGAGCTTGTTGGTATTGATAGAAAAATGATTTACATTGATTACTAATTTTTAGCTGATCAATTGTGTTTAAAAAAGATGATGATAAATTGGTTAATGGTGATGATCTAGATGATAACGATAAGGTTGATATTGAATCACTAGAATCGCCAAATAGGTTTGATTGAATATATTTTGCTCTGGATACAATTAACTTCCTCTCCTGGCCAGAGATATAATTGTAACCATGTTTATTATATGATGATGATGGCGGTGTTAATTGTGAAGATGGTGATGATGATGATGATGATGATGACTTAGATAATACAATAGGAAGCAAGGAAGCGATCAAAATAAATCCTAAAAGTGACCACTTCATTGCAACGGTCAAGCGAGTCGTTGAAAAACAAAACAGTTTTAAAAAAAGTGATTAAAAAACACAGAAAAAGTGAAACTATAGTTGATCACAATTGAATAATAATTTGTAACGAATTTAAAATCAACGAACTGAAAATGAACTAACTCAGTTAATGGTCAAGTTTCAACTGACTGGTCAATAGACACTCAGTGAATAACAAGCAAAAGTCACAAATGAATTGATGATTAAAATGATGAAGAGAAAAGTTATCGTGATGATAATGAGAGAGAAAGAGAGAGATAAATGTAAAGAAAGATAAGATTTTAACTAGGAGAGAAAGAGAGAATTCGATTAATAGGAGGAGGCGATGAAAAGCCCTCTCTCAGAAAAAGAGAACTTTTTTCTTCGATTCTCTCTAAGTTTCTTTCAACTTCCCATCACCTGATTTGCCCATGGCAAGGAAATCCAACTACATGTACTCCTTTATCCTCTAATCATGGTTTTTACCTGAATTTCAGAGGCAACAAACTATTATTCAATTGGGCTAAATATTGTTACCTCTCCCTCCCACTCTCTCACTTTATCGTCTCACTCACGCATTTCTTGCTCTCTCGTAATCTAATGTTATCATCCCTTTGATGATGTAAAAATAAGGAAGAGATCTGACAAACATAGAAGGAAATCAACTAATAAGGCTTACAATTAATTCTAATCATTTACACTTGACCTGATTTTCGTTAATATTTCTTTTTATCTTCAACTTTCTCTTTCTTACTTTACTTTCTTTTCTCATATTTACCTGTAATTTTATACCCTCAGGCTAAAAACTGACTAGTTATGTACGATTGAATGCAAGGTAACCGTTTTATTTTAAATATTTGGTGTAAAACTTTTTTTTCTTGCTTTTCTTTGGTTTCCAAAGGTTAAATTACATTATGAGTTAACTAAATTTAGTTTATTTATCTGCAATTTATGATTAGTATTACAGATTATCAATGTTGACTTTGAATGGGTAAAACTTATCTAACAGTTTAATCAAATTGTAATCAATTTTGATTACTTTTTAAACTTTCAACTCTCCTTGTTGATTAACATGGGATTTACCCAATTGATTTCAACTTGAGGTGATCAAGATTATGCTTAGGATTGATTAACTTGTTTGGATGTTAATTGTTGACGATTTCAACGTTGATTGCATTTCATTTGCCTCGTGTAGCTGTCAAGGTTGACCAATGGAAAGTTTGATTTCAATTAATGTCTTTGGAATTTTTTTTAATTGCTAATGATTTATGATAATTAAGTTCTCGTCTTTTTCATCAATCAAAACTGGACAAGGGTCAATATAAGTTAGTTGATTGGGTAAACCTTTGAATTATTTCATTCTCAGTAAGAAAATGTCTTTGAAAATTCATTGAGTAATTGTTACTATTATTTGATTACAACTTGGACAATTAATTGTAGCAATTTGGTTCCTAAAACGATTATTATTACAATTAAATCATGTAAACGAAAATTTTACTTAAATTTTTCGCGCTCAGGGAAATTATTTGTCATTTATAATTAACTTAATTCAATGTTGAATCGTGAAAGTCATTAAAAATAACTAGACAATTAGCTATCACCATAATAACAATTAGTAAATTGTGCAATCCCTTTTTCATTTGACTGTTATTACATGTTATTAACTAATAGCCGAGGTCAACAATTAACGATTTGATGATTAACCACATTGTGTCCTTAAACTAATTGTTAATCAACAGAATGATCATCATCAAAATTTAATTCAGTTTCATGTTGATTAAAACCTTTAGGTGATCATGTGACATTGACAATTGATGATTAATTGATAAATTGTTTTGTTTTCATTTCTAATTGTAATGGTTACCATGACCATAGAAACCAATAGTAACCTTTTTCTGGTCTCGTCAATAGTTATCAATGAATTTGATTCAATTGTGATTAAAATTTGATTGTTTTCATCCACTCGTACTGACTAATCCAATTTACTAATTGCAACAACTAAACTAGATTGTTAATTGTAAAAATGATGGAAAGATTTGGTAAGGAATTAATTGTAAAGAGGAAAATCAAATTTTCCAAGCCAATGATGGTTCTTAATTGTTAACTTGTTTTTAGGTTAAATTTATCATTAAATTGTGATTTATTTTAATTCTAATTGTTACAGATAATAAACAAGCCGATGATTATATTGATTCTTACAATGAAGCTTATGATGAATGGAATCAAATTAATGTAATTCCAATAATTAATTTATCATCAACCTCTCAAGATTCAACTTCAACTGATTGTAAAGTGATTAACAAATTAATTGGTGACAATCAACTGGATACAAATTGTGATAATCAGATAGTTTTACAATCATCATCAAATGATTATCATGAAAAATCAACAGCAATTAACAATAATGATAATGAAATAATTAATATGACAACAAACTCATCGATAATTAATTCAACCATTAATCCAGTAACACTTGATGAAGTTGATCATTATTTTTCATCAGTAGTTAATTTATCACAATTAAGAGATAAAATTAAACCAGTTCAACCAATTAGCTTTTGGAAAAAGGTAAAATCAATACTAACATTTAATCACAATCAGGTGAGGAAACTTAATTGTAACTTAATCAGTCAACGTAACGATACCTTTGCATTGGCTTTGTTACCATTTGACAATACTGACCCTTGGCATTACCGTTTCTTGGTAACAATTTATACACAATTAGTTAATCATCGTGAAAATAATTTAAACAATCAACAAGATAATAATCAACAATCACAATCAATTCCAAGATATGGTCAACATTGGGAAGCCATTGGTTTCCAAGGGATTGATCCAGCAACTGATTTAAGAGGTGTTGGTTTATTTGGATTGTATCAATTGTTACATTTAACTAATTGTCCTGACAATTTAATCCTATGTCAAGATATTTATTCATTATCAATTGATTCAGTTCAATCATTTCCACTCTCAGCAATGTCCACTAATTTAACGGCCATTGTCCTTCAATTGTTACGTTCAGGTCGTCTTAATGGTTACCTTAATAAACGGTTTTCCTCCTTGATTGTTAACAATCAATCAACTAATTATGTCTGTAAGATGCTTAATCAACTTTATGTTGACCTTTACTTTACATTATTTAAAATTTGGATTAAACAAAATAAAACAATTAAAGATGCCGGATTTGTGTTGAAAGGTAAACACGGTTGTAAACAATTAGAGTTAATTGTTGGGCTAATTTAATTCCTTGTCTTTTTTTTCATCAACAGAAATCAGGATTAAATGCTACAAACAATTAAATTCAATCATTGGAAGCTCAGCTAATTATGGAAGCAAAGTTAATCAACGATTACTATTAAAAGAAACTAATTGTGTTACCTTTTCAAACATTGGTGATCTTTTTGATACACCAATTAGTTAATTGATTTTCCGAAATTAAATCATGACTTTTGATTTTTTTGTCTTTGTACAATTAAAATCATCAACTGCTCTCTCATATGTTGATTACTTAAATTTTAATTATTTTTAGATTGTGAAGGTTTTTTTTATTATCTTGGGAAAGAGGCACCGAAGGGATCTGTTCACAATTAGAGATCCGGTCATTTTAATTAGTTGATTTTACAAATTTCATTGGCCCATAATTAACATCATTTATATGTACCAATTTCCGCTGATTGATTTGTCTTGTGTTAATAATCAATGGTGATGGTTATGACAATTAAGATGATTGGTGACGAAAGGTTTGATGTTGTTGTTGTTGAAAAGATGACAACACAGCTGATTGATGAACTTTTGTTGAAGTTAATTGTTAAATCACTTAGATTTTGATCAAAAGAATATGTGAGGAGGAAATAGGACGAAAAAGACAATCAAGTTTGAAATAGAGAGTGGGAGAAATAGAGAGAGAGAGAGAAAGTTATAATTTGAATAGGTAAACCCATTGGGTGATAAAAACTGTAAATTTTAAGTGATGACAATTATTTGAACAATCAGCTGATGAATCATAGGTAACATTGTTAACTGTTTGTATCCATTGATTATTGATGATGTTTGGGCAATAGTGTTGGTAATATTAGGCTCGAAACGACGACGACACTCTTGGACGTGAAGGGTACAACAAAAAAAATGCGCTTTTCATTTAAGTTACAAGTTTATACAAATTATTATCTTAGTGTTTTTTGCTTCTCTTGCTTGAATTTTCATTGAAATAAGTCATGCAATTTATTTTATGACGATGATAATGATGATGATGGTTTGTAGATGATAAATGAAGATGAAAATGATAATCTTTCGGGCCCAGAGAGTGATTTCTCTTTTTGTGATGAAAATATCCACTTGAGATTCTCTGTTCGCTTTTGATCCTCTTGTCGTGCCTCTAGAGGAAAAATTATCAGCTGATCTCTTAGTTGGTGTTGGAAGAGGAGAAAAAGAAAGAGAAAATTTGCCACAGAAAAGAAAATAACACAACCAACAGACGATCCTGGGCTCTCTTTTCTTGATTGGATAACAATCAACAAATAATAACAATAGAGGTTCACATGATTTGCCCAATGGTAATCATCTATGAGGACCAGCCTCTAACACATGCAACCGGGAGAGAGGCAGAGGGAAAACAATATTGTCCTGATCCAGTGACACTAATCTTTTAACGTTTTGTTTACTAGTGTTAATCATCTTAATTTCGTTGAATATATTGGCTTCTCATAAGAAGTGCACCTTTTCCTTTGGATCTCTTGTGTTACTTTTTCTTATTGGCATCATGCTATTGGTCGTCTGCGGGGCTTTCAATGATGCGATGGTGTGAAGATTATGTATTGGAGACAACTATGTATATATGTATATATGCCTTGGTGTACACAAATAAGTCTTTTAGTGAATAAACCTCTGGTAAGGGTCATTTTGTTTTGACATTCAACTAAGATTTTTGTATCAAGAAAAAAAATTCTTTGTCTTTATACAGGGGATAAAGTTAAATTTCTCCACGCACTTTTCTTTGGGCAGGAAAAAAAGAAAACAAAAAAAAGGTTATATTGTGAAAAAAAGGGAAAACAACAGCGTCGTGATCTCTCATTGTGGAGAGAGAGAGAGGGAGATTTTTAAGGTCAAGCACATGATGTAATTCATCTTGATACTCCCGCGTTGGTTTGAATAGGTTGATTTAAGTTTCTCCTTTTAAATGGTTAAATGGGATGAGAAACTGCCGCCGTTACTAACTTAATGTCATCTCGAAATAAATGGTCACCTTCTAGATGACGAATAGCTTCAACTATGGTATCGAGGTTTTGACGTGAAGTTGTATTGTTGGGAATATTAGCTTCTAATCGAGCTGTTGCATCTCCGATTGAACCTATGATTCGTAAGGTTACCGTTGTTGGTCCACTGTTACCTGATTCATTGCCCACAAAAGGTACATCAATGGGAAGGGCGATGGCGGCAGGTTGAGCAGATTTTTGATTTGCCTTGATTGATGTCGTTGTCATTGGTATAGATGCAACTTTAACTGTTTTAGTTGATAAGTCCTGCGGTGTTTCCACTCCGGTCGGACTGGGAGGTGATGAATTAGGATTACTTGATGGTTGTGGTGCTGTTTGAATAACAAATGTTGTTTGGTGAAGTGGACTTTCCGGACAACTATGTGTCTCAATTTCAATTGTTTCGGCAACAATTTCATCATTAACAACAGAAGACACAGCAGCAGCTGTTTCTTCACTGGCGGAAATATGGCTGTCCTGTAATAGAAAGAAAAAACAAGTAATGAATAATAATCATAATCATTTATTTTCCACAGTGACAAGTTGAAGTGTTCAATTAATGATTGAAAGTAATAATAATCATATGGTTATCATCTGGATTGAGATTTGGTTCATTTTTTTCTCTTACCTCAGGATTTGTATTGAACTGTAATTGAACTTGTTGAGCTATCTCTTTGATTTTTTCAGGATATAATTGAGCTTCAAGAGCCCTCACTTGATCTTCTAATTGCATCCGCAAACGTCTTTCTCGGTCTAACACTTTTCTTACTTCGACCATTTCATTTTTTAATTCTTCGGCACCTAATTCACTTTCAGTACCCGAATTGGTTGTTGTAGGTGTTGTGGTTGTCCGAGAACTTGGTTGACATTGGATACCTTCATCAGAAGAATCTGAATTGGTTGATTCGATTATTCCAGTATTAACAATTTTAATCTTTTTCATTGGAGGAACATTTTGAGCAGACCCATCATTCTCTCCCGTACTACCTTGTGTTGAATATAATCGTTTCAATTGACAAATCTCTTGTAGTAATCGTGTCTTTTCCTGTTCAAGTTGATAAATGTACTCAGCTGTGTGTTGCAATATTGCCGCCTAAATTTATAAAAATAGATAAAACAAGCAACAAGACAGAAGATTAGATTAGTAAATACATTTAAAACATTTAAATTGTAAAAGAAAAGAAATAAAAAGCGTCAAAGTTAAACAAAGGTAAATTGAATAGAAGAGAAAAAAAACAAAGAAAAAGTAAGAGAGATAAAGAGAAAGAGAAAGAGAAAGAGAGAAAGAAAAACACATGATGAGGGAAAAAGAATGGAAAATGATTGGAGATACATTTTTCTCATTGGAAGAAGATTGAAGGCAACAAAAGAGAAAAAGAAAAAGGAAACCACATTAACCATAGATTTTTGACACCAAACCAATTATTCTATTCAATGTAGAGAATATTAATTAATACACTTACCTTGCTTAATTTCTCCCCATCGTGTTTAGGTAGCATAGTACGAAGAGAATTGAAACCAGCATTGATACTTTGCATCCGTCGTCTTTCATTGCTGTTTGCAATTTCTCGTCTAATCCTTTTCTCCTGTTCAAGTTGGGATCTTGGCGATAATCTGGGCATATTTTCATCAAACATCAAGATGATGAAATAGTTAAATTATTGAGAGACAGAGAAAATAAACAAAATTTAATGATAATGTAATGACAGTGAAAGAGAAGAAAAAAAAACAAATTAATTGTTAAACAACAAACAGTTGATATTCATGAAGAAAAAAAAAATAATGAACAGATTTAACTTATAATTCACCAAATCGATACAAATCGATTATTTTTTTTCTCTTCAAAACTAATCGGAGAGAAAAATTGTCGACACTAGAATAGACAGAGAGAGTAACATAATTTGAAGAAAATTTTGTCTCTCAAAAAAGAAGCGCTTCTTTTGAAAGGAAATTCGCTTATGGAAAGTTTGTATTGTATTCGTTTGGAATTTTTCTCTCTTTCGATCAATCGAAGGGTAATCGAGTTTTTCGCTCGATTTTTGTGGGAAGATCGATAATCGTCCATCACTAATGTGAAAAGAAAATAACAAAATGTTATCACATAAACGGAGAGCGCCGAGAATCGATACATCGATAGGTAGTCATCGATATATCGATCGAATCGATTGTTCTTCTCTCTCTTTCTCGCTCTTACATTTACCTTTCTTTTCCTTGAGCAGCCATTTTGTTAGTTGCTTGTTGGTTGAAAGTCTGAAAATGTTGGTGATTCACTTTATTTATATGAAATTATTATTTAATTAATTGTGGACATTTTTCTTTGCTTTTTAGTTGATTTAATATTTATTATTTGGTCATTGTTTTTATATCCTCTTGATCCTTCTCTATCTCTGTGTTTTGGTAAATTGTTTCTTTCCACAATTGGTATCATTGGATTTCCCACCAGTTAATTAATTGATTTATACTTTTTGGTGTTACGTTTTTCTTTTTTGTTTCTTCTCTTTGCTGTTGGTCAAATTGAACAGTGTTTTCTATTGATTCTCTCTGTTTATTATTTTTTCTTTGGTTGTTCGATTTTCCAAATTCTGATTGATGTGATCTCTTTCAACGTTTTGTGTTGGTATTTTTATTTTATTTGGTTCCCTTTGGAACGGTAAGTTTGCTTATGAAGAAAAAGTCTCTTCTAAAAGATATGAAGAAGGAGAAGAATAATTTTGAGAGGGGAAGAAGTATAGCAAAAAAAAAGTGAGAAAGAGAAAACTGAGTAAAAAAAGAAAGAAAAGTAAGGAAGAGTAAGAGGAAAATCATCATATTTTTCTTCTTTTTCATCTTTTTTATTTTTTTTTATTCTTTTCTAATTTCATATCGTCATCATTGTTCTTTATCCAGTATCTTTCAGTATGAGGCCAATGTTTACTCAATGTGTTTCAAGTGGTATGTGTCCTCCTCAATGTCCACCTTCAGTTATGCCACCGGGGCCAAATCAAGGGCCTCCTCCAGGTCCAGGACCTGGACCTGGACCTGGATCTGGACCAGGACCGGGACCGGGACCTGGTTCTGATCCATTTTATCCACCACCGTTTTCTCCTTACGCTAGACGAGTCAATCCGTACAATACTACTGATTTTAGAATTTATGAATTAAATAAAAGATTACAACATAAGCCAGAGGTAAGTTTCATTTCTTATTTTTCATTTTTTCTCTCAGGTCAAATGGAATTTAAACTACAATTAGATTAAAAATTAAATTAATTTCTTTTCCGTTTCATTATTGAATTTTCGAGTTAATCTTTCATTTTGATAATCTTTCTCTAATTACTCAGGAATGTGACAATGTTTTTTGGGATAACCTGGTTAGCGACTTTTTTGAAGACGATGCCACTCTCACTCTAGTGCTGTGTCTCGAAAAAGGACCGCAACGCTTCAGTAAGTCTTTGAAACCTGATTAACAAATCAACCTTTCATTTTCTCTCCCTTTTTTCTCTTCCCTTCACCGCCAACCTTTCACTGAATGAACGCTATACACCCCTCTTGATGCTCACTAGTCAAATTGTTGATTCTTATGCATATTAATTAACCCAATACCTAATTATTCTTCCAATATTGATTACCTGTTTACTTATGATTTTCGTTTCCATCTTTTTTCTCACTCTAGCTATTGGAAGAGCATTAATACCGCGATATTTTCGTAGTTTACATGACGGAGATGTTACTGATGTTTCATTTAATCTGAAAAATCCCAAAGAATCATACTCACATAATTTAATCGTTATGGATTGTGACCAATGTTCAATGATAACTTTCCATGGTAAATTTAATGTTAACAAGGTAAGTCACAATATCTTGCATCTATTTTTTGCTTTATATTAATGAACAAATTAAATCTTTAGTCAATACTCTCAGGACCCTATCTCTCACTATGAAAACCTTACTCTCTTTATTTCTTCTTATTTGCTCCTCACATTTGTTCTCTCTCTCTCTCTCTCTCTCTCTCTACTCCTTTCTCTTTCTCTTTCCTCCTTCTGTTGCCATGACAATATTTCTCTCGAATATCGATCCTGCATCCTGCCTTCCTCCTTCTTTTCAATTTCATCAGATCTAAGTTCTTTTCCTCATCTCGCTCGCGCTCAGCTTTTATCATCATCCTCCTCCTCTCCTCTCCTCTTCTCTTCTCTCTCCCCCTCTTTTTTTATTACTATACTCTTCCATCGATTTCTTTGTTCCTCTTTCTCCTATTTCCTACCTTTTTTCAGCTAAAATATTTATTTTCTTTCCTTTTTGCTCTCTTCCACTATCTCTCCATGTCTGTAGGCTCAGATAAATATTAACTAATCTGATTATTTTCCTCTCTTTTTCCTAACTTTCCTGTTGCCTTTTTATATTCAGAGTATGAATAACTTTCCACCTGGAACTGATCCTCAACAGGTTAAAGAACAAATGCAATTATCTAACGATACATCAACTATTGTGACAACGGAAGGTCGTCTAACACTCGATTTCACCTATGATGATCTCATGCGTATTAAATCATGGACTTTTACTACTCGTAGTTATCAAGAACTCGTCCCAAGAAATACAATCACTATGTTAGCCCAACAAGATCAATCCACGTTAGAACGATTTAGTAAAGACATCTCTAGACAAGGTTTCACGAACCAAACAATAAACTTTCTTAGCGTATGTATATCATGGTTCATTTGAAATAATTCAAACATAAACAAACAATTAAAATCAATACATCTTTTCTATTCAATTTTAGCTATGCTTAATTTTAGAACCAATGCAAGAGCTTATGACCCGTCAGAAATCATGCAATATGGATCCTAGGGATTGTATGAAGCAAACTTTGTATCAAAAATGGCAAAAGTTCATTGGTCCTCCAGATAATCAAAGGACCACAAGTAAAAGAAGAAGAAGAAAAACTTCTGCCTCGAATACGACGAATGGTGGCGGTACAACCGGAAAGAAGAACAAAAACACATCAATTTCTCCAGGACCACAAAGCTTTTCATTAGCTTCTCAGGTAAATATAAATATTTAACTGCGAAAGCAGGGTGCATAGTTACAGTATTTCTTAGGATGTTATGGTCGTAGGAGAACCTTCCATGATGGGCGGGGAATTTGGAGACGAAGACGAACGCCTGATTACCAGACTGGAGAATGCCCAATATGATCCAACAGCATCGGGAGTCTCAAATGGTCTCGAGGATGGGGACGATTACAATTCTCTTGGTCGACCACCAGGACCAGGACAAGGACCCGTCTCGGTACCAGGGCCCGGACCTGGACCACAAGGAAACCAAGGACAACCTCATGGTGGACCTCAATCAGGCTGGCCTGGTCCAAGTGGACCTGGTTCAAATCCAGGATCTGTTTCATCCAATCCTGACAGTAGAGGAAATAATCAAGGAGGTGGTGGACCTCAGGGGTCACAAGTCGATAAAAAACCATCTCCTTTGAATCAATAAATTAAATACATAGAAGATGAGCGAAAACCTTTAATCATCATCATATTGTTTATACTATTGAGATCAACAATCCTGTGAGACGAAAATTTCCAATTGATTGACAACACTTTCATTCCCCCTACCCCCACCATCAATTTCATTGTTTGATATAATATAAATATATACATATTATACATATTATATATAAATTATAGTACAACAGAAAACGAAAAACAAAAAAAAAATTCAACATCTCGACAACATAAAACAAAAATGATCCATTGAGAGCTTAGATATTACTCTAAGAATTGTAAATAGAGAATCTCTGATAAAAAAAGAAAAAGAAACTCGAAATAATTTAAATTAAGTTTAAATTTATTTATTAATTAAATTGTTTCTTTTCTTTCTTCACAAAACGTGTGATTATTAACATAATCATAAATTATTCTTCCTCTTTCTCTCTTTTTAATATACATTCCAATTCACAATCAATTGTAATTGTTATTTGATATTTTCATGTGTTAGCATAACAAAAAGAGCGACAACTTTTTCCATGGACGAAAATTGAATAAACTCGTTTACTGTGTAAATCGTTTCCTCTCATTAGATTGGAAAATATTATCCCAGCCATTATTAATTCCACCCCAAATTGTTTCCCACCAAGTTAATTGTTCCTCAACAGGATCGTAAATGGAGATTGATTTAAGATAATTAATTACTTTTGAATCGGACATGATAGACATATGATCAACCCCATTGAATGTCGCATAATTAACGTCCTTAGATTGTTTCCCTTTCATCCTTAAACAACCTTTAAGCGATTCAAGGTTAACTGTCCCATCGCCATCGCCAGTGGTCACAATTGGATCATGATTAGGAAATTGTTGATAATCGTAGACCAGTGATGACATTGTCGGTAAACCGATTCCATGAAGACAATGGATTGTTATACCGGGTGGATCCATGGATTGAGTTAAATCTTTGGTATCAGACCACATTTCGTAACCGCTTGTATAATTAATGTCTCTAAAAAATTGACCAAATTCACCGATGGTATAGTTTTTAACACCCGTTGAGACGAGCACCTCTGAATCGGGCCAGAAATGGTAAGAGGGTAAAAGATAAGCTAAACTTGGAAAAGTCCGCTCTTCTTTTCGTATGGTGAGTGCGGTTACCGTTAGAACACCGAAATTGTCCCCAGAAGTGTAAGCCTTCAACGCCTTAACTGCCCCACCCCAAGCACCGGCCAATGTGACAAATGATTTCACATATTTGTCTTTCCAGTAAAACTTTTGACGATTAAAAAAGTACAACATAGTTGGACATCCAAGCGAATGACAGATCACGATCACTTTCCGTTGGCCATTAATCTCATATGTTTCCTCGATCAGCGATTTAAAGTTAACATAAAACGAATCCAATTCAACTATTTAATTGTCAACAGCGAGAGAAAAATGCAAAAAAAAACAAATATAATCAAAACGAAAGGAAATCAATTAACTGTCCTTCAAGCTTTACAACTCTGTTAATTGTTACTATGGTTAAGACAATTAACTAAAATAAGGTGATAACTTTTCTCAAGGTTTTGACCTTTCAACTTACGTGGTGACTTTCGGAAATCATAAGGAGCCCCTCGGATATTTACACCTCGTTTGTAACCATTTTTGACCATTTCGGCCACAAGGACATTGAAATAACCTGCGATTGAAACTTGACTTGGGTCAACATATTCAACGGTTGAAGTGTTACCGAAACCGGGAACTTTGATCGTCACACCGGGTGGACTGGAAGTTGTTCGGGTAATTGGATCGTAAATTAATCTCATATTATCAACCCAACAATCGATCACATAAGGAACCAAATCAGCGAGACTTAACCAAAGAGTAAAATATTCTGAGGTTTTCTGTTGGCAAATATAATGAACCACCGAGGGTTTGTCCACCTTAGCATCTAATTGGCTTCCACCATCTCCTGGAACTGTAATTATCTCAATTGAATTAGAATCTTCAATCAAGATAAACAATCAACTAATGGAAACATACCTAAAATTATTGGACTTTTGGGTAAATCAAGTATCGAGTTTGGTTTTGGTTGATTATCATTCTCATTCCAATTCCAGAGCCAATTCCATGATGATGATGATGATGATGAACTTGTAACAAGAAAGAAAAAGAAAAGAAAATATCAAGAGACAAATGAATCTAATCCACATGATGATCAACAATTAGATTGAATTGAACACTTTATATTGAAAATTGTTTCCTTTGGACAATTAAACAAATCAAATCATGGTAAATATACAATTGATTCATGGAAAGCAAGAAATCAATGTTAATGAAAGGAAACAAGTTGTTAAACTAATGAACAATCATCTTGATTATGTTCACAGTTAATTCATAATATTAACACAGCAATTTTTGCTTCGTTCATTTCTGTTTTTGGCTTAGGTCATCAGAATGTGAATTAAGACAGAAAGAGAGAGAGAGAGAGAGAGAGAAAGAGTTGAAGATAAGGATGATGATGAAAGAAGATGAAGATTAAGATGAAAAAGGTTGTGTATCTGCCAAGAAGAAAATAAAATCTATCCAATGTTTTCGCTTGAAGATAAAGACACAATTTCGATAACGATTCGGTTTATCTTTTTCTCTTTCTTTCTTTTGTAAGGGTCAAAACCAAGAGATTCCTTGGTGACCTTTAGGTTAAAGGTTAACCTGGTCAATGTAGTGACACCTATTGAGGGTCACACAGTTCGGGTAGTAGTCTTTCGTTTAAATTGTTAGGTTACAATAAATAACATTGATCTTTGCTAAATCACTTGGGAAACTTTTCATCATCAATCTGGTAAAGGTTATCAACTAAACTTGATTGCTACTTTCATTTCAAGGTAACATTTTCATGTCACAATCTAATCATTACCATTATTGTAGATAAATTATTTTAATTATCATACCAGTCGATGGAAATGTAAACCTGAAGATTGCAATTGATTAATCAAGAAAAAGAGTCAACTAATTTAGAGTTGATTATTTTTGTATTCATCGTCAATGTTGCGAGTGCGAAAACTCAGTCAAACTAACTGTCATTTTTTACGATCAATTATCTGATCATTCTGATTATTCATTTGTCACAAGTGATCAATTAACGATCCATTTAATTTTTTACTGTCAATATTACACATCAAAAGAGAAAAGGGTTTCCTTGGATCGACTTCAATATCATTTCTCATATCTAAAGAAAAGAAATTAATAAATTGTTTCATCTCTGATCTTTGATAATCAGATTGATCAGATCAATTTATCTCATTTCGTGTTTTTTTATTATAAATTTATCTTCATCATCACCATAGGTTTTTATTTCTCTTCTTGTGGCCACTTTGATACTCCCTGCGATCGTTTAATGGCCATTTTCAAATATTATGAAAGCGGCGAAAAACCGATTAACTGGAAAAAAGATGAAAAAAATTCAAACAATTTCCATTCATCTAATTTACTTTGTTTACCTGAAACAATTAAAGTTATAAACTTCAAGCAAATTATTTAGAAAGGCGAAGAAATTTTCCTCAGCTCAGCATCTCGACTTTGCGCTAATTTCTTGGCGAATTATTTTGGAAAACTTGATTAATACTAAAATCTAAGACTGAATGATACTTTTCGGAACGAGTTGGTACCACGACTTGATGGTATTCATGAGAATGGTAAGGTTCAAGATACATGTATGTTCATATGTAAGCTCACTATTTCCACTTTCAGCTGACTTTTTTTCGGCTTATGATTAAAGCTACAACTACATTAATTGTGCTTGTTTAAATTAGGTTAGTTTTTCACTATTAAGGGTCACTGTGGACAAAGAAAGGCCTGAAAAACCTGAGACAATCAAACTGTCACACAATTGTTTAAATGTCAGCTATCGACAGCTAATCAGCCACGTTTTCCGCTAATAACAACTATTTCATTGTTAAATGTGGACTAACATGTATTCGCTATAACCCCAACTAGAATAATTTTCAGTTTCATTTAATTGTTTCATAAGAAACAAGAAACCAACTAGATTTAGATAATTCTTGAAGGATATTGGGGACTAATTCGCTTGGATGTCCAACTAGGTTTTACTTTTTTATCAGATCCTAAAATGGACAAGCCCGAGGGTTAATTATATTTGAATGAAAGAAAAAATGACTAATTAATATTTTACCTTAAAAAGATTAAGAATTGGCCACTTGGTTAAAACGAGGGATTAAAGGCCGAAAATTAATCCCTAACTTGAGATCGAAGAGACGAATCAAGATTCATTCGAAGATCCAAAGAATATCCCAGGTCATTATGTCATAGAACTTTATTACAAGTATTATTGTAAGAATTGTAAACATTATGATATTTACTAGATTGATGGATTATTAATTTTAATTTTAGACAATTAAAAGAAACATTTGATGAAAACAGAATCTCAACTATCTACTCAACTAATAGATTTCATCAGGTTAATTTAATCACATTTTCCATTGGGTGGACCAGTTAACCATCTCTCATCAACGTTGGAACAATCAAATAATGGTTTACTTAATTTCTTATTCACTTTATTGTGAAGATTACACATCCAAAAGAGAAAAGAATTTCCTAGAATCGATTGATAATCCGTTGGTTTATCGGGATAATAAGCAGCCATTGTGTGTAAAAACGTCCAACTGGCCCGACCAAGATCATCTTTGTCAGTCCGTCCGAATTTCGCTTTGAGAACGGAAATCATTTTTTTCTGGCTTTAAAAAGAGCAAAATATTTCGCAAAATTTTACCAGATAATTTTGGCCTAGTGATTCATGGACTTTTGGCTTCCAAAGGTCAGTTTCGAACTTGATGTCAAACAAATTCCATGGTCTCCCAAGTCCATATCTGCGATCTGATCTTGTCAACGACTCGCTGTTCTAAAGTTATTCCGAAAACAAATCTGTTAATTTAACGTAATCGCCCTGTAGAACCAATGTCATAGATGGTCAAAAGCTATTAATTAATGAAAAAGGGACGTTAAATTGACCAAATTAAAATTTTAATTAAATTAATAAGAGGATGAGTTAGAAAAGAAAGAGAAAAGGGAAAGGGTGAATTATGACGTTCGGGGCAATGAAAGGGGACGAGAAAATAAAGAGCATCAGATGAAAAAAGGTCAGTCGAAAGGGTAAATTGTGAGCTTACGAATATATCTTGAGCCTTACCTTTACTAAATTTAGAAAATAAATTGTTTCATTTCTGATAGTTAATCAGTTAGTTTATCGAGGTAATAAGAAGCTAATGAAGATATTACCTTCATCTCATCATGGAATTGAAATGATAATTAACCAAAATTAAATTCGATTCTTGATTTAACAACAAGTCTAATAATTTTATGTGTAATTTAATTGTTATCTAAACAGAATTCTTAGTTAACTGAAATAATTACAATTCATGGGAATGGTGGAAACCAAATTAGGTGATAAACTGGACAAGCCTGAGGGTTAATTTTATTTAGACAAAGAAATTTTTTTCTCATTTGGTTACTTATTAGCTGATAATTAATATCTAAGCTTAGGGAATTAACATTTTCCAATTGATAAAAGGTCAAGACGAGGGGATTAAAGGACGAAAATTAATCCTTTCGATAAAATTTTCGCAAGAATCGATATAGAAAATAATTCTGAGGGAGCAACGGGAAGGCGGGATCAAGTGAATCGAGAGCCAATCTCAGGTCAGAGGGCGACAAATAAAAGGACGACCATAGATCGTTATTCATTAATATCTAATCGAATTCTCGATCAACAAGTTCCTATTTCTTTAACTCTTTTCGATTCTTAAAATTCGTTAAACTCATCATGCCAGTTTCTAAAAAAGTTATCAAACGCTCCGGTCGAATTGTTTTCTCAGCTCATCAACAGAAGGTACTGTTAGAGGCTTTTCATCAATACTTTTTTTGTGATGCTCCACTTCGTGAAAAACTCGCCGCTCAACTGAAAATCACCGAGAAGCAAGTGGGTGACTTTTTTAAGAATCATCGAAGTTTGTGTGTAAACAAAGAGCAGTTAAAAGAGAAAAGGCCAACTTTGAGTGCTCGAAAACGAATAACTTTCACCGAACATCAAAAGAAAATATTGAAATACGCTTTCAAATTAGACCCAAAGATGAATGGCAGATCAATTGATATAATCGTCGAATATTTGGGGCTTACCCGTTCGCATGTTCTTTCATATTTTGCAAGAGGACGAGATGCCTACAAAAAAAAGAAAGAGCCTCTCCCGGAACCTGATCTTCCTCAGTTGGAATTGTGGTTAAAAGAAATTAAAAGTCAAATATCCACAAATGGAGAATCATCATCATCATCTAACCTCAATACTCTTCCTCTTGCTATTCAGTCATCATTTGATGTGAACATCAATCAACAACAAGACCAACAATCACAATCTAATCTTTATCAACTTCCCTTACCATCATTTGATAATCACAACAATCAACAGCAACTCCAACAACCATTACAACCACAACCACAACTACAACTACAACCAGATCAATACCAACAGCAAGAGTATCCACATAATCAACAAGACTATAAATATGATCAACAATATGATTTTGTATCTGATCAACAATTAACTGTTGCTCCACAATACCAACAACCGTCTACATATTCACAGTTATCTTCGGATGGTTCATCATCTTCACCATCTTATGTCTCATTCCCACAAACATCATCGTCGCTATCATCAGATGATGTTCAACAACAACAACAATCACTACAAGCACCACAACCACAACTACAGTCGTTCAATAACTTTTTACCTGATCAACAATATTACTCTGGATATTATCAACAAGAATCTCACCAATTTTACCAACAAAACGCAACTTATTATGAACCCCAATTCCAACCTTACCAACAACAATTGTCAATTTATTAAATTTAAATTATATTGATCATCTTTCTGATCAATCAATAAATTTACCTGTGATCAAATAACGATTTAAACAATTTCTCATTTCATTTAACGCGAAGATTGAATCGACCATCGGTGGATCGACTTCAATATCTCTCATATCTTCAGTACGGTGACTGCATCGATAAAATTTAGAAAATAAATTTTTTCATTTCTCATCTTTCATAATCAGTTAGTCGGGATAATAAGCAACCAAATGAAGATAATCAAGTTGAGCAGATTATTTTGTCTCTTTTTGCTTCTTATTTTAAACTTACCTCATCGTGGAATTGGAATGATAATTAATCAAAATTAAATTCGATGATTAATTAAACGCAACTACAACACAAATATCACTCTGAATATCACAATCAACATCAACGAGAAACACACAACGATATTGATTTGTTCTATAATACAATTTAATCTCAAACCATTAATCGCGGAAAAATACATGTATGAAATCAATAGTCAACGGAAAGTGGCAGTCATAATCTCGAGCTGATTTGATTGGTCATCTTAATCAAAGGTCTTAGTTAATTAAGTGAAATAATCAAAGTTCCAGCAGGTGGAGAAAGTCAATTAGATCCTAAAATGGACAAGCCCGAGGGTTAATTACATTTGAACAAAAGAAAAAATGACTAATTAATATTTTACCTTAAAAAGATTAAGAATTGGCCACTTGGTTAAAACGAGGGATTAAAGGCCGAAAATTAATCCCTAACTTGAGATCGAAGAGACGAATCAAGATTCATTCGAAGATCCAAAGAATATCCCAGGTCATTATGTCATAGAACTTTATTACAAGTATTATTGTAAGAATTGTAAACATTATGATATTTACTAGATTAATGGATTATTCAATTTTAATTTTAGACAATTAAAAGAAACATTTGATGAAAACAGAATCTCAACTATCTACTCAACTAATAGATTTCATCAGGTTAATTTAATCACATTTTCCATTGGGTGGACCAGTTAACCATCTCTCATCAACGTTGGAACAATCAAATAATGGTTTACTTAATTTCTTATTCACTTTATTGTGAAGATTACACATCCAAAGAGAAAAGGATTTCCTAGAATCGACCACCGGTGGATCGAGTTTAATATCATCTCTCATATCTTTAGCACAATGACTGCATGGATAAAATTTAGAAAATAAATTAATAAATTGTTTCATCTCTGATCTTTGACAATCAGTTGGTTTATCGGGATAATAAGCAGCCATTGTGTGTAAAAACGTCCAACTGGCCCGACCAAGATCATCTTTATCAACAGGACAATCAACATGATCCATTGAATTGTCTTTTCCATGGCTTTTAGATTTGCCACCAGAATTAGAATCTGATTTCTTTGATTCTGAATCATTAACTGAAGCCTGATGAGCTTTCATGAAGGATTTGAAGCTTGTACAGGCCCGACAAGATTCAGTGTAATCAGGCATAATTGTCACACTCAAAGAAAAAATAGAAAAAAAAACAATAATTAATATTAGTCAATTAGAAAACAGCAAATTAATTGCGTCAAAATAAATCGCAATTAATTAACACAATCAAGAAAATAGGTAAACACATTAGGTAAACATGGTTACCGGTTAACCGGTAAAAGCGTTTCAATGATTAGCATAAAAATCGGACACTTGTTGGATTAGCTGATGGATTAACAGTTTAGAAAAAATTTAATCCCATTTGTGAGAGTGAAAATTAAAAGAAAATTAAAATTAAATCAATTGGAATTAAGAGAGAAAATCAACTAATAGAATAATTTGTTTTCTATTCTCTCTCATTCTCACAGGAGAGTTAACCTTTCTCTCGATCAGCTGATTGGTTTTTCTTTTCATGGAAAAAATTTAGTTGATTCATAGATGAATTTTGTTAACTCAATTTTCAATTGTTTACTTTTTTTATTCTTCCTGTTTATACAATTAATCTACTGTCAACTTCACAATTTAATTGATGTTCCAATTGTGATTAATTCTGTAATTTGATTTCTTTTTTTCCAATTTTCTTTTTTTCAGATTTTTCTCTTACACTTTCTCACTCGCTGCTCTTTTTAGTGGAATCCATTTCTCCCTCTTTATCCATTGGCTTTTTATTACTTGGAACCTTCTTTTCTTGTGTGGTTGATTTGTCTTTAATTTTAATTGGATTGATTGAAGTCTCTATGTAATGTCAACCAATATCGTTAAATCGGCTGATGATTGTTACTTTTTTTTCAATGCGACTTGTACCAAAGGCGATGCTTGTCCCTTCCGGCATTCCAATGCTGCCTATGGTTCCGATGTTGTCTGTAGTTTCTGGAGAGAAGGTAAATGTTTCAAAGGAATTTCCTGTAAATATCGTCACATGGAGATCAGAAAAACACGTAATATGGTTGAATGTTTCTTCGAGAGACAACCCGGTGGATGTAAAAAGCCTCATTGTCCTTTCCTTCACTCTAGTAGATCACAAACATCGAGATCAACCGGTGAAGATGGTGATGGAATCAATAGTGAACTCGGTAAGCTTTTTATCATTCTAATTAATTTTATTTACTTCATATTGAAATTTCATTAATTCTTCTCATTATTTATTCATGTTACTTGGATACATCATCGTTTTTAATTCCATATGTCTAATGGTTTATTCTCTTCTCTATTACGTTTTCTCTTTTGTTTGTCTCTATTTTTACAGTTGATCCGCAAATTACTTCCAGTGAACAATTTAATAGTAAATCAATTTCATCTTTAACTGACCCGGAGACTAAAGGAGGAGAGGGCGTTGGATGTGGTGGTGGTGGTGGTGAATTAACCATCACATCAGAGACCAATCCGAATGAAAGTTATCTTAAACCTTGTTCAACTCCACCATTTTCACCCAATTCTTTGACTACCAAACTATTACCTACTTCGCCCTCTTCCACAGCGGCAACCATTGGATCGGAACCTGTATCGTTTAGTATTGACATTGCTGAAGAATCGGAAAACGAACCGGAAGACATTGGTCACCTTGAGAGAAAATCAGTCAAATTAACATCAAGTAATCAGAATATTGAAAAAAATTTTGGTATCAAAACCTTGGAACAAATTAGAATGGAAAAAGTTTTCCGATCAAATGATGTGAATAAACAAACATCGGAACCAGAACATTCGGGCACATCTAGTAAACAGTTTCGAGTTAAATTAAAAAGGAAATCAATTTCAACTAATAGTAATACAATAACCTCTACCTCGCCTGGAGGATTATCCACCATCACCACCAATACCACTGCCGTTAATGAGAATGAAAGTAAATTGTCCAATCCTGGTTTTGGAATAAAATCTCTTGATGAGATACGTCGAGAAAAGGAGCAAAATATACAGACCAGTTCGATAAAAATGTCCACTGATTGTGAAAAAGAAGATGATAAACCCAAGAAAGTGATTAAAATTAAACGAACTCATATAGAAATCAATAAACCAAGTGAACCGCCGTCAAAAGTTGTTAAGATTAACACACTGCCAGTCTATGGACATGAAAGTGTTTCAACTAATCCAGTTACCAAATGTAATTTATCACCAATTAAAGCAACTACATCAACAAAAGTACAATCACAATCACCTCAAAGGAAACAAATCAGATTAACTCCACCAACACCAAAACAAACATCGACCTGTTCAGATTCATTAAAATCACCAAAACAATCCCTACGATTGAAATTGAAATCAACACCAAAACTAACAGCAACTCCGAAACCAAAATCAATTGCTGAACCAGTGCCAGTTAAACAACTAGAAGTTAAATCACCTAAAGTTAAATTACAACTAAAAAAACTGACAATTAGCCCAAAAAAAGAGTCAACAATTAAAATTGATGATAATGAACAAAATTCAACCAATCTAAGCAACTCAACTGATAGAGATAAAAATGAATCATTGGAAACTGTTAATTCCCTTTGTTCAATTAACCAACAACAACAAGATGATTATAATGTTATCACTGATGATGATTATGACGATGATTTTAAAGATGGTGAATATAATTCGGAATCATCATCAAATTTATCATTAAAATTGGAAGATAAACCGATTGAGAAAAGGATAATCATATCACCATCGAAAAGTCAAGATGAATCCAAAGAAAAGGAAAGGATTGTTGATGACGATTTAACTGGTAACATGGAACAATCAAATTCTCCATCAAAAAATGATGATGATCTATTAGAAGAAGATGATCTTCTAGCCGATGGAGAATCAGCTCCTGATGATGTAGCCATTGAAGATGAAGATGATGAATTTTTAAAAGAAATAGAACATGTTATCAACAGTTAAAATCCACCAAAAGGAATTAAATTTTTTTGATCTTCTCTTTAACTTGTTGTGTATAAATTTCATCTCATTTGTAATTTGTTTCCACCATAGATTCAATATTAAGTATCTTTTTTAACCAAAATTTTCTCTCTTCTAAAAATAATTTTTCTCTTTCACCATTTCCACTAAACGATGATAGAGACGTTGGAAGAGAGAGAGAGAGAAAAAGAGAGAGAGTACTGACTCTCAATCTCCTTCTATTCCTTTGTTTTCACATGTTCTTCAAACAGTAAACATTATCTAAAGAAAAAGCGAAAAAAAGATGTAAAAATTAGAATAGAATTTTAAATTAATTGGATTGATTGTTGGTGATTCCAAAATATGAGAATAGTTAAATTACACAATTGGCCAATTCTGATGGACGATTGTTGTTCCCTTCTCAACCAAGAATGGCCTCGAAGTAAAACCGCTCGGATTCACTCACTTTCTAAATCATCTGATTATTTTCCAATGTGTTTGTGTTTAATTGATGATGGTGATAACAATTCGATAATTAAATTGGAAACTAATTCCAATGGTGATCCTTTAGATAAACCAATTGGTCAACTGATTGGTCATGTTAAGGTGAGTCGAGGTTCACTTGAAGGTGAAGCTTATATTGAGAGTTTAATCATTTGTAAATCACGGAGAGGCCAAGGATTGGGTTCACAATTTATGGTTTCCATTGAACAATTTATCAAATCAATTGGATTCACTTCAATAACATTACACACCATCGATGCATCAAATTTTTACTCCAAACTTGGTTACTCTTTAATCACAACAATTGAAGCCTTAGGCCCGGCATCGGTTAACATTATCGCCGGTGAAACAAAAACACAATCAAAGTTTAATCAAAACACTAATCAACTAATTGTTACAAACCATCAACAGGGAACATCATCCAAATTATCTATTGATTGTCCTCTTCCTCCTCCACCTCCATCGAATCCAATTACAAATAGACCAGTAATTAAACAAGAGAAAATTGTAATGAACAAAAGGTTAACATGAGAAAAGAATAGAACAAAAAAATCAGCTGTTAATTATTTTCTATTCTTTTCTCGTTCGCAATTAAACTAATTCACTTTTCTTTTCGTCTCATTTAATTGTCACAAATTCTCATTAATTAATTGTTTCTTTTTTCCTTATTAACATTAGAATCAACTAATTCTATTAATAGTTAAAAGATAAACATCTTAAAATGTTTCATCTTTAATTATCTTTTATAAGTTGATTAGTATTTTTTAATTCTGTTGTTTTATCTATGGAATTGATTTAATTATCTTATCGTGTATTCGTATTAATTGTCTTTGGTTTTGAAATGATTTAAAGTGAACTTGGTTACAATTTGTGGTTTCTTACAATCTCCTTGATTGTTTCATCTTAAATACTCTCGGGTTTAAATCAATTGGTAATTGGCAATTAATTAATTTTACTAAATCAAATGGTAAGTGAAAAGTTAACAAACCAGAATAACAATGTTTCCATTTTTAAATTGCTTTTCTAACCAATAATTATCAACTATTTAGATTGACAATATTAACAATCAACCTTAAATCATTCGCCCACCTAATTGTTGGAATAATTTTTAATTCTGTTGATGAACTTTTCTTCCCAATTATTATTTAAATTGATTGAGAATTCAAGTTCATCAACCTTTTCCTTTTCCTCTTTTCCATTGCCAACAATTAACTCTCAGTAAAGTAAATCAGTTAAAAGGGACTATTAGTGAACATAGAATTTAGTTTGTCTTTCCTTTCCTAAACATTTATCATTCCATAATTTACTAATTACTTTCTTTCTAACAATCTAATTAATTAACTAATGATTTTTTCCAATCGATTCTGTTGCCATCTATCGGTTTGAGAATTTCTTTTTGTCTTTGTGAGTTGTTTTTTCATTTTCTTTCATCTTTGATGATGAATTTTGATTGTTGATCTTTTCAGTTTTTCTTTTAATTAAAACAACTTTAATTTCTGTTGATTGTGGTTACCAATTAATCAAAATAATCTATCGATTGTCAAGGTAAATATTATCTTCTCTTACCATTTATGTCAATTTATGATCAATGTTTTCTTTTCTCTTTTCTACTTTTTCTCTTATCCCTTTTAACGCCTTTGATACTTTTTCCATTTCTAATCTGATATAATTATTGATTGTGATTAACTAATTTCCTTCTATTCTAATTAATTCTCGTATCTATCTGGGGTTAATTGTCCTTCAATCTAATATTTACCTTTTTTTTTCTTGTTTCTTTTTCTAGGTGTTCACAGTTGCTCCTAATCTGTGATTTTGTTGTTTTTGACTTGCTAACTTTGATTAATGTTCCACTTCATTAATTGATTTTCTTCATTAATTAATGTAAACAATTTGATTGTTATTTTAATTGATCACTTACTCTGTGTCAAATTAACAATGCCCTTGTTTATATCGTGATTTATTATTCTATTGCCTGATATCTTCGTCTTCCAACTAAATCCTAACGCAACCATTTTGTTGATTTAACAAGAAAATTATTTTTCTTTTCATGAGAGATTCTTCAATTTTGTGGGAAATGAGAAAGTGTTATTGTTAATTATTAATTCTAGTCTCTCCATTAATTTATCTTGCTCATCATCACCATCATAATCAACAGAATTAGTGATTATTTTTAAACCTGAATCGATTCACTGGATAAACTTACCCAAGAGTCTGTGCTATTGGAAGCCAATATTTTTGTTACATTCGTCCTGTTATTAACTTCAAGATCATCAACAACAACATTTCCTATTACAATTAGACGATAATTTACTAATTTGGCCAATGATTTATCCATTAACCATAACTCATTAATCATTGAACAAAAAATTGTGTAACAAACTGTAACCAATAAAAAACAGAAAAGGTAAGTTACCTGTTCCTATGTAAAATCAGGTGTGATTTTAGCTCTTTGATTTGATTTACCCTGAAAGTGGATTTTAATTTTCTTCCTCTCTCTTTTTCTTAATTTAGTTAATATATTTATATTCATCTATTTATATCCATCCAATGCATCAATCAAGTGTTAAATCCTCCTCTGGCTCTCCAGCCCCACCGCCCCCAGAGACAACATCCAAAGGCGCTTTTCATGTCAACTTCAACATCGATCAAACCGACATCACCGATCGGAAGAAAAATTATCTCACCGCTAAGTACGGACAACACCAGATGAACCTAATTAAGAAAAGATTACGAGTAGAAATGTGGATGTGTGAACAATTACAAAGTCTCTATTCGAATGATGTGAGTTTCATCTGTCAAATTTGATTTTTTTTGTCAGTTAATTAATGAATTAATCATTTCTGTTTCTCTCTTTTGTTTCCTCTAATTCTGTATCTCCCTTAGGATGGAACTGAATCTAATGAAGTTGAAATCGATTTGGATGAACTTCTAGATCTGGAAGGTGATGATCGCCGGAAAGATTGGTTAAAAGTAATTACTCTTTAATCATCATCTTTATTGTCTAATCATTACCAGTCCTAAATTACAGGAAGTAAAACAAAAGTTGATAGTTAAACCTTTTCCTCTCCTGATTACATTATATTCAATTGTTTCTAACAAATTGATTACTATCATTGATTTTAATTATTTTATTATTTTATTGATTGTTAATTTTTGTTCCTCTAATTTATTACAGGCAAAGTTAATTGGTGTTAAAAAATCGGTTCTTGTAATGGAAAAGTTTATCGATGAAGTTTTGGAAAAGGCGAAAACATTATAATCAATTAAAGAAAGGAAACAATTAACATCTTTTTCCTTTTTTTGGAAAGTTAATCATTGTTAAAATTTAATTATTTTTCTGTGAATACTTAAAGTGTTTACTTCTCAACGTACATGTGTGTTAATGTCAATCACTAACAATTTTAATTAATTACTTTTAATCAAATTGTGTTTACAACAATGAGACAAAAAAAACTGGGAAGACAATTAACTTAAAATACTTAACAAATGTGACAAAATTAAATCGTGAATTTAATTTGTATCCCAACCTCTTTAATTTTTCTAAAAATAAAAATCAATCAAAACGAACCAAACATTTTTAATTGTTATCTAATTGTTAGAATTTAAAAAATCAAATATGAATTGAAATTCGCGCTACGAATTTCCCCTGGTGGCGAATAACCCAAACTGAGATTCTCACATGTTGATTGTTGTTTTTGAATTTTAATCTTCAGTTGATTTGATTACGTTTTAATTGTTTGTTTGTCAAGTTAAATTGTTTTAATTATGGACCCAGAGGATAATGAGGAGATGATCGATGATGAATCTGAAATTGAAGATGATTCAGATATCGAGGGTGATGAAGAAGGCGAAGATTTCATGGACGAAGAGGATAAAAATCGTGCTCAAGCTTTTTCTGTTAAAAATCAATTAGTTGTTTGGGATATTTTGATTAACAGTAGAATTAAATTACAAAAAGCTCTGTTAAACAGTAATAAATTACCACAACACGATAAATTTCAACATTACATGGATATTGGCGGTGATGAGGTAAAGAAAGCTCAGTCTAAAGCTTTGGAGGAAGAAAACAAATTGCTGGAATCATTGATTAAATTAACTGCTGTTATCTCTTCAAAGAAAAGCCCAAATGATTCAAACACGAATGATAATATTAATGACGAAAAACAATTAGCTAATAGCCATGCAAAGATGTTGTCTAATGTTAATGGAATCATGAACGATTGGTGGCAAAAGACCAACTATGCTACTCGATCAGCGAAATCAAATGCTAAATCGCAAGAAGAAGCTCAAACAACAATCATCGAAAATATTGATTCAATCCTTAGTAATCGAGAAAGACTAATTAAAAAGACTCGAACAAAACGTTCACAATATCGTACAATTGGTAAAAATGATTCAGCTGATGAAGAGGAAGATACAAATACTGATGATAATCAAGAAGTAAGAAATCAAAGTAAAAATCGAGGAGAAACAATTGACAATGAAATATTTGATGACGATGATTTTTATGGACAATTATTGAGACAATTGATTGAAAGTAAAACCTCTTTAGATTCTGTGGATCCAATTTCTTTATCTCGTCAATGGTTAGAAGTACAAAAGCTGAGGAGGAAAATGAAAAGACGAATTGACACCAGAGCATCAAAAGGAAGACGATTAAGATACCAAATTCATCAACCATTAATTAGTTTCATGGCTCCGGTTGAGGATTGTCCATATGAAGATGATGCTAAAGATGCTTTGTTTTCATCTTTATTCAATCAACGTAAATATCAACAACAATCAGATGATTTATAAACTTTTTCTTTCCACAAATTTTACTTCCAGTAAATTGATGTACATTGAGCTTGTTTACTTGATTAATTTATTATAACCGATACGATTAAATGAAATGGAAAAGTAAATTTTTTGTTGTGTAAAAAAAGAGAACTGATTTTGTGAATTTTGTTATTCAACATGAGAACATCAATTTGTTGTTTTTAGATTTAGATTTAGTTTTAGTTTTCCAATAGAATCAATTAGAATACAATTATTAGATTACAATAATTGTTATTTTTGAGTCTTTTTGGAATAATAATAATCATAAGAATCAATTTAATCCACTGCCATTGTATCATCTGGAGCTACTTGTGGATCACCAGGTCGAGGTTCAGTTCCCTGAGCATCCATACCTTCACCTGCCCCTTGTTGATCAGCAGCAGCAGCACCCGAAGTACCGGAAGCAGGAGCAGCATCACTGCCCCCAGGACCACCTTCACCACCAGCACCCGCACTTCCTGCACCTCGGCCTTTCCTTTCACTCTCGGACAGTAAATCCAACCATTTACTCACTTTATCATCATCATAAACTGTAAATTCGTGCCCTTTGCCAACAAGACCAATTGACACATTTCGCACATTTAATTCTAAATCATTTGGTAAACATTCACGTAAAGAAAGTAATCCATGTCGAATGAGTTCATTTAAATCACATCCTCCAAATTTATCCAAATTTTTCTCCAAATAAGTTCTCGCTGATTGTGATCGAGCTCCAATAGCCATCGCTTTACAATCAAAATAATTTGCTGATGGACAAGTTTGATAAATGTGAGGACCATTATCATCATAACCAGCAATTAGTAAACCAACACCGTACGGACGTCGATCGTATCTTTGTGTTGAACTTTGCATTTTATTACCAAGAATTTCAACTAGATAATATAATAAGAAATTTAAATGATAATATTAATAATTAGCAACTGTATCAAAAGAACCATAACAATAATAAGAATCATAAGAACAACAATCAATTCTCACAGCCAATTCTCACCTAATCGTTTAATTGGTAAACATGTATCATGTGAATATCTTTCATTGATACATTCATTTCTCATGAATCGAGACAAAACTCTAGCATCAGCTGTTAAACCGGCAATCGAAATACCAACATGGTTATCAATTGGAATAATCTTCTTCTGATGAGCACTTAATTCTGATGTACTTCGTTTCAATGCCAATAACAAAGCATGAGTTGAGTTTTTTAATCCAATTGTAGCTGATCCTTGTTTAACAGCTTCCATTGCATATTCAACCTGATGAAGTCTCCCTTGGGGCGACCAAGTGGTAACATCATTGTCATACTGATTACGGAACATTTTCCAATCACCAATATAAACACTTGACTACAAAACAAAATATAACAACAGTAAAAAGTAAAAGTAAAAAGTAATCAAAATATTCCAACACAAATCAAACCAAACTAATCAATTGACACTAAAACCAATTTAAATTTGCTTAATCATGAATCTCACTCAACATTAGAAAAGAAAATTTTTTTCATCAGCTGCAAATAAAACTTTCTTTTTCTAAACACAGATGGCGCTGCTTTTACTTCCAACAAATGGTTAATATTTATTCAACTTAACAATTGAATTGCAATTCAGGTTTTTGACAATTAGATTGAAACTTCACGGGCTCACGAATTTAGTTTTCACGATTTAATTCAATTCTATGAAGTTATCGGTTTGAACACTAAGGTGTTAAGTTGATTTTATTTCAGACAATTAAACAATCATCAAACTGTACATTAATTGTTATATCAAAACATTCATCTTTTTAGTCAAAATAGTTTTACTCATAAATTGATTGTAAAATATTACTTTTGTTACCAATTTTGATTAGCAATTTGGTATGGTGACTTGATTTGTTGAACAGGTAAAAACTACACTGTCTTTAGTTGTGCGTGTTTTAGGAGTTGATTGTGTGTATTTTTTTGGATATTTACGAATTGGGGTTTTCGTAAAAGTCGTTGATTTATTAACACCGGCGAGGTCTAATACATCGGCCCAGAGTTTATCTTTATCAACGTTTAATAATTTGGAGAAATGAGAGAAATCAAGGAAACTTGAAGTGATCGAGGTTGAACAATTGATAAACTATCGTCGTTAAATCGACCTTGTTCCAGGGATTGATCATCAGAGAGAGAAACATCTTCAAGTGAGAGGTGAGAATCTCAGTATCCGGATGTTCAACTTGAATTCCAGTGTTCATTTCCATGATGATCGGTAAAGGACTCGATTAATGGTTCTAACTATTTTGAAATGCAAAGGACAAAGTTCCCAAGGTCAACCAGACACCGATCCAAGCGGCAGAGGTCACATAGCCCATGAATACAGATGATTGTGCAATTGGAAGACCTCGAACCAGGATTGACCTTAATGATTCAGCTGCTGCAGTGGTCGGTTGGGTTACCCAACGAAGGTAAAAGGGAAGTGTATCGATTGACCACATGACACCCGATATAATGAAAGTGAAAAGTAGGACAGCATTTGCTACTATGGCACAAGAAAATATGGACGGAAGGACAGTGGACAGAAAACACCTAAGGACATTCCAGATAACATTTGAAGTAAAAGTAATAAGATGGCGAAAGGGAAAGATCCTCTACAGGGTACACCGAAAAGGGTGATTGAAAGAGTTAATAGAATGACAACCGAAGGGATAAGAAAAATAAATCGAGTGACAACTTGTCCAAGAATAATTTGAAATGCACCAAGTCCAGCGGAATAGTTTCGATCAAGGGTTCGATCTTCCTTTTCAATGAGCAAAGTAAACGCTGTAAGTGCGAATCCAATTGAATAAACGATAACAATCATCAAACCTGGTGCAGCGAAATCACGAGCACCAAAGAAATCCGATTTACCAAATGAGCCGAAAACAGTGGAACCCAATTTAATTGGTAAATCGGCCAATTTAGGATTGGACAATGTCGGTTTAATGGTCTCCAAAAAGGTTCGACCCAAAGCACCAATGACCAAACGAGTTAACACAAATGAAGTTAAATCGCCATGTATTTCAATGGTTGAGTAATTAAGATCAATCGAGGTACCAGTAAACGGATCAGTTTCATGGAAAGTTAATCAAGCCAAAAGAGAATCAGTAAATCCTTTCTTAATCCTAACAACACCCCAAATATGACCACTGGCCACATCGAGCGCATAAACGTAATCGGCATAATATCGTTTACTGAACATGTAACTATTAATTGATGAGAAAAAAGCTGAGCTCAAACAACGTTCATTGGAAAAGTAAAAATCACTCGCGTTGTGACCTAAAGGTGATGGGTTATGGTGCTCATGGTGGTGATGATGTTGGTGATGATGGTGCTTCTGGTGGTGATTTTGGTGGTGATTTTGGTGGTGATTTTGGTGGTGATTTTGGTGGTGATCGTTTATTTGATGGGTCGTGTAGACACAGTTTTCGTGGTTAACGAGGCCGATCGGTACACCGTTGGGAGTTCCTCCGATGCAGACACAAAACACCAACAAGATGATTATGGGAAGCACAAGGGAGGCGACTATTGTTTCTTGTTGGCAAATAATTTGTAAATTGTACTTGGTTAAAGTTGCGACAAATTGTATCCACCAAGCATGAGTATCGGAGGTTTCATTGGGTCTTGACCATGGGGCTGAAAGTGTCGCATTGTTTTACTGTTGTTGTTTCCTTGAACTTTCGAGTCGTTGGTTGACTTTTTTTTCGCTCCCTCTTGCGATGATATTTGTTTCATGGAGCCCGAAAGTGAGACTCGTTTATGGATATAACATAAATGGTGGAAAACGGCTTCCAAAGTGTTAACACCATATCGGCTCATGAATGCATTCGGACTGTTCTCGGCGATGATTGCACCTTTCCTCATGAAACCGACAACATCGGCTTTACGAGTCTCTTCAATATAATGAGTTGTAACAATTATCGTACTCCCGTAAAGTCTTGCCATGTTTGTTAATTGTCGCCAAATACGAGATCGTAAAAGTGGATCAACACCCACCGTGGGTTCATCTAATATCAATAACCTTGGATTGTAACACCGAAAGAAACTCGCCTCTGTTGACCACCACTCAACGAACTAATTAGTGTATTTTTATCAGGAAGATCTAATAAGGTGATTAGTTATGATATTCGTTCATTGATTTGATCAAATGTTAGGAAATTAACTCGTCCGAAAAATGTCCAAGTCTCTTTGATGGTTAAATCTCGTGAAAGCGCAGTTTCCTGGGGCATATAACTCACCCCAGGTCCAGGAACACCACTTTTCCATGTACCTGGACTATAATTGAATATCGATATCTCACCAGAATCGGGAATCTTCAAACCCATTAAGCACTTAATCAACGTGGTCTTGCCACACCCGATGGACCCAATAGACCATAAATACAACCCTTGGGGGCGGTCATTGCAACATTTTTGAGTACAAATTCAGTTGAACCCGAGTGACCATAGGTGAAATTAAGATTCCTAATACGAATCGCTGGTCGAGCAGTTAAACTAACACGACCATTGAACATTAAAGGTGAAGATGTTGATGAAATTTGATTATTATTATCACAAGATGATGATGGTGGTGACGATGATGAAAATGATGTGGTAGTAATTAAATTTGATAACACAATCAAAGATTCACTGTTGTTATTATTATTATCGTCACTTTGTAATGAAGTTAATCCATTAACTTGTAATTTGTTTGACGATATATTCTGACTATTGGCATTTAAATTCATGATAAATTGATTAATAATAATTAATAATCGAAATCAATGCGAACAAGAAAAAAGCACAAACTTTACACTGGTCAGTAACTTAATGTCCATTCAATTGAAAGAGAAAAACTTTTTTCTTCTCCTCTGATATTAAACTGATCACAATATAGACAATTTTGATTGTTGGGCTCCTAGTAATCACTAGATATTATTATTAACTTAAATTGTTAACCAAATTGTTGTCCAATTAACTTTATTTCCCTATCAATCGAGTTAATAACAATGGTATTACTTTGATAATAATATTCACAATCCATGTTCAGGGACAAATAAGAATCTCCCTTTTGATATTATCAAGAAAATACCAAGTGTCAAAAATTGATTCAAATGATATTAAATTAATAATAATAATTAGAAATCAAGATATTGATTAAGGAAAAAACAAAACAAAAAATGATCAACAATCAAGATTAAAGATGAAAATGATTTAAATGAAAATCATCAACAACAATGTTAAAAGTTGCAACTGGAAACAGAAAATCTTAATCAATCACTAAATTAACTGTTGATTTGAATGAGTTTGAAAAAGTTTCCATAGTCCGATGTTGATTAATCATTAATCATCACAATTGTCATGATTAACACTATTGAGTTTTTTAATCCAATTGTAGCTGATCCTTGTTTAACAGCTTCCATTGCATATTCAACCTGATGAAGTCTCCCTTGGGGCGACCAAGTGGTAACATCATTGTCATACTGATTACGGAACATTTTCCAATCACCAATATAAACACTTGACTACAAAAGAAAATATAACAACAGTAAAAAGTAAAAGTAAAAAGTAATCAAAATATTCCAACACAAATCAAACCAAACTAATCAATTGACACTAAAACCAATTTAAATTTGCTTAATCATGAATCTCACTCAACATTAGAAAAGAAAATTTTTTTCATCAGCTGCAAATAAAACTTTCTTTTTCTAACCACAGATGGCGCTGCTTTTACTTCCAATAAATGGTTGCCAATGATTGGTTACTATTCGTTTGAATTGACAACAGACTTTTAAACTTGAAAATTTCTGTTTTTTTCGCAATTGTTTTCATAATTAATTTACTTTTCTTTTTATTTCGTTCCAATTATTTTTCTATCGTCGGATAAAATGGTACTTTCAGATCTTTCCAACCAAGATCAACGGATCAGAAACTTGCTCGGGGTAAGTAAATCTCTGGGATTTGTTTGCTTTCTATTCATCTCAGTTGGACGAGTAAATTTTAAAAAAACAATAATCTGATTAACATCATTGGTGTGTCTTGATGGATTCGGTTAATATTAGTTAATCTATCTAACGGTTGAGTTAATGGTCTAGTTTGTTTATCAACCATTCAGGAAGTTTTCAACTTATTCCGATTGTTGTATTATCCTTCAATTTATTTACTGTTGATTATTCATTTTTTTTCCAAATATATTTGACTAACTTTTGTTTTTTCTTTCTGCATTGTATTCATATTTCTTTTTTTAGGCAAGAAAAAAATATTCAGATTATACGAAAGATCAATGTAGAAATGGTGCTAAAGAAAAAGCGGTTTTAAAGTCAAAGATTCAAGATAATCAAGCAGAAATCATTAAAATCAAGGAGGAACTGGAAAAGTATCGACGAGAATATAACAAAATAATCAAGACGATGGGAAAAGCTCATGAAGATGCTGTGTTTAGAGAGAGTGAAGAAGACATTGTTAGTGATTTAATAAAACAAAGGAATCGAAGAGTCAAGGTAAGTTTTAAATTGTTCTTATTCTGTTTGGAACATTTAATCATCATCATTATTTTCTGTGATCGTTTCTTACAGTCGAGAGCAGAATTGGTTCTACTTGAGGAAGTTCATCGAGCTAAATTAATGGACCTTAAGAAACAATTGGATAAGGAGAAAATACTGAAACGTCGTCGAGATGTATTCCAAATGAAAAGTCCATCCCAAAAAGTGAGAGTTAAAAAGGAGCATCAAGAGAAACTTGATGAATGGAAACAATTTGAGGAATTGGTTCAGCAAGAAATTGATAAACTGCGAGAAGAGAAAGAGCAGAATCGTCTAAAGAGAATTATCAATGAAACTAATAGAATTAAGTTACAACCGTTAAGACCCGATAAACCAGCGAAAGTGATTCCAAAAGTTTGCCTTAAACCGAAAACAATTAAAAACGCTCAAGTACAAACATCAATTTGTATTGAAGAAAAAGAAGTCAATTTATCGCTGGAAGATGTTGAACCAGAAGAGATTCAGAAAGTATCATCTTCGAGCCAAGCGAATGTCCAGTTCGTACCCATAAGCGTTAAACCAACGAAAAAAGTCAATTCAAGTTTGGAAAATTTACTCGCTATTCGAGTAGCAGAAAAAATGAACAAAATGAGAGAGAAAGTGACTTTAACGGTTAAAGGACCAATGACCACAACCATTACTAAAGATGCTGCAATTAACACGAGCTGTTTGGCCGAGGAAGAACAATCAATCTCCGATTTCTCTCAAACTTGTTATTTACCTTTACCTGGTGAACTAAAAAGATCCGCAAGTTTCACCAAAGGGAAAGTAATTGATGAGAAAGTTGAAAATTCCAACGAGAAAGACGAAGCATCTTCGACTGTTGATTTATCTCTTATGAGTGGAATCAATTTCGATGATTTAGTCCAAAAGATTCAACAGATTAAGAACCTTGTCAACAAAGCAGAACCACCGAAAGAAACCAAATCGATTAAGATAATCAAGCGACCGGTAATTGATCCAATCGAAGTTGTTAGTTCGACTGGTCAGAATGTTCGACAGGAGAATAAGAGTAAAAGTTCTATTTTTGATGAATATCGAATCTCACCAGTTTCTTCGATTTCTTCTTCTCCTTCTATTTCTCCAACTCGATCTCTTTCTCCCTGTGGATTAGATTCACCACAACCATCAACACCAAATTCATCTTCTCCTCCACCTTCACCTCCTCGAGTACCAGGATTGTCAGAATCATCTTCATCTCCATGTTTATCTTCAGCATCTTCAACTTCATCTGATGCTACAATTAAGAAACTTGATTCTCACCTCTCACTTGAAGATGTTTCTCTATCTGATGATCAATCCCTGGAACAAGGTCGATTTAACGACGATAGTTTATCAATTGTTCAACCTCGATCACTTCAAGTTTCACTTGATTTCTCTCAGTTCTCCAAATTATTAAACGTTGATAAAGATAAACTTTGGGCCGATGTATTAGACCTCGCCGGTGTTAATAAATCAACGACTTTTACGAAAACCCCAATTCGTAAATATCCAAAAAAATACACACAATCAACTCCTAAAACACGCACAACTAAAGACAGTGTAGTTTTTAACTGTTCAACAAATCAAGTCACCATACCAAATTGATAATCGAAATTAGTAATAACTTCAAAAGTAATATTTTACAATCAATTTATGAGTAAAACTATTTTGACTAAAAAGATGAATGTTTTGATATAACAATTAATGTACAGTTTGATGATTGTTTAATTGTCTGAAATAAAATCAACTTAACAACTAAGTGTTCAAACCGATAACTTCATAGAATTGGAATAAATTGTGAAAACTGTAAATTCGTGAACCCGTGAAATTTCAATCTAATTGTCAAAAACCCGAATTGCAATTTAATTGTTAAGTTGAACAAATATTAACCATTTATTGGAAGTAAAAGCAGCGCCATCTGTGGTTAGAAAAAGAAAGTTTTATTTGCAGCTGATGAAAAAAATTTTCTTTTCCAATGTTGAGTGAGATTCATGATTAAGCAAATTTAAATTGGTTTTAGTGTCAATTGATTAGTTTGGTTTGATTTGTGTTGGAATATTTTGATTACTTTTTACTTTTACTTTTTACTGTTGTTATATTTTGTTTTGTAGTCAAGTGTTTATATTGGTGATTGGAAAATGTTCCGTAATCAGTATGACAATGATGTTACCACTTGGTCGCCCCAAGGGAGACTTCATCAGGTTGAATATGCAATGGAAGCTGTTAAACAAGGATCAGCTACAATTGGATTAAAAAACTCAACTCATGCTTTGTTATTGGCATTGAAACGAAGTACATCAGAATTAAGTGCTCATCAGAAGAAGATTATTCCAATTGATAACCATGTTGGTATTTCGATTGCCGGTTTAACAGCTGATGCTAGAGTTTTGTCTCGATTCATGAGAAATGAATGTATCAATGAAAGATATTCACATGATACATGTTTACCAATTAAACGATTAGGTGAGAATTGATTGTGATGGTTGTGGTTCTTTCTCTGGTTCATTATTCTTATGATTCTTTTGCTAATACTGTTGCTAATTATTAATATTATCATTTAAATTTCTTATTATATTATCTAGTTGAAATTCTTGGTAATAAAATGCAAAGTTCAACACAAAGGTACGATCGACGTCCGTACGGTGTTGGTTTACTAATTGCTGGTTATGATGATAATGGTCCTCACATTTATCAAACTTGTCCATCAGCAAATTATTTTGATTGTAAAGCGATGGCCATTGGAGCTCGATCACAATCAGCGAGAACTTATTTGGAGAAAAATTTGGATAAATTTGGAGGATGTGATTTAAATGAACTCATTCGACATGGATTACTTTCTTTACGTGAATGTTTACCAAATGATTTAGAATTAAATGTGCGAAATGTGTCAATTGGTCTTGTTGGCAAAGGGCACGAATTTACAGTTTATGATGATGATAAAGTGAGTAAATGGTTGGATTTACTGTCCGAGAGTGAAAGGAAAGGTCGAGGTGCAGGAAGTGCGGGTGCTGGTGGTGAAGGTGGTCCTGGGGGCAGTGATGCTGCTCCTGCTTCCGGTACTTCGGGTGCTGCTGCTGCTGATCAACAAGGGGCAGGTGAAGGTATGGATGCTCAGGGAACTGAACCTCGACCTGGTGATCCACAAGTAGCTCCAGATGATACAATGGCAGTGGATTAAATTGATTCTTATGATTATTATTATTCCAAAAAGACTCAAAAATAACAATTATTGTAATCTAATAATTGTATTCTAATTGATTCTATTGGAAAACTAAAACTAAATCTAAATCTAAAAACAACAAATTGATGTTCTCATGTTGAATAACAAAATTCACAAAATCAGTTCTCTTTTTTTTACACAACAAAAAATTCAATTTTCCATTTCATTTAATCGTATCGGTTATAATAAATGAAAACTCATCCTAAACTCCTTCCTTAAACGATTGACTCTCACCGAGTGATTCAAGTCAAATCACAATCAACTTTCATATCAAAGAATAAACAATTTAAATCATCAAACCTTAAACATACGAACATCAAGAAGACAATGAAACAAAAGCGAAAATCACAAGTAAACCGACAAAAGATTCAAATGGAAACAAAAATCTTAACCTAAAAACGAAATAAAAGAATAAAAAATATCCATACAAACGAAAAATCAAATAACCAGAACAATTAACTATCAGAATTAGAAAAAAATCTCTTAACATCGGAAAAGAAACAAAAAATAATATCAAAGTTTCTATTCTATTCCAACAGATGTCACCACTTTTTCTCTCAAATTCTTTTCTCTTTCTCATGTTTACCTTTTTCTCTTTTCCCTTCATTCAGTTTTTAAGCGTCATTCTAATAGCGTGAGAATTACATTTTCACAGTGTTTCCTCTTTCACATTCAATTCTTTCAACGTTTATCCTCTTATACTATCAACTAAATATCAATCCACAATGACTGGTGAACAAAGAGTAAGACCAAGGAAGAGAAATGCGGATGATACTACTCTACCACCGCCGAAAAGGATCCTCCAAGATGATACTGAAGAAGTAAGTGAATATGAAAACAAAACTAAATACTCATTGGGCTTAGGCTAATTTGACAGACAAATCTATACAGTTACAAATCTAACAGACCTCTCTCTATCTGACCAATTGATATATCTTAGGAAAATCCTGATGATAATCTGAAACAGTTACTGCAATGCTTGAAACGCTTCGATCCCAAAAAAGACCCTAATCTCTTTCGCCAATGGACCAAATTAATGGACTGTGACACTGTTACATCGATCATAAAAGAGATTGAAGAATTTTTTGCGAACCCGATTACTGAAAACTTCTCACATGATGAGATTGTAACCCTTGGAAACTTCCTTAAAATGAGTAGAGAACCTGAAAAAATTGCTACCTACAAAGGAGAGATTTCAACTACTGACCCAATGACTGTACCTGTCAAGGATATGGAAAAGCAAAACATATTCATCAACTATCAACAAAAAACAATGATTCCTGATCACTGGCTCAATGTCAGCACGATTGAAACTAAACCGACAATCACTGTGACAATCACAAGTAACAACAAACCTGTTGATGGATTCACGACTAAAGCAGCCTTCAATCAACTCTATGAAAAACAAGGAAAAAACCATATCCATATTGAAAACTCCTTTCCAGCGAAGGACTGTATGAAATTGTTGGTTGATAATCAATTCTCCCAAAAAATCATAATGGAAGAGATAAATCAACTCAACTCTGACAAATACAAACTACAAGCAGCCATTGAACCACTAAAGAACCCACAAGTCTATGTCTTGCTGAATGAACTTGTCGATGAAGAAAATAAAGAGAATTGGATTGAAAAAATCAAGAAATACAACAAACTTGATGCAAAATTTGAAATTCAATGGCTATCAAGCACCAAACTAAGGAACGGAAAGTACAAAACAGTGATCTCGATAAACTCACTAATGAGATCCCTCATTGAAAGATTCGGTGGCAAGATCTCGACTGGCTGTCAAAAAATCGACGTATATGATAAATTTAACATCATCATTTGTGCAAATTGCTCTAAATATGGACATCGTGCTATTAATTGTCGCTTTAAAAGAATCTGCGGCCACTGCAGTGAAAATCACCCTGGCAAATGTGAAAAGGCAAAGATAAATTGGATCTGCCCTGGTTGTAAAGGCACCCATTCCATATTTTCAAAAGAATGCCCAATCTTTCTGATCAAATTAAAACCTGAGCTTGAAAAGATCAACCATCAATACAACTATGCGTTCTTAGACAATACCAGAATCTAATTAGACCTGAATGAGTCTATGCTCTCTGAAGAAAACTATCAGAACTATCGTAAGATTGAAATAACTCTGTAATGGAAATAAATAAAAAAATAAAATGAAATAAACAAAATGAAATCTTTGAATCATCGTTTAATTATACAATCTCTTAAAACTAAATCATGATACAAAGAACTACTAAACCTAGTACAAAGCAATGATAAAGAGGGAGATTAATGAAGACTACGCTTCGATATGTAAAGATGGGAATAAGTGTGATCAATCTTACTGAGTTGATACTTAACTACCTGTTGCATATGTGAACAATTGAAAAAATAAACCGAATGACCAAGAAGACCACAACTTGGGCAAAGCCAGCTTCCTTTTCGTTCTCGATAGGGACAATGAGCTGTAATATGCTGCTGACAACACTTCCCGCAGCGAGGTCTTGATCGACAATTTTTTACAGTATGGCCAAAGGTTGTACAAAAATCGCAAATCCGCACGGACAAACAGTCATAAAACTCGACACTTCCGGAAGGAGTTCGGATTATAGGCTCGACCATTGCACTACGGAGTTGAGAAGGTAACTCAATAAGCATTGTGTTGTATATTCGACCATATGTGACCCCCTTGACGACTATTTCATGCTTAGAAATGATTGATTGATAAGCTTGCGACAATGAATCTATAACTGCACTACAACCTCCCGTATGGGTAACAGGCACTAGAATCTTGATAATTGGCCTCTGTGGTGCCTGGAAATAATGAGACAGACCCCTGCTTGTGAGCTCAGTAAGGAGAAGAGAAAAATCTGAACCAAGAGGAAGACCAACATGTACATCATTTGAACCACGGGTGACAACTGCTCCCGGAGGCAAATAAGAGGAAGCTATCACTTGAGCCTTCAATTGGTAACTACTTATCCCTTGGCCACATGGTATAACTAAGGTCCTAATTAATCCATAGGGTTGAACCGGAACAATACCAACTTCTTTGTAATCATCAGCACTCATTATGACTTGAAGAAACAAATATGTACTTAATGACTCACCACCAGGGGTATTCTTAGCTCTGAAAGAAAAAAAAAAAAAAAGGAAAAGAAACATTTATTACTAGTTTACATTACAAATACGTGACAAGTTACTAAAATCCCTCTGATTTATCTCTTATAAATTATATATTTCTCACTACGTTGACAATAATATCGCTAACCTTCACCCAATTAGTGTGTGATAAATAATACTACCAACTAAATCTAAAATGGCTCTCATTGACATTAAAGGCTTACCGATATTGGATGGCAAAGATAAGGAGACTGTTATCATATGGTTCACCTTTCCTGAAGTTAACAAGATGAGCGAAGAATTAATTAAAGACAAGATTATGGTGATGAATGGTATTGATGTCAAAAAAGTGGTTAAAGTAACAAAAGACTACGAAACAAAAATCTTCATTATAATATCAAGGGAAACAAGGAATAAATTGTTCACAACTTATGGTAACATGATAACATTTGAGGCTGAATTATATTCAGCATTCGACCTACCAAATCTCGAACTAATGAAGCAATGGATCAAAATTGGCGAAGAGAGAACAATGTTAAAAAAACTACTGATTGATTGGGGCTATGAAAAAATTGTGTTTGCCAGAATACCCACCGAATATTTTGATTACAACAATGAGGCCCATGAATTAAAAATGTCCGCTGGCCCATCTGGTAGTGGAATCAAGCTGATAAGCAACCAGATGGCGTTGCTTCTTTCACCAAGAAAGCAAATCGAATAATTTGAAACACATGCTTCTGACCTTCTTTGTCCTTCTTTACTTCTTCTTAAGTATTCCCTTAATTACTTCCTGTTATCAACTAATCTCGACATCCTTCTCTATCTTATCTTTCTCATAGTACATCTTAATTACTCTCATTACCCTTAATTACTCTTGCCTACTCTCAACCAAAATGCCAATTGGAAATGTTGATGTTAACCTTGGAGTCGAAACCTTTACCCGTGGCGCACCAATGACACCTCATACCCTAATCAGAAACTTCAACCCATACTCAGCAATCAGCATGATGAAAATCACCTTCATGAGACAAAATCAGTTCCTTCCAGTATACAATCTACTAACCTCTGATAACTCTCTCACGATATGGTTAAAATCAGGAGTTGAAATGATCCCTAATGGAGTAATAGTAAAAATTGTGAGGGAAAAAAGCCTTACCCTAATATCAATGATAACTAGACTGAATGGCTGTGAAGATGTCGCGATCACTCAAGTGGTAAAAAACCCATGCTTCATGGTAGTTTACTCGGGTGAAACACGATCTGAAGAAGAAGTCTCAACTGCGATTACTGAACAACTGAACATCAGAGTTATATACAATGGACATGAATGGGAACGCTATGGTGGACTGAATGTATTTACGTTTGATTGCAACCAACGCAACACCATCATTGATAACCACTGGCGCTTCAACTTCTCAGACGGACAACAAGCATTGGTTTTTGATGACATTGGCTTTGTACAATGCCTAAGATGCCACAAATTTGTCGCGAGACCGGCACTTGATGACCATCATTGTGTTGAACAACCAGCCTGTTCTGTCTGCTCTCAAGATTACCATGGACAAGGCCTCTTGTGTCAACGACCACCTTGCTGTAACAACTGTGTGCTCTCTGGCCGCCGCTGTGATCATCCAGCTAACTATTTCACTTGTCCTGTTCTTCGCAAATTAATGCAGTCATATATAAACAAGACTCGTGGTCGCTTCACAGTTATAAGAATCTTAGCCTCTGCTCCAAATCCAGGGTGGTAACAAGAGTGATGGCTTTGGATCTGTGGACCATCAAACCAATGATACCAACATCTGCCAACCTTACCAATTTTCAATCTCCAGCAATTGCCTCCTTATCCTCGTACATCTTTCTACTAGACCTCGTTTATCTTACCCTACTCGAACCCCTTTCTTATCTGTATCCTACTCCTGAATTCATCTCCTGCCTCTCTCCCTTATCTACCTATTCCCTCTAATCTTTGTTCTATCTTATTGTACTATCATCGAAAAGGAAATTAAAACAAAAAATGGTCAGATTAAATCTCATGTGTTTGAATATTAATAAGAGAGTAAACACATTTAGGAAGTGCAACAAATGGATCGAAGGACAAGAAACCTGCATTGGACTATTGAGTGAGTGTACCCCGAAAATGATACAATATGATACTAGTAAGGTAACTAACATCAACTATTCTGATGACGTTGCGATGATTACAAGCAAGGAGATAAAGGTGATCAAAAGTATTGCCATCAACTATGGTGTCCTTGTGAGTCTGATCGAAACCCATGGAAGCCAGTTCTGGATCATAGCGATCTACAACAGACCACTCACCCACGAATCACTTGTGAAGATAACGGAAGTACTAGATCAAGTTAAGGATGAACCAGTAATCATTGGTGGGGACTTCAATGAAGAGCTTAGATCGTGGTGTGACGAGCCCAGAGACCCTCGACCCAATACCATAGAGAAAAAATCTGCGATCTCTGCATTAGAACTTAGACTGTTACACAGTAACTTTCGTCCAATAATTCCACGCAATACACCCACGAGAATTGCTGATACATCGTCGTCAATGATTGACTGTTTACTCTGTAACTTCTTGTTTATACCCTTGGATGTCGTATTAATGGATGAAAAAACACTTTCTGATCACAAATCAATTCATGCGATAATATTAACTAAAGAAACAAGAATGAAAATAGCTCCGAGGCAAAAGAAGATATTCAAACGGCTATTAGTAAGACAACTATCTATTACCGACACAATTAACCTAATCTTCTCTCAACCCAAAATCGCAAAACAGATACCTTTGACGACATACAACAACAAAAAACAAAAACTAATGAAGAAAAAATCGAGACTTGGAATTGATAATGATGACACCAGAATAAATAATGCTGATAATCATGAGAACATGGATAATCTTTTCGCATTGTCAAATCTACAAAATATTAATGACTCTAAATCGTTCTGGCAACTATACAATTCGCTGAGCAGACCCTATGGAACATTTAATAGAGAAGAACTTTTCAAGAGAAAATTTTATTATGTTGCTCACAATGATAACTACTCACAACACGAACTCTTTTATCATGGTATAAGTGAAACCGAAATTAGATGGATCAGAAAACATAACCCAACTTCATCTTCTGGATGGGCAGATGACTTTACGATCAATGAGTGGAGGAGTTTTAAAAAGAAAAACATTGACTTGATTATAAGGTTGATTGAAAAAATATTCAAATGTGGAGAGCTACCGATGGCCCTCAAGATAAGTGGAGGAACTGTTATCCCTAAACCCGATGGTGGTGAGCGAATAGTCCGCACGCAGAGTTTCCTGATGAAAATGATAGATAGACTGCTACTAAACAGAATCGAACCAATATTGTTGGAACTAATTGATGATGACATACAATTTGCGTACCGCAAAAGAAAGAACCGCCTATCACTCTGGATCAAGATAATGAAAGAAATCAACAACAAACAGTATCTACACATATTCGATGTATCAAAAGCATTTGATGAAATATCTCGTAAAAGAATACTGGAACTGATTAAACCACTATCAAGCCGACAAAACTTTATGTTGATTGAAAGCTTCCTGACGAATCGCTTTACCAAGATCATAAGAAATAACCAAGTTACGCTCATGCCAGATGATGAAGGAACCCCTCAAGGTACCTGCCTCGGCCCTGCACTCTTCTCAATTGGAATGAATGACGTTCTGAGTGAACTTAAGAGACAAGGTCATATGATTATGTCGTATGCGGATGATATCTTTGTACTGTCGAATAATTCGAGTGAGTTCTTTGAGCGATCCCTAACCAGTGAATTAGCAAGGATTAACCTAAGGTTGAACACGAAGAAAACAATGACCATAACTAAAGCGCATCTATTAAAATACTGCCAATATGTTGGTAAGAAGAAAATAATTGGCTACTTAGCGACGAGACCCGACAATAGAATCTTAAAGGAGCTTATAAAAACCAACAACTTGTCCAACATGGAAAGGATATTCTTATCAAACGCAAGAATAGAGGTTGTAAATAAGATAATAACGAGCAAATTGCAAAGCCTCGATTGTCTTGGACCGCAACACTTCCTGATTAACAAAGGGACAATACAAGAAATCATAAAAAAGACACTGGCACTCGGCCGCGAAGTAACTGCAACCACCCTTTTCCCACTGAGAACCGATAGATGGTGGACAGTAGCCCTAAGACTGAATAACCCGACAACGAATTACATCAAACAACAAATAACAAATCTGATTGACAGTGGTGGTATCGAAGCTATGAAGATGTTAAAAGGATTAGAAGACAGAATGATGATCAATAGCTATTATGTTGAGCCGATCAGAGTTGCTACTGAAATTCCTTTTCGTCACTCAGTCATGAGAATCGAAGACGCAGTCTGCCATATCGATAGGAAAAACGGAAAACATGTACACTTTAGCTCGTGGTTGAAGAACGGCAAGGAAACTACAACGCAAATGGTAATTGAAATGATCTGTGCGGAGGAGAACGTGATACCAAAGATCATCTTCTACAACATCCCTGAAGGTAAGATAAAGAGGATTAAATGCAGAAAAACGATCATCTACAATACGCTGATTGGAACACCATGTCAAATGGAAAATATGGAACCAATTAACATAAAGCCGATGATAATGAGAAAGGACCTGAAGTGGGCCTTGGATGTGCTACTGAATAAACTTGAACAAGAAGAGTTTGAACAAAATGCGAACTTCTACCTTAAATGGGTATTCAGCAACAATGATATCAAGAGAATCCCCTCATGGCTAATGAAGCTGATGACAAGATGGTACACGAGTTTCTCCAGTAACGAACTAAATAATAAACTCAAGGAAAAGATATCAGATCAAAATCCATTGTTGAACTCGAGGAAAAGCTCTGAAAATATTCTAATTAGCATAATAAAGGAAAACCTGAATTAGATGTAAAGTCAAACACGAGAGGCCGCAACCTGGGATTAGAACTACTGATCTAAATCAACCCATATCCAAACTCATCGTAACATCACTTAACATCTCATTTGGTCATCAACAACCATAAACCAAACACTAATCCAACTCTAACTCTAAGCGTAACGCTAAGAGTAGACGCTTAATTCGTCGCCTTGACCTCTCCTAGGTCACAACCAACACACTTCGTCCTTTCGTCTGTTAACTTGTTTTTCTTTCTCTCGTGTTTTCTTTTTTATATATTTCTTATTCTTTCAGTTAAATCAACAACAATCCATCAGTAATGGAAATGAAAACTCGAAATCTACTAGTGTTAAATGTACGTTGAAATTTGCGTTTTGGTTTGAACACCTTTTCCTTTTTTTCCAAAGAGAAAAGAATAAAAATAAAATTCGATTTTTGGATAGGAAAACAAAGAGAAAATATAATATACACAATGTTTTCTTTTATTCGATTTGTGTCTTCCTTTATGTTTCTTCTTGTTCTACAAGATTTAATCAACCTTTTCCATCAACCTTTCAACTGTTTAATAATTAGTGTTACAAGTGATGTAACTACTACTAAATCTTATTTCTCAAGGATTAATTTTTTATCACCGTTAATGGTTAATGCTTTCTGTCCATCAAATTGTCACTGTGATGATAATAAATTGGAAGCCATTTGTTCCAATGCAACTCTTACAATTGTACCAATTACTTTAAATCCAAATTTAAGAAAAATTCATCTCAACTTTAATGCAATAGTCAAATTGTCAACTGATTCATTTAGTGTTTATCGGAATATTGAATTTCTTGATCTTTCCAATAACAAATTGGATACACTTGAAGACAATTCCTTCAGAGGTTTAACCAAATTAAAGGTAAGCTAATGAACCTCATCATCATCATCATAAACAACAATCATCCCAATTAGCTGTTTACCCGTTGATTTGTGTGACTTTTTTTGCTCTTTGACTCATTTTTCCATCTTTGTCATTGTCTTTCTCTATTGTTTTTGTTTTTACCATCATCATCTTCTGTATTCCTTAGTGTCAGTGTCTCTATAATTATCATCTTTCCAAATGTTCTAAAGAGAACAAAAACTTGACAAAACAATAGAAGGAAAAAAAAATATTTACCTAATTATCTCCTGATTATTGACAACCCTAGCCCTTAATTTCGTTTAATTATACTCATCAGAAATAATTATATATCTAATTTTCAAGAATTGTTGATGCTCTACGATCGGTTGAGCTTTATTCTTCTTTCCAATGGATCTGATTTCGCTTTATTTTTCTTTTTCTCTTCTCCAATACGCTTATTAGAGTCAAGAAAATTTTCTCTTCTCTCTTACACTTAACATAAAATTTATCAATTTATTTTGATTAACGTCTCATTTTGTCAGATAATTCCAGTTGCCTTCAGATAGAATGATTATAACCTGCTTATTAAAATTCTCTTCCATGTAACATGAGTCAAAAAGTCTGATGATGCTAATCTTTAAAATGTTGTATTCTAACCTTTTCCTCTCTCATTGGTGACATGTTTTAACTGATTAGCTAAAAGAAGAGAGAGAGAGAGAGAGAGAAAAAAGAGTAACATTCAAAGTAGAAGAGAAGAAGAAGATGAAAAAAAAAGATTCTCATCAACAGTTAATACACATCCTCTCATTTAACCTTTTATCTTCATCTTCTTTGGAAAATTCAAACTCTTTTACCTCCTCCCTCTTCTTTGCCGCCACCATTACCACCGCCATCACCCTCTCCCTTTATCATCCTCATCCTCATCCCTCCTTTGACTTGGATGACTTAATCTGTCCATCAATGTTGATCTATTATATAGTAGTTATTTTGTCTCACTCATTTTTCTATGAATTTTATCCGTTTGTTTACAATTACATTCATATAAATACCCACCAATCATCAGGAGAGAAGAGAAGAAAATTTTGAAGTTTAACTGACAAAAATTCACTGAACAGTAGCAATCAAAAAGCAAACATAGAAAAAGTGTAATATCATGTTGATGATATTAGAAAAGTGGATATATGATGATGATCATCATGAAGAAGAGGAGAGAGAAAAGTGTTCCATTTACGATAAATCATCATTACGATTTTTCTTTTTACAGAATTTTTATTCTCTTTTTTTTTATTCTTCTTATTCGAACATTTTTATTCATAAATTTATTTCTATTTATTCATTTTTTTTCCTTTTCTCTTCAATTTAGCTATTATTTTATTTCTTTTATTTTTCAACATTTGATTTTTATTCTATTCTCTTTTCACCTTTTTCTATTTATCCATAGAAACTACACTTAGATGGTAATCGACTCAATTCATTAACCAATTTCACCTTCAATGGTCTTTCCGGATTGCAAGATCTTTACCTTAATGATAACTTATTGTCCAATTTAAATGATTCCGTCTTCAAGGGACTCACTAATCTGAAACAACTTAATCTCAATTCAAACCGGTTAAATTATTTAGGACCACGAGTTTTTATTGGTTTAAATAATTTGAGGACACTTTATTTAACCGGTAATTCATTAAGCTTAACACATGAACAGTTGATTAGTACATTATCAACAACAACAACATCACCATTATCATCAACGACAACAATAACATCAAATGCAACATCATTAACAACCACTAATCACAAATCTCTACTTGATGCACTTTCACCACGTTATCTACCCAATTTAATCAGCTTACATCTAAGTGGAAACAATTTAACAATTATAACAAAATTAAATTCACCCTTTTTCAGTGGAATGGATTCAATCTCATCAACAGTTACACCTACAATTTCAAATAATTTAAGATTTTGGAATAATCTTCAAGAATTAACTCTTAACGGTTGTTCAATTAGCTCCATTGAATCAGGATCTTTCAATGGTTTGCCTAAACTGACCACTTTAAGGATCCATAACAATAATTTTCAGGTAAGGTTAATCCTTATATCTGTGCTAATCTCTTTGTGGACATCTCATCTCTAATAACCCTTTCTTTTCAAGTTGATGGGTTTATTTTGAAATTTGATAATTTACTAATTGTTTGATTACCTTGATTTTTTTCGCATCCATCATCCTATTCGTTGATTGTTATAACATTAACACCTTTTATCTGTGTGTAATCTCGGGATAAATAGCAAGTGCCAAAGGAAATTTTCACAGATTTAGATAAACTTGAGGTTCTTCAGATTGGAGGAAATCCTTTTACAACAATCAACTCAACATCATTTACCACTTTAACCAGTCTCAAAAGCCTTGATATAAGTCGATGTCCTCATCTTAATGTAAGTTGTTGTTATTATTTTTCTCCTCATCCTTTTTTTCTCACTTTTCCCTCCTTTTTTTTCCTTTTACTCTATCGCCATCATCTTCTTGTTCTTCATCTTCTATTTATCAAATCATTCACTTTTATTTCTATCTTCTTATTCTGTTATAACTTCCAATTGCAATTCCTTTAATTGTAGATCCATTGTTTGCATTGTCATCACTTGAAATAACTGTCGTCTCCCTCCTTTATACTCTTTCCCTCTCTCACTCACTATCGCTCATCCCTCATCTTCCATTAAATATCACCAACAATCAACGTTGATTATTTTCCTTTCTTCGTAGATTTTATTCATTTCTTCATCTTAGTCTTCTTTTAACCATTAAACTTATTTGTTGTTGTTGTTGTTGTTGTGAACAACTGAATAACAGTGAGACAGAAAATGCGAAGAGAAAGAAAGAAGATGAGGATAACAAAAGGATAGCAGGGACTTGTCTCTTATTCTGCTGACTATTCAATATACTTTTACTCTCTTTTCTATCTTTCTTTTTTACTCTGGATACTTAGTATCTTATTCTTACCAGTAATGTCCAGTTTTCTGGTTCTTCTTTTATCGTAAATTCAGTAAGAAGAAGATGCATTTCATTCATCAGGATGATGAGTATGGTAATGATAATGGGAATGATGATAATGATAATGATGTTAAAGAGTATAATGAATCTCTGAATTGAATATACATATATGTATATAGTTCTGATACTGTTACATGTAAACTGAATTTGGTTCATCTAAGTTTCATGTTATATTCACAAACTTTTCTCAATATTATCTTCTGAATAAGTAGAAAAAATAATCTCTTTTTTCCCTTTTCACAATGAATTACATGAAAATCTATTAAAATAAAGAAATGGTTAATATATCATCTGAACATATTTCATGTGATTATCATCATTATAAAATATGAATCACAATTTAGTTTGCAATATGATCACAATTATTACATTATTAGTATTACCATGATAAGTATCTAGTTATCATTGTTATTTTAAGATGATAATGATATAAACATTGTGTATATAAATGATTTACTAGTTACCATGAAAAAAAAAACTTTCAACATTACCATTGTTAGTAAAATGTTGTATTCTACCAAAAAAAACTGAGAAACACTGATTAACTCTAATTGTTATCATCATCATTATTAATACTCATAATTGAAAAGTTCCTCGCTCTATGTTAACCATATACTTCACGAAAATCAGTTTTTAAGCATAACAATTAAATTTTTATTATCATGTTACTCTCTTCCAAATGTTATCGTATATATGAATCCTTAATCTCTTCTCAAACATATCTATACTATTAGAAGTAATTTAATCACTGAATCGGATTAAATTTTCAACTTTTCTTTTGTTTTTTGGTATAAACACACACTTTAAAAAGGATTAGATTGATAAGAGTATTTCATATGTTGTCATGGTAATAACAATAATGATATAATCATAATGATGATTATGATGATAACAATTCCATAGATTTAATTTGATTGTTTTCATCAATTGACAATGTTACTTTAATCCTTTTCCTAGTTTTTTATTTTCACACTTGAATTGATTGAGTTTTTTTTTCATGATACAAAAAAAATCACAATGTAGTAAAAAAGATATAAAATCCTAACCTTTTTTTTCTGTTCAAAAATGGATTACCCACTTCTGGAATCAATTTAATTGTCGTGAATGACTCTGATTCATTGAAGAATATCTCTTTCAGAATCTGAGACATATTCATTGTCAATTTTATCCTATTTCCCGTTTCCTTTTACTCTATTTTCATAATAGTAACTGTATCTAAATAATCTCAAGCAAAAGATAATGATAATAATTCAATCCTCTTCATCATTTCCATTGTTAATCTATCCTATTGTCAATCCATTGGCCTTAATCAAATTTGCAATAATGAAATAAACAAGAAAAATATGAGATAAACATATTTGACTATCTCTACCAGTCAGAATGTGTTAATACCATGAAAATATGTATATGCATGAGAATCTGAGTTGATATATCTCTCTGAATATTTTTCATTCTCATTCATATCATTTAATATATATGAGATATTAATAATCTGGTTGCTTGATTTTCTCGGTTAGATAATTTTGATTGAGTGATTGTTATAATACAAAACATTACACTTATTAAGTTTTCTGTTAAAATATTGATTATATTATATCACGCAATCAACACTCACACACATATACTCTTATATATATATAATATCAGTTGAATGAGTTATCAATCACAATATACTACATCTAATACCTGGTGTTAGGGTTGAGTAAAGGTGAATATATATGGATCACCGGATAACATGCTCTTGATAATTTAAATCAATATATGCAATAATTATAATACCGGTAACATAATTAGTCTCATTTATGTATTAAAAAAAACTGTTGTTCTTGATTGAAACACTTTCTAGATTGTAGGTAAGCTTATCAGAAACCTTATTAATTAATTGCTATTGTTTTACAGTTACTTTTATATATGTAACAATTAATCTTACTAATATTGCAATTAACAATATGGTAACATTATATTGCAACTTTCGTGTTGCTTAATTTATGCATTTAGATTTACAATTGATTATTAATTACTGTTGATGATGATAAAACATTGATAGGTAATCATCATCACCATTTTTATTTCAATCAATTATTAATTGTTTTACAATCAACACAGTTGAATTTTTTTTTTCAATCATGAATTAATTCATTAACAATCCTCAACCTCACCTTTGATATTGATTTCTAACTTTTCTCTATCAATATTAATTAACCCTCAAAGCAATTGTCTTCCAACATGATTACCTGGTCATGGATTGATGATTAGCTGTTTTTATCCTTAATCATTTTAATCAGTAGTAATAATGATAACTAATGTTTTCAGTTGTATGTAAGTGAATGAGTGAGTGTGTGTTGTTGTATTACTGCAGTTGGATAAGAAAAATGAACTTGAAATTAGCCTAAGGCCACAATTAGGTTTGGTCGCAATCTTAATTTACTTGATTTAACTTTTTCTCTTTGATTATGTAATTAATTTTTTCTACTCTATCATAATATTAACTAGATTATTACAATTTTCTTATGTTGAACACATCAAACACTGATTATTAACTATTGATACAAATTAATTTTGTTCATCTAACATCGTTAGATGAACTGAAATTAAATTAGCATCTTATTGTTAATATATATTATTCATTATTCTGGTTATGTAAGAATAGTGAGAAAGAACAATTTAAACTGAATTAGAAATGTATTTAACTTTTACATTCACAATTTAATAACATTACCATCTAATTGTTACAATTTTATTCACAGAACTTTTTTTTCTGGTTCCATCGTTAAGTTATTAAATTAGTTGATTCCCAATTAGATTTATGTGCTTTTTTTAAAACATTTTATCTATAAAATTTAATTGTCGTTTTTCAAATCATGATAATCTAATTATATCCTACGAAGACGAGAAATGTCAAAGTGATTAGCTAATTGTGATGTAAATCATTTGTCAATAGTTATAGAAATTTTTGTCTAATTAATTTTTGGACCGGGAAAAGTTTTCGTAAATTGTTGACTTAACGATAATGATAACAATATATTGATTGTAATGGTAGGATAAATTGTTAACCAAACGATAATTTAATTGAAAATTTTCAGTAACTGGTAATTTAATAGGAATTTATTTTCTCTCCTCTATATTTATACATACTTTTATTCAGAATCATTATCTGTGAGTTTAATGAGATTCTGGGATGAGATTCATAGTAGATGGTTTTATATCATGATGCTGATGATCAATTTGATATTCAGGTTTTTTTTTATTCAGTTGACTATCTTGGTGTATATCTGCCTCTGAATTGAAATCCTCAGCCAAATCTTAGTAAAAGAGATGAACATGAAAGAAGAAGAAAAAATTCCGATTCTCAGTTCAGTTTTCATTCCAAATCTGAAAGTTGATCCTCATGGAGGAAAAAGAAAAAATTTCCACCCTGAGTATTCAATGAATTCTGTGAATAAAGATTTCATAGTAAGAAAAAGATGTATTATATTTATATCTAACTACCAGAACTTTTTTCTGCAAGTAACTCAATAACAACAGCACAACAACATATCATCATCTTTCTCCCCCTCTCCCTCTCTTTCTCCATCTCTCTCGTTCTTTCTTTGCATATCATATTTTTCCCTTTATGATGATAACTTGACAATCTGATTTTTAATAAATAAACTTATTACATATTCATAAACATTATCATAATATTGTTTAACTAAACACAATTTACATTGATGATAATTCATTCATTTCATCAATTTATTTCATATCATGGTGATAGTTTTTGTACTTAACCATTAAACTTATTGAATAAGGAAAAGTTTCTTTCAACTGATTTACTACGTTGATTGTTCATGTTACAGCTTATCTATAATACAGAAATTGAGTGATAATAATCTCTAATTATTTCTCACAACAATTAGTTTATATAGACTTTTTTTTTCTATTTCTTTATATAGAGATAATTAATTAGAATCAAGAAAATGGCAGATAAGGTGAAAAATGATCAATGTCTCCATTGAACCTTCCCATTATTTTGTTACATCGTTAGTGTTTTGTAGTAGCTACAATAGTAGTTATAATCTTTTACTTTTTGGGTAGATTTTCAGTTTTATTCTTACCTGTTATTGTTTACCTGTGCAAAAGTCATTTAATGAAGAGGCGGTTGGTGTAAACTTGTTGGTCTACTGTTTTAGATATCATGATAACTGAATTCCTCCTGCTGATGATGATGATAGGTAAAAGTTCATAAAAAATTGACTTGAAGGTTTGGCTAATGAATAAATGAATCTGTTGATTGCCAATTGAAATTATTACTTTGATGAAGACTTTCAAACTTTCATCATCATCGTCATCATCTGTTTTGGGTGCAGCCATCAAGATATCATCATCCTTTACCTGTCCAATTTGTATGAATCACCAATTTGGTTTCATGTTATTAATGAAATAATTGAGCTAATCTGGATAACAATTAACAAGAAGCTTTTTGTTTGTAATTAACCTTTTCCACCCAATTAAAAGTTTCAGTTGATTGTTGAGATAATTTTTTCACTTATTGAATTGAGTTCATTATTAATTAACTAATATTTAATTATTATTTAGCAATTAACTTTGATCAAGTTTTGGAAACAAAAACAAAATTAAACCTTAAATTTATTGATTATTCTTTCCATCTCCTTAATCAAGGGATTAAAATGATTAACAAACCGATTAAGAGTGTTAAGTAATATTAAATTAATCAAAGGTACAGTTGTTAGATACTCAATTAGAAATTATTTTATTAGTTGAAAATCTATTATTAATTGTCGTTTTTATTGGTTAATTGCAATAATGAGATTACAATAATGATGATGATGGTTAAAATGGATTAAGTTAAAGGATTAATCACCATTATCATTTAAGTTACATTATCCTAAGATTCAGGTAGAAAAACAGGTAAAAACATTGTTTTTTTTTCTCGCTTCAACTCTCGATAAATTAACTAAACAATTAATCTAATCATTTTTTTTCTTCGCTAAATCAGATAGTAAACCTTAATCTCTCCTCTACATTTATCATCATCACTATCATCATGCTTGTGAATAATTGATTTCTCATTTCATTAAAAGCATCTCTCGGATATAATAATAATTTATATGTCAAGATGAAGTTCAAAAATGTGAAGATAAACATGATGAGAAGAATAATTTCCTTCCATCATCATCATCATCATCAACTACTTCACTTTCTTATACATGCAAATTTTTCTCTATTATTATCGTTGTTTCTTATCATTATCATCTTTTCATCATCAGATTGTAATCTCTCTCTCTCTCTCTCTCTCTCCATTGCTACTTCTTTTAATCATAATAATAACAATTTAAAACACTCCAGCAATGAAAATAGATGGAAAGATATAGATGATGATGATAATAATAATGATCATCATTACGACAATAATTGTTATAACGTTCTGTAATAATGATGAGAGAGGATAAGGATAAGGATAAGGATGAGGACGATAATGATAATGATAATAGAGAATCCGTCTTAAGGTTGCAAAAATTTTGATAACTAGTTGTTGTTGTTGTTGTTGCTTCTACAGGAGTTCTGACATTCATATCATTTAACATCATTTTTACAATAATAACAATAATAATTACGATGATAATAGTATATTATTATTGATGTAATCACAGTTGTAATACTTTGCATAGTTTTGTACATATTCACAAATAGGATGTGTTGTTATTTCCAGTGTGTTGATGGTGTGGCGGTGTAACCTTAAAATATTGGCATTTACGAAAGTTATTCATCATTTTGTATCTTCCTCATCCTCCCCACCCTCTCGGTCTCTCCTCCTTACCTTTTTTCGTTGCTTGTTTGCTGCTGCCCTTCCCTTTCTTTTCTTTCCTTTAATTTTATTATTACCATAGTAGCCCCAAGGCTACGATATTTTCTTTTTCCTTCTTTGTGGTTTTTTTTTCTTCTTCTCCTACTTATCAATGTCTCTTTTTTTCTGAGTCTTTTACTTACTTATTTTTATTTATTTTTATTACCTTTATCATTATAATTATACAGATTATTGAATCAGGAGCTTTCACTGGACTGGAATCATTGCAATCATTGGAAATATCATCTAATCCTAATCTCAAATATATTGAGTCAACTTTATTTGATCCATTGGTTTCCCTTGAGAATCTCATCTTATCTCATAATTCATTTTCCTTTCTTGATCCTCATCTGTCCTTTATTGCCAATCGTATTAAATTATTTGATGTTCGTGGCAATCCTTTCACATGTAATTGCTCCGTTCAATGGATACGTAAATTGTTCATTGATAATAGTGAAGTTTTTATCAAGAGACTTTCACCAACGGCATCATCATCATCTCAATCATCAGTAACTTTACCAGCATCAACTGTAACAATTGATTCTGTTAGAGAAGCAAGTGCAAGTAAAAGTGCTCGTCGAGTTGCTCCATTATCATCTTCATCATCATCATCATCGTCAATATCTTCATTGATACACTCAAGTGATTCAAGTAATTCGTACTTAAATGAGTTAACATGTGTCAATCCTATGCCTCTTAGAGGTAAACAAATAATTACCCTTGAACCAGGGGACATGGGTTGTTATGAGATTGAATCATTGACACCGATTGTAATTGGTGTAGTAATTGGGTGTATAATTGTAACTGGAGTGGTAATTATATGTGGCATCCGTTGGAGAGCCCGTTTAACTGGATTAATTAAAGGTAACAGCTTATCATCATCAAAGGCTCGTGCTCATCATCACAATTATCATTATCCATCTATCGTCACTGCATCACCAATGGTCGGAGGTAATTTTACTGGTGGTCATTTTGGTGGTACTTTGATGGGCACCATGGCTGGTAGTGGAGCGATAAGTACTGGAAGCCGAAAAATATTCAGCATGAGAAGTCACAATCCAATAAATACTAATGATCTAGATCAAGGACCTTATTCTAAACCTGAATGTATTGTGATACCAGGGTACAGGACCGACTCAACAACGATAATCCATAATCTCAATAATCCAATGAGATCTTATTGAGAGACACAAATCAGAAATTAAGAAAAAATCTAACTGATGATGATCAAAAATTAATGATCAACCTGATCCTGTTACATATAAATGTGTTATATATGTTGTGTATAATAATGTTACAGCTGATGATGACGATTGATAATAATTGATGATGAGGATGAAATTGAGAGTCTCTCTCTCTCTCTCTCTCTCTCTTGCTGAGCTCACGAAGAAAAATATTTTGTAAGCAAGTGATGTGTCCGTCAATTTGATTGGCTCACTTGAAGAGGAAAGATGAAGGAAAAAGATAAAGCTGCCGATGATGCTGGTGATAATGAAAAGATGAAGATGATGATGATGAGGAAAATCGTTAATCCTTGACAAAAAATATTTAGTACCAATTTCCCAGCTAAATGAACAACTTTTTTTTCATAGTAATTGACCTTCACTTGTAACTTGATAACGTTATTTTTTTCATCATCCTTGTCGTCATTATCATCATCTTCTTACATGCATACTTAAGTTTTGTGTGTGTATTTATAGTTTACTTTAAAAATTGTTTCTTAATCTGAGTCCATCTTGTTTACAACTCATCTTCATCGATATATTAAATGATAAGCAAGAAAAGTTTACTTTTTTTTCAACATCGATTGCTTATCATCATCATTAGTCGATTCTCATTATCATCATCATGGAGATTGATTTTGGAAATAAAACAAGATGGAGAAGAAAAAAGAAACAAGGATGATAAAAATCTTATGAAAGATGATAAACTGGATATACAATCACTATGGATAAGCAGCAAGATGATGAAAATGAAGATGACCATCATCATCATGTTGAAGCTTTTTCTGTGTCCAAGATGAATATTCAGTTTCATATTTCAATCTAATCTTAATAATAGATAACTTTTACATCCCATCTTCACAGAGAGAGAATTACATCATCCACCCATTGATATCATCTCTTCATCCTCAATCATCCTCATCATCATCATCTTCCTCTTCTTCATGTATAATATGTATATAAATATACATATAAAAAAATGTACATTATGTATAATGGTTATAATAAATGATCTGTAAATGATTTTCCATGATGAAAATAATTTTATCAATTTTATTTCTCTTGCTCCTTTTTGATGAATTAAATATCATCAGAATGAAACAGATTTTTGATTATCATCAACATTCATGGATAATAATGATCAAGAATCGCGGAAATGATGATTAATATTAACCAAGATCTTCATTGATATTATATGTTGAAAATGTTTCCTCATCAATCCTACCCGATGATCCTTATGAAGATAATCAATAATTAATTACTTGATTAGCAGATGAATCATATTGAAAATTGTTGGTTAATTTTTGCCTTCTTTTTTGGTAATACTTTCTTGCCATGTTGATTAACTTAATTGCTGTGATCAAATTGCTTTCATAGGGTGTGAACAATATCGTGACCACGTTAAACAGTCAATGTTGATCAATGATTAGTTAATTGTTTCATTATCCCCTGTGGTGTTTAAACTTGGTGTTTTTTGTTGTTTTTAATCATTTTTAATGGTTGAGAAAAGCAAAATTCATAATATTAATAATAAGCCAAAAAAATTGATGTTGTTGTCTAGTAATTAGTAAATCGCCTGAGGGTAACATGTAATTCTGATTGTTAATTATAATCCTTGGGACGTTTTTTTCATCATTTTAAATGAAAAAAAAATACTTTTTTCGTATATAATTAAATTTGATTATCGTAATGATCAATTTCCTTTATTTTCAACATTCCACGTAAATTGTGTATCAATTTGTTACATATTATTACAATTAACTTTTTAATTTTGATTTAATGATGATTAGTTATTGATAATGTTGTTACTTGATTATCAACGATGATTACAATGTGTCCAATGAACCAATTTGATTTAATAATAGTGATTTAAAAATTAAGGTATTGCTTTGATAATTGAAAGTCAAACAATTGGGGGATTGTTGTTGTTGTTGATGTTGTAGGCTTGAAGGTGGGAGGGAGTCAAGGTAGATACTGACCATTGGCCTTCACCACAGGTGTCCAATGGTCAGCAAACAAATAGAGACAAACAAACAGAAAAAGGTTTGACCCAAAGGCTATTTCAAAATGTAATCTTTTTATTATCAAACTTTGAGATATTCAAATAGCCATATAAACATACAATAGGATCAATGGTTTGATATTTTCATTCACAATCAACCAACTGTCCATTGGTCAGTTTTTATTAAGAAGAAGGAAAAAAAAATTCTATCTTCAAATAAACACACATACAAACACACACAATACATTAACGATCAATGAATTTGTTATTTCCACAATCAACCAACTGTCGGATTCCCGGGGTCAGTGTGACAATGGCCAGTGGACAGAAAACAAGATAAATCGTTGACAATTTAAAAAGTTCAATCGGATAAATCGTAGTGTAAATGATAATCCATCAGGTGAAAAGAATAAGTCAAAGAAATTTTTTCTTCTCCTTCATAATGATAATAGTTTTCATCTCTCTCTCTCTCTCTCTCTCTCTCTCTCTCTCTCTCTCTCTCTCTCTCTCTTTTCAGGTAAATTACAGCTCATTTTTGTTATAACGAGAGAGAAGGATAAAAAAATCCTATGGAAATCAACTCATAATGAGTTAATTAAGATGATGATGATTATTATTATGATGATATATAAATAATATTCAATGTTAAATCATCCAAGAAAAGTAATACAACAAAGTGTATGTTTCATTTTCAGGTAAAACTTTAAGGTAAAAGTTAAACCAAGTGTAATTTTAATCATGATTACGATATTATAATATTTAATAATAAGTTATCAAAACTAATACAGTTACTTGGTTAATTATATTAGTGTTATTATATCAAAATGAGAGATGAAATTATATTTTTATATACATTTAATAGTCCTTATCATTACCGTTATTATCCTAGACTAGAAACAAAAAATATCATCATTATAATCATGATAATAGTAATTACAATTTATTGTAATCTATTTTTTTTTGTATTTGGGTTACTCTTTGAACCAATGTCGGTTTGGGAAACAAAAAATTCTGGTAAATCCATGTTATCCATGAAATAATATAATGTCAACAATTACAATTAATGGTTTGTGTGCCAATTATATTTATGTTTTTACCCATGAATTTAGTTAACACACTGAAGTTAATTGTAATTGTAATAGTTAAATGTGAGACTGTGATTGAAATCAGGGCTCATTTTTCATTCTTAAGACTTTTGAAACCTAAAACAAACAGAGATGATGCTCAGAGAGAGATTAAGATTTACTTTGAACATCTTCATCTATGAGTCTTAAAGTATCATTAGATGATGATGATGATGATGAAGGAATGATAATGATGATAGGAAGACGATGATGAAGTTTACTCAGTGTGAAATGTGTTTACTGGTCACAATTTTATGTACTCTACAATAGGAGTTACCTTAATGTTACCAATGGCTCGATTATCAAACCACCCAGGGCATCTTAATCATCTTATATCTTTTATCTTCATCTTTTCATCCTCTCACTCAGGTCCACTCTCTCTCTCTCTCATTTCCTTACCTGAAATATATCATATGGTTTTACCTGAGATCCTTAAACCAGGAAAAACAAAATCTTAAGCTGAAAAAACAACAGAGGTAATAAACAAAAACCACCAAAGAAAAACCTTGAGGATTAAATGTTAATCGTTATGATTAATTGTAATGGTAAATCAATAAAATTAATAAGAATCAAGGATAATATGAATTTTTTAGGAAGAAAAGTTTCTCATTCATTAATGAAATTGTAATTAATTTTCAATCATCAAAATGGTGATCACAGTTGATTGGTAATTGTGAAAAATTTTCTTCAAGTTTTTCCTAATAATTATTGATCTTTGTTGTTAAATGATTTACAATTAATGATTAATCATTAATTTGCTAACTGCTTCTGATGATGATTATTGATTCATCTTTTCCTCACTGATTCTTGGTGATAATTTATATTTTTCTTCCCTGGCAATTTAGTTAATCATTTCCAATGTTTCTTAATGATTAGCAAATATTATCATCATGTAATAACTGCAGGGGAAGAAAAATATCTATTCATAATTGACATGTTAATCAATCAGTTGATTGTTGATCATTTTCATAATCAATTATCTTAATCAAAATTGTTCAGTTGAAAAAATAAAATCATTTTTTATCCTGAATTGTTTCATGGTTGATAAAAATAGGTTTGTCATGTAATAGTAATTAAGTTAAATCGTCAGAATTCAGATTGAGATTATATTTGTTACATTGAGCTTCAAGGTTACTTTTAAAATGCTTTATCATTTGATGATAATGAGATGAGGATGAAGATGAAGATGATGATGATGATGATGATGATGTGTGGTTGTGTGTTAATCTTAAGGCAAAGGACAAGTAAAGTCTCTAGGTGGTCTTGTATACAGGTAAAGGTGTAGTTTCAAGTTCAATGATGATTAACCTGTTACCTTGATTTCCAATTGATTAATTGATTGGAAGAAAAAAAAAGTTCAATGAGTTTTTGTTTATTTTGAATCTTTGTCTTAATTTTTGTCAATTGATTTCCCCTCTATTTCTGTTGTATGTGATTGTCTTCATCGATTGTTTGATTGTGATTAAGTGGTTTAGTCTTAATTGTTGGCTTGATAATAAATAACTCACTCAGTGTCTCTCTGTAATTGTTTTGATTGTATTTACGTTACATAACATTATCTCTTGATAATCTGTCGTTGATTAAGTAAACAATTGTTTACCTGTTTACCTGAGATTTTGTTCATAAATAATTAACCTTCTCTGTGTAGATTTTGTCCTTTTTTTTCAGATCTTTTTGGCTTCTCCTCATCATCAGCATCTTCATCTTCATTATCATCATCATCATCATCCTCATCCTCATCTTTTGCTACTTCGACGAGGTAATCAATCAAATTGAAGTAGCTCAATACATTGGCAAGAAAAAAGTTGTTCCTCCCTGATGATTTTTGATGCTCTTTCTTTTGCTTCTGTGTTTATCATCATCATCTCATCATCATCTTCATGATGTTTCATCAATTTTGACCGTCATCCAGTTAAGGCTTCATTCAGGCTTTTTGAGTGATGAGTACAACTGATTATGATTACAGAATGATAATGATGATCAGAAAATGATGACAAAATATTGATCTTTTTTTTTCTTATGTCAAAACTTTTGTTATCATAAAGTTAACATATGATTATCATGATGATGAAGATGATTATGTTGATTAAAGGTCTATATGAAGATGCTACTGTGTATTGTATCATAATATTACAATTGATGATGATGATTGAAGATGATTTAATTTGAATGGCAATGATTACAAATGATCAGTGAATATGGAAAAAGTCAATTAATGAAAAAAAAAACACAAAATTATCAATCTAATAACATGTTTACCCTCTAATACTAAGGCTTCACAATTGAAGGCTTAATTTTACATTTATCAATCATAATCATCATCATCTATTTGATCAATATAATAGTTATGATTAGTGTGTTTATCATGATAATCATATTAACCAAATTAGATTGATTATCATTAGCTATTATTACAATTATAATTACCATAATGATTATGTTTGAAATGGTCGAGATGAATGTTAGTATAATATGTTACCATTCAATTGAATACCATTAAATGGCTTAAATGTTAATCAATAAAGTTAAATGAACTTTATCATCCTGATTATCATCATCATCCATTTCAGGAAGGAAACTCAACTTGATATTAAAGGATGAGGATGAGGAGGTGATGGTGGAAATGCCATAGACTTTGAGTGTAAATTAAGATTTGATCAAATATCGACATTTAATTAAACTGGGAATCTTAATTTTCCATTTGATTGTGACAATTAAATAACCCAAAACCTAAATAACCTTCAATGATAATCAATCACTTGAGTTACCCTGATTGATACAATTTGTATTGATTAACTGTTAATATATATACGAAAATTTAATCTATTAGTTTGCTAATTAATCTTAAATCATCATCAAGTTAATATCAATGATAATATTATCCTCCCACTTTGTTATTTGATAATTGTGATGATTATCATGATAATAT